CCTTCATTATTAGGCCCACCAGAAGAAGAGGATCTCTGTATTTCATCCCATGGATCTCAAACTAATATTAACACGAAAAAGAAAAATAACAGCAATAACAGTAATATACCAAGAATACGACCATATGATATATTAGAAGAATTGGCAATTATAGATTCTTCGACGATTTACAATACCAATTATAAAATTAATAAAAAAAAGAAAGATAAAAATAAAACAAAGCATAGTACTAATCATAGTAACAATAATAAATTTAAAGATTTCACTAAAAAAGAAAGAAGATTTCTGAAAACCATAAATACAAAACTTTCAAGATATTCTTCAAATGTTTCAAGCAATTATAAAAATATTGATCAAGATTATTTTGACAAAGTTAGATTTCAAGAAATTTCTTATAAATTTAGCAAAACATATTTTTGATAAAAATTTCAAGCATCCAAATATATCATCTACTTTGCATATTTGATAAACATCAAACTTCAAACCCTGTTATTTGTATTTGTATTTGTATTTGTATTTCATTTTATTTTATTCATTATTTATTGGGAAAACGGTTTATATATTTTGTATCATATTTATTTTACATCTAATAGCTATCCATATACATATTATTATTTATGGTAATACATATTTGATAGTGTTAACATTCTTCAAGTTTTTGGGCTTCCGCTAATTTAGTAACCCATGGTTGATGGCAAATATTTAAATCAACTGTTTTCTTTAACTTAGAATACCACTCAATTTTTTCTTGTGCTGATGTGTCAGCATATAGATTAATAACTTCTTCATCGGTAAATACCAATTGAATGCACCCACCAAATAAAACATGATCAGTAAAGTTTCTTTTACTATTACCTGATCTTTGTTTTCCTTCTTCTTCTTTCAAATCATCAGAACTAACAACGTCAATAACCTTTAACATATTGATAGTAACCACTGGTAAATTACTAACTTCGTGATAGCCAATTAAATCAGTACCTTGCAATTTGAAAAATCTTCTAACCAAATTATTACATACATCTCCACCTTCTTGCATTAAATATCCTTCTTTGGAAATCAGTAGTTGTTCCTTGTATTTCTTAATGATCATTTCACATTTATCAAATGATACTGGGAATACTTCTTTGTTAGACACTCTATCTAAGTAACATACTTCCATTTTCAGATCAGCTACTTTATATTTTGGCTTTCTTGGAATGTTAAAAACATTTTCGATATTTTCTTTATCATTCAATCTAGTCCACTCATTCATCATATCAAATGTACAGTTTCTTTTATTATATTTGACACTATTTAAAAAGGTGTGATCCAATAAAACTTCAGCACGACCAAAAGAACCATCTCTTGCAAATAAGTTATTCCACTCATCTTTCTTACTGTCTCTTTGAACAAACCTTTTCTCATACTTATACTCTGCCTTACCAAATAATTTTTTTTTTGGGATCAAAACCTTTTCCACTACCTCAACAATTTCTGTCTTTGGTGGAGTATATTTACACTTTAATGTGACGTAAAGTTTGGATCCAACCTCGAAAACAGTACTTTCAAAATCATGGTTGACCCTAATGTCACCATCAGACGGAATAACAGCCCATGCTGTTTGAATACTATTTCTACCGTTATCGAACTCAAAACAATATCTGGCGTCGTGATGTTTTATTCCAGTTAATTTAATATTTAGACAACCTTTTAGTTTTAAATATAAACTACCAGCATCGACTAAAGCGGTTTGAGAAGGTTCTTCTATCACAACTGTATCAACAAATGGTTTCATCTTAATTGGTGAAATGTCGGCTATTGATTCCGAAGATTTCTCAGCTTCAATTTGAATTTCTGCAATTTCTTCGACTTCATGATCGCTTTCAGGGCCATCTTGGTTTTTCCATTTACTTATATTAACAACCTTAAATGGACTACTAACATGAGAATCTTTCACAGTATTCTTAATTGGAGTACCAGATTCACTTGCATCAGTTTCCGCTGTTAAGAGACTAACTCTAACACTCTCAGAATCACTTAAATCAACATCAAGTCCATTGATATTTAATCCACGGCTAACAGTAATATCATTGAAAATAGAACTTTTCAAAATACCGTCAGCAAAGATATCTTTATTGATAGACTCAGAGATGCTTTTCTCATCATCTGTGACTTCCAATAATTTATTTTTGGAATCCAACATTGCATTGTGATCATTGTTTTTAGATGTATTTCCAATAAAATTATCTTCACCCCAGATGTTTATACTATTGTCATGTATCTCAGATTGGGCCAAAGATGAACTACGAAGTGATAATACATCCTTTGCAAATTTAGAAAAGGTCAAATCTAGCTGCTCGCCAAACGAATTATCAAGAAATGAAGGTAATAATTGGAAACTTCCATCCATTGTAATTGAATTATTCATGGTCTCCACCTTGTCATTTTCGGAACTAACTTCTTCCAACTTATTGCTAATAATTCTGCTGGAAATTCTACTTTCCTGGTTAGGTTGTATTTCTATAGAATACTTTCTAGTACCAGCATATTGTTCACTCTTCTGTCTATTGGCTTTGATTGAATTTTGTATTGTTCTTGACATCCTAGAACTCCTTCTCATTGGATCTAAAGCACCATATAATTGAGGTAATATCATTTCTTCGGAAATGTTAAAACTGTTAACTCTGCTCTCTGGGTTAATATATCTACTTCTGCTAACAATTCTTGGTTTGAACTTGAATGCAGTTGAAGAGATCCTTGATTCGGCAGATGCATTGGAACTTGCATTAGACAGGATGCGATTGGAAAATTGTGAATTTGTTGTTGATGCTGGGGAAACTTGTTTCAGTTCTTCTTCTTGAATATGCCATATAGATAGATAATCACCGGGTCTTGTTGACTTTGTTAAATCAATTGAGTCATTTGAGATATCATATTCCTCTCCAAATGGATCATCGATAAATATTTTGTCAATTTTAGGTAATGGTGGTAGAATAGGAGCAACAACATGGTCACTCACAATGGATGTAGTACCACTATTATCAATTTCATTAATATTGGATTTATCTTTATTTTGAGTGATGTGAGATTGGTTTGTTTTCAACAATTCATCATCAGCATTGAATTTTTCCTCAACCGGTGTACTGCCATTTAGATTTTGAATACGTTCCGAGTTGATGTTATCAGAATCTTGGTTTTGTAATTCAAATGTTTTACCAGAATCAGTAACAGGAGTAGCTTCTTGCAATGTGTCCAAAGGAATAGATATATAATTTGATGTACCTAAAGCGCTACTGTTTGTAATTTTTTCATCATCAAAGTGTTCTATAGAACTATGACCTTTTTCAATAACATCCGGACTGCTCTTGAGTTCATTTTCCTTTGGTGGTTCCTCGTAATCATTGGTAATGTCAGAAGATTTATTAGTCAAGTTTTGATCAATACCGATGAGAGAATTTGTGATTGTTGTATTAATGGATTCAGAGTTCTGAGAATTGCTTACATCTGAATTCTTTGCATCTTCCTCAGCTTTGGAACCTTCTTCGGTAGTTTCTGTATCATTTGTAATGTTAGTTATAGTAGAAATCTCTTCTTCAGTTAGTGTGGGTATATGAATAACTTGATCTGTTTCTTTAATATTAGTTTCAGACGCTACATTTTCTGTATTAGCTTCTTTTTGGTCTTCATTGGTATGTAAAGTATTTTCTGGAGAGTCTTTTAAATCAATTTGGATTTTAGAATCAGATGTAACCTCTATAAATGTACTATCCTTAGTAATATTATTAATTATAAAATGTTCTTTATTATTGTCTGTATTAGGGTCCAAAGTTGAAATAGCTTCAATTGAAGGAGATTTCTCAATGACATGAGTTGAAATTTCTAAATCTTCGATTGAATTTTCGAAGTCGTTTTCGTTTTCTTCTTCTCTTTCATTACTTCTGGCGTGGACCTCGTATTCAGAATTGTGTATGACTGAGTTATCAATTGAATCAACAGAAGTTTCTTCATTTTGCTCAATTGATAAATTTTGTTTGGTTTTTAATTCAGAAGATAATAGGGATTCTTTCAATGGAGAAATATCGATATTAGAATTGTTGTCTTCTTCGAAAGTTTGTTTCATAGCTTGTTTCAACAATTCAAATTGATCAGTTTGAACTGTAGTGGGTAAAGGAGTTCCTTCTATATCTGAGGATACAGAAGAAATTCTGCTTGTGGAAGCTCTGATATCAGTAGATTTTTTTTCATAAAAGTCATTAATGTTTTCAGTATGAGTAATGGGTATTTTGGATAGTAGCATTGTCGAAACTAAATCAGAATCTTCACTTTCAGTTTTATTATCTAATGGTAATTTATTATCTTCATTAGATTCATTTGCTATGTCATCACCTAAATTAATTAATACTTTGTTTGGAGATATATCAATGTCAGATTTTGTTGGTGTACTCATTAAAACACTTTCATCCATATTAGCTGAAAGTTCAAGCAATTGTACATTATCATTGAAAACAACATTTTTATCGTTGTTATTTTTGGGAGATTCATTAGTGTCCACATCTTTCTTGTTGAAATTCGGATTTATGACGTTATTTTTTGTATTATGTTTAACTAACATATCCATTGTCTCATCGCCAATATCTTGTAATGGTAGTTTCCAAGTTTGTTGATTTGTCGCTTCAGTTTCTTCTTTTTGTTTCGAATGGTCTTCTTGGGCATCGATGGTGCCAATTGTTACTTCCATTTCATGGTCAATTTCCTTAAGAAGGGAATCCATTGCACCTTCTGCATCGTTGGGTATCATAGTTAAATGATTGGTGTTTTTTATCTTTCTGAGAATAAAAACTTCTCAAATTAAAGTAGTATAACTGAAGAATACTTTCTTGTAGATTGAATGGTAATAAGATATGATTTATAATTATTTATTTATTTATTTTGACTATAATTGATTACAATGAAAAATTATTGATTAAAAACAAAACAAAACAAAACAAATTTGAAAATTGAATAGTGAAACAAAGAATTGTATAAAGGGTTTGAACTAATTAATTGAAGCTGATTGAAATTAAAAATAACAAAAGAACTATGTATGTTAATAGTTTTGTTTATTACACAATCGTTAGTCTGTCAAGATTCTAAATCGAAAACATCGAATTTCCTTTTTCAATGATGTAAATGTTTACATGATTCCTAAAAGGGATATCGCGTTTCTGAGAACTCTATAAGACTAATCAGGCAAATATGTAAAAACATAAAATAGAATTTCTGAATAAGGAACCAGCTTCCCTAAATAGGAAATAGTAAAAACTCATGTTTATGTCTTTAACTGTAATTTCAATCAAAGTTACAGGTTTAAGATTTAGATCAGATGACATTAATTATGAAATCAATTTTAGGGTTACTAGTACTGTATATTTACTCAATACCAATAATTTTCATGCTTCTCCAAACTTAATTCAAATAGAGTTAGTTTCTTAGCATTGTACATATGTTATGGATTCTACTGACATAGATGTAGATCAAGAATTCTTAGATAAAAAAATAAGAAAATATGAAAAGCTTATGAGTTATATATATATATATATATATATATACATATGATAGAATTTAATAAGCGTCAAAGAGATTAACAAAGGTCAAGCAATCTCCATAAGTAATGTTCTCGATACTATTGAAATATCACATCTTGATGATAAGTTTAGCTGGACATTTAAATGTAATGTTTAATTCTAAGATTATCGATACACTTCAAGAGTATTAAGTAATTTTTCTTTTTCTATACAAACCCTTTCCCCGGTCACTTTAATTATTTAATGATACAAAATAACTCAAAAAATCTCACCATTGTATCTGTTATCACTCCTATATAAATATAATATATTTATAAGAAATGAATCAAAAATTGGCATAGGCCTATACATGTAGAATGAATCCAATCATAGTATCCGGTAATCAATATATATATATAAAATTTCCTGGTTTCTTCTTGACGGTTGTTAAGAGCTCCAAATATAATAGATAAATCAAAAAAACAAAGATTTTTAAAAAGAAACGAGAAAGATCGATCCCACCATTATATAGCTTATGGATGTATCTATGGCAAAGATGCTTTGACCTTCAGTTCTCTACTACTGTTTTACCCTCATGTCAATTCCACCAATTAGTATAAAATAAAATATGTTAAGTTTGATTATCATTATCACGTGATAACAAATGGGGGCTAATTCTGATATGGGACGGGATGTTGGCTATAAGAAAGTTATGGTTGTTTTTTTTGCAGAGAACCTAACTGAGGGATGCCTCTGTAAATATGTTTTCTTTTTTTTTACGACAGTAATTCCATGGACCACCCAGCAGACAATATAAAATAAAAGAAAAAAAAAAGATACGAGCAAAATAAACCTGTATCACAACAAGACAATGGCTTATACAATTTATAACAAGCTTGCAGATATTAACTGAACTACAACTATAACTACAACCACAACTTCAATTTTGTAGGGTGAATTTTCCCGATAAGATAGTGGATATGTTACAAAATCCATATCAAAATAGTATACATTTTTTTGTTGGTGGGTTGGAAATCGAGGAATCCTGCAGTAGTCTCTCTCTCTCTTTCTTTGATTAACAACCATACAATCAAAGGCAAAGTTCCAAATTGATACACCAAGTACAATACCTTTAGAATATATTAATTAGTTGATTGATTCATCATCTAACATAACTTGCGGTTTTTTTCTTAATTAATGAGAGAGGTCTTCCTTCTCTCACTTAAAATTTTAACTATTACGTACGTAGGTATACCATCTTAAGAAAGTAACAATCACATTCTGGAAACTTTTGTAGTTTTCGAACTAAATTAACTAACCAACATAGAATTAAAATTTCAACTAAAGTTTAAGCACTATTTTTTTAGTTTATTTTCGAGTTCGAATTCGAGTTGATATTGTAGTTCATCAACTTTAATCGAAATTCATTAGTAATTTCATTTGAGTTTTGTTTTTTTATATTCTTTTTGAGTTTTAAGTTTGGAATTCGTGTTCAAAGTTTGATCTGTCTAGTCTTCTAGATTAGTTTTTATTAGATTGATTGATTACTTATTTCACAATTGTTGTTATAATATAAAGTTAAATTAGATTAAATCAAATCAAATCAAATCAAATCAAATCAAATCAAATCAAATCAAAAGGAATCGAATCTGTTATTGTTCAGTTCAGCTGTTAGTTTTACAATATAGTCTTGATTTTTAATTTTATTTTTTTGATTTTTAATATTTAATTATTAATCTAACTTTTTATATTTTCCTTTGCCCTACAACAAACAATCCTGAAACAATTTATCCGTCACATAACTGTTTTGAGTTGAAATCAAGAATAGTTAGTGTCTGTAAACTGTAAGATAACTTTTTTTGTATTAGATTTTTGAAACTGTTATTTTGCTACTGTTTGTTTCATAAAAGGAAATATCCTTAAAGTTCATTAAATTCAAAGATAGTTTATATTACAATAGCAACTATTGACCTTCTTAATACCGATTTCTGTTAAAGTGCTAATATACCTTTCATTAGAAGTTGTTGTTTTTTTTGGTTAATTTTTGTTCGTTCTAGTTAATTCTATCTGATTTTGAATTTTGATAAATCTTCAAGAATCGTCTATTTGCAGTGCAACAAAATTTAGATTTCTACTACTCCTTTGGCAACATCGAATTTTAATCACATCTTTTAAGCTTATACTTCCATGGAAAAGAAACAACAGATACAAGCACAGGGAAATACCCTCTCGAATATCCCTGAAGTCATCGATCCAGGTGTTACTATACCTATCTATGAAGAAGATATAAAAAGTTCTGGTAATCAAAATGATCAACAAAAATTAGGCTCTTATAGAGCTCGTACTGGTAAAATTTCAAATACCTTGAGCAACCTTTTGCCATCTATTAGTGCAAGACTGCATCATTCAAAAAAGAAATCATCTGGTAAAAATAGTGATTCAGAAACCCAAAGTAATGGTAGTTCTGATGTCCTTGTAGATTTAAGAGATATGCAAGCTACATTACCAAGAGGTAAAACTACAATTACAAGTATGAGTGCACCAGGTGTACCACTAGCGAGTTCAAGTTCCATCATTTCTTCCCAAGAATTGGACAGTTTAGTTAACTTCCCAGATGCGACAAGCTTTTTTTTAGATCAATCTAGAAACTCAACTGACTCGTATGCATTAGATGGTTTTATCCCACAAACAGTCTCAAGATCAAGAAATAATACAATGTCTTCACAAATCACTTCTTTGTCCTCAGTAATGCAACAGCAAACTGTCCCTGCAAGTACAATTTGGTCAAATAATCCCAATTCAAACATAGTCGATACAAATAGTTCTCATTTTACAAATCCTGTACCTTCACACTATTCAACAACTACTTCTCATGATACTATAAGTAATATTGATATGCCTGATAATCAAATCGAAAATAATCCACAACTAATGAACAGAACTAACAATGTGCATATATTTCCAAATTCATCTAATTATTATGAACATGCAGCAAATAGTTCTCCAAATTTAAATACTTTGTCAGTTCCTAACTCTTCATGGGCAAACACCGGTGGAACAATAAATAGACAAAGAGCTACTTCAAATGCTTCTAGTATTTATATTGATGCCACGTATGACCAACAATCCCAGAGACAAAGGCAAGCAACTTTCTCATCCACTCAGCAACCACAGCAACCACACCCACCCCTTGTCGCTGATGATATTGATCCAGTCTCTATCAACTGGGTAACGATGGATCCATCAGTTCCTCCAATTAATAGAATCACAAACTTGCTACCAACTGATACAATTTCTATCTCCAACGTTTTCTCTTTGCAACAACAACAAGCACATTTGATAAATACAATAAACTTGACTAGTACCTCCTTAGCAACGCTGTGTTCTAAGTATGGTGATGTTGTTTCTGCAAGAACTTTGAGTGGGTTGAATATGGCATTAGTTGAATTCTCTTCTATTGACGCCTCAATGAAAGCAATGGATGATTTACAAGGTAAGGAGGTTTCCATGATGGGAGCACAAAGTTCTGTTTTCTTTGCAAAAATATTGCCAATGCATCAACAGCAAGTTAACTTGCCATCAAACAAAACATTTTTGGCATCCGAAACAGCTAACCAACCTTTATTACATGAACAATTATACAATGGTTCCCTGACATTTCAGCAACAGGGTAATCTTTCAATCCCTATTTTCAATCAAAAGCAACAACAGCAACAACAACAAACGAATATAAATTCCAATTTTAACCATTCTAGTACCCATATATCTACAAATGAGAAAGAATTATGTCCATTTCCTTTACCTCCGCCTACTTTTGAAGCAAGATCTGAAGAATTGAAGGAAATGGTTTCAACCTTTAGTTGTGAATATGATTCCTCCAGATCTGATTACATCATTAATAATGCTTTAAATAATAAATCGAGTTCTGATACCAATAATTTTGGACCATTACCTGAACATTTAGCAAGTAAAGAATTTGATGCTCCAAAGCTACGTGAACTTCGTAAGAATATTGATGCAGACCAACTCTCAAGCCTAGAAATTGAACAACTTGCGATGGTAATGCTAGACGAATTGCCAGAATTATGTTCTGATTACATTGGTAACACTATTGTTCAAAAATTATTCGAACATTCGTCTGACATCATTAAGGATATCATGTTACGAAAGACTTCTAAATACCTAACTTCTATGGGTGTGCATAAAAATGGTACCTGGGCTTGCCAAAAAATGATAACAATGGCTCATAGTCCAAGGCAAATTAAATTGGTTGCAAATGGTGTCAGAGATTATTGCACACCATTATTCAATGATCAGTTTGGTAACTATGTTATTCAATGTGTTTTGAAATTTGGCTTCCCATGGAACAATTTTATTTTTGAAAACATCTTATCAAACTTTTGGGTAATCGTACAAAGTAGATATGGTGCTAGAGCTGTCAGAGCTTGTTTGGAAGCAACGGATATTGTAACCAAAGAGCAGACATTAATATTAAGTGCAACCATTGTATTATACGCTGATTATTTGACCACCAATAGCAATGGTACTTTGTTGGTGACTTGGTTCCTAGATACGTGTTCGTTAGCTAATAGATACACAATTTTGGCATCGAGATTGGTTAAAAACATTGTAGAATTAGCATGTCATAGACTAGCTTCATTGACAATTCTAAAAATGCTGAATTATCGTGGTGATGATGAATCAAAAATTATTATTTTGAATTCAATTTTTGGAAATAAAGAAACTGAAGAACCAACTGAGAATTTACGTTTGATTTTATCTGATTCGAATTATGGTCATACTTTTGTTTATAAAATTCTTTCAATGGCTACTTTAGATCCAGAATTAAGATCACATGCTGTAAAAATGGTTCGTTCCATTTTACTAGAGTCTACCTCTTCTCATCACCATCATAGATTGATGGAGGAAGTTGGTCTTTCATCAATTGTAGCTCAATCACCTAGTGCTACAACCAGACATCATCCAACTGCTTCTCATTCATTTAATCAAGATGTCGCTAATCATATGAGACAAGTCTCTACTTCGAGCATTTTAAGCAATGGTTCAAGACAAAATGGAACTGGTAGTGCGGCTGCTGGGACTTCAATCCCTACAGTAAATGTAACACAAGCACCAATACAAGGAGGTTCAGTTTCTGGAGCTGGATACTTTAATTATCCGGGTATGTTTCCTGGCGGGTATAATAATGGAGGTTCAAGCAGTAATAATGTTTTCAAGGGAAATGAAGATTTTAGTTCTCAATTTGATATGTTAACCTTAAATAATGGTACCATTTTATCTTTACCAAAATTAAGTTTGACTAACTATAATAGTAATACTTCAACTTTAGATCCAACTAAGAGTAATACCTCTAACGGATATGGTTACTAATGATGTTTAATTTTAATAATTCTAATGTTACACTACTTAATAATAAATAATACTTTTAACGATATATAAAACTTTAATTTAATAATGATAACCAAATTTTATGGTATTTGCAACAAAACAAATATTATTTTTGTTCATTCAATTATTTTCAATTTTCTCGCAAGTTCATAAATCTTATCCTCATCTTCTAACTGTTCTATTTCTCTCCTTTTCTCTTCAAATTTTCTTTTTAATATTTCAATTTTCTTGTTAATGCTATTATTAAATTCCTCCCTTATTTGGATAACTTTTTTGTCAATCCACTGATTGAAAGTGCACTCTAACTCATCTTTTGGCATTCTGTTAATAAAAAAGTTTAACTCCCCATCACTATCATTTGCTAGTGTCACATCACCATTATTTATATACCTCAACAAATCCTGAAAATATGTCTTGACCACCAATGTATTATGATCTATAGCTTCGATTTCTTCTACAGTTGTATTAATTGGTTGAAAAGTGAGTTCATCTTTAACAATGCTGACAACAAGATCAGGTTGTTCTATATTATCCTGCTTATTGTCTGAATCAGAATACTTAACAAATATTTTTTCCTTTTTGAACTCCATTGTGGAAGAATCTATGGGACCGTCAGACTTCCCCGGAGAGGCAGGATCTAAACTGACAGATTCAGAATGTGTGCTTGTGTCAATAATATTAATTGGAGTACCGGCATCAAGATTTGAAAGGTCGGAAATTACCATACCTGTAGAGTTTCCATTTTCTATATCATTTTCTATATCATTTTCTATATCATTTTCATGTTCATTGTTGTCGTTTGTATTGTCATTATTATCGTTAAAACAATCATTATTAGATATAGACTCTACCCGCAATTCTTCCGTTTTAGAGAGTTCAAGCTTGACATTATCAGAATTCTTCGATTTGTTATCCCAACGATCAGATTCATTGTTTTTCTCATTTGTAGTTTGGATGATTTCATTCATCGAGTTTTCATTATTAGAGATGCCTAAGGTGAGAACGCAAACTGATTGAGTGTAGATCTCCTCTATTTGATAATTTTGGACTTTGAATGGGGGTTGAGTTAGTACTTGTAGATGATGAAATTGATGAAGACGATGAGGACGAGTAATTATCCGAACTCAAATCATCATTTAATTGTATATCTTCTAACTTGGTTACACTTTTTGAAATTTCTACTTTTTCAGGTGTTAATGATGTCAATAATCCTGGAGAAGTACTTGGATTTAGCCCTGGTGTTGCAGGCCTACTGCTCTTTAAGGTAATTTCATGGGGCAATATATCATTTCCCACAGAAGCCAATATTGGCGGTAGATCAAAACCATCTTGACCTTGGTTGCTGAAACTTAGGTCATCGATACTGTCATCTAATAATCGATTTCTTCTGCCTTTTCCTTTCGCTTTATTTACATGCTCTTTAAATTTAATTACCAATGCTTTATCTCTATTAGGGTGACCATCACTCCCATCTGTTAATATTTCATCATTATCTCCAGAATCTCTTAACATTTGTGTAGAACTTTTCTTAAGTCTTCTTCTCTTCCTTAATGGCGATGACTGTATAATTGTTGGAGGCTCTAATGAATTTGTATCTTCGTTTTTCTTTTCTTGGTTATTCTTCTTATTTTCGTTTACGTTATTGTCTATCTTTTCTTCTTTATCTAGTACTATTTCCTGATGTATGTTTTCAAGATCTGGATATTTTAAATTCCATTCTTCAAAGAGTTGTTTGAATTCCTCTGTTTTGTTTAGTTGTTCAAAAAAATAACACCTCCCACCATAAGAACATTTATAATGTTCTTCCAATGGATTATCTTCATCTTGCCACGATGCCATGATTTTTGTACAATATATACAGTAGCATGCATCAGTTGTAAGATCATCTACTTCATCTTCAAAACCGGTGTATGAATTATCATATTTGATTAATCCAGCTTTTGCCATATTCTCAATCGATAACTTTGAACTTTCAGCATCCCATTCTTCTTCAAAGGTACTTTCTCTAAATATTTGTAACTCATTAGAGAATGGGTTATTAAAGTACTTATCTTTGCTCCATTCTATATTTTCAATGTTCTTCTTTGAATTAAATTCACTGAGGATTTTAAATTTTAAGGAAGCTAGCATGCACAATTCTTCACTTATCTCCAAATGATACTGTAAAATATTAATTAACGTTTCTAATATATCTCTTTTTTTAGACCTACAATGTCCGATATTAAATAAAGTTGTCTTACAATGCATGCAACTGACAGCATTCCCATCGAATTTTCCATTACTATCATTGACCCCAGGAGAATAATAAAAACCCAATCTTGCCAGCATATTCGATGGAATTAAAGTGTATCTCCATCTGTATTTCTTACCATTTCTTGTTGATGTTTTCTGGAAACTTCCAATTCTGTCAGCTAACTTTAACATTATAGCTTAATCGTAATAAGAATCAAATAGGAAAAGATGGACTGATACTGAGATACAATAAACCTTCGTTAGCTAATCGATAACTCTATTATAAAAATCATAAATATTAGCTATTGATATCCTGTTTTTATATTTTCTATCAATACATTGAAGTTATGTTTTTCTTTAATTTACTGTTAGAGATATATCATTGTGATTGTTTAAATATTTGTTAAACTAGTTATCGCGATGCCAAAGAATCAATACCGGTAAGATGGTAAATATTGAAAGCAGTTTAGTCAATAAGCAATTAAGATCGAATGTGATTGACAGAAACAGATGAATAGGTGAGGTGATCTTTAGTTATAATTAATTTTAGATATTGAAATTAATTCTATTTAATTCTATGTAATTCTATACACTACATATGCCCAATAAAATACTAAATATGTTAATAACTTGTAGGAAACAAAAAAACACACAAATAAAGTAAAATTGGAAATGACACGATTAACTATTTTGTTGGTATACTTTATAAATTTAAAAAACCATTATTATTAACATTAATTCATTTTATTTTTAGCCTTTTGAATTTGTTTTATATTTTTTTTCTCTCTTTCTTTGAAGGATAAATATTTTAATTTTTTATGTTAGATTATATTATATTATATTATATTATACTATACTTTGGAGAATATGGTTTCATTTATTCTTCATCGTCGCTATCTTCTTCTTCTTCGTCACTTTCTGCATTTTCTAACCAGGTGATAAATGGTTTAGCAGCTCTACGAACCTTCTTGGAAATATCCTTTGGAACAAACTTCTTGGAACATTTAGCACCGAAGGACATGATTTCATCTTCAGAAATAATATCATTATTGTACAATTGAACTAAAACTTTTGGCAATTGAGGGATCAATTCTTGGTGTTCTAAACCTAAGTATCTTTCAATACCACCCAAAAAGTTTCTTTCGTATTCTGGGGAAGTGAAAACTTTGTTGAAGAATGAAGTATGTTCAGAAACTTCATTTACAATATCTTCACTAAAGATACATTGAGCTAAGACACAAGCAATCTTTGGTTCTTTTAGTATATCAAATTCGGCAGCTTTTTTATATAATTCAACATCGGATGGTAAGTTTTTCTTATCTTCACCAGCTTCTTTCAAGATCCATTCACCGAATTCTTCTAATTTAGTAAATTCACGACTGACAGCACCAGAATCGACTTGTAGTTCTTTAGCACGAGCTCTGATGGCTTCTTCAGACATGTCTACAGCCCATTCATCATCTTTGACTTCAATTTCTTGTAAACTGGAGGCAGCAGCATTGATTTGACGAGCTAATTCATCATCGTCGTCATCTTCTTTGATGGAATCGGTAGCTGTACCAGCACTACCACTAGATTGAGACTTACCTTGAGCGATATCACTAATAGAAACACCACCACCACGAACGTTGGCAGAAGCAGTTGCGGATTTCTTCTTCTTACCACCAATAGAATCAGGTGGGTTCTTTAAGATAAATGAAGACAATTTATTTCTCAAATCCATTGGAGTTCTCTTACCACAGGCTTTACATTCTCTAATTAAATCTTCATCCTTTGTGATGACAATTTCAGTTTCTGGATTCTTACAACTACCACACAAAACGAATTTAGCAATGAAACCATCCAAAACATCTTGTAATTTAGCTGGTTCATGGACACCGTTAACCAAATAACGATCCTTATCAACAGAAATAGATGTCTGAGCACCCAATTCAAAACCAAAATATTTAACAAGGTATGGAGCTGGTCTGTTTAAAGCACGAGCAACATCGGAAACATTCAAGACAGCTGTCTTGATACCATTACCTCTACCTTCGACCTTAGCCTGAATAGGAGGCATTTTATAACGGTAAAAAGGATCATGATTATCTCTGCAAATATTAATAGACATGATGGATTAACTTGATCTCAATTGAATACGTTCTTTTGGTTCTTTTCTATACCGTTTTGTGTTAAATATTCAGGTATATCTTTCTTGTCGATGTGTTAAAAACTCGAAGCTATTATTTAAAAAAATATAATATCTTACAAAAACAAAAACAAAAAAAGAATAAATTCAGCACTCTAGTGTCACAATAACAATACTCTTAAGGTCTTGTTTCACTTGAATATAACCAAATAAAACATACAAATCAATCCCAAACTTGTCTTATATATCTCTAAATTTGAATAAATTTGCCATCTATTGTAAAATGTTCTTTATTGAAAAATTTTATGTCGTTAATGATGATATCAAATGATAAATCTGATATCTAACTAATTTAAGAACCCAAGGTGATAAAATAACGATGGTTAATATCTAAATATTCAGCAATTATAAAGGATTAATTGATTCTAACAGGCTCTTGATTCGATTGAAAGTTCATTAAGTCTGTTGAGTAGGTGTATTTGAAGGTATATTGTTGGATTCAGTGTTGAAAACTATACCGGGGAAGTTATCTATAGAGATTTTATCTGGTTTTTTTATTTGAAGGAAGGGAATTATATACTACTGAATAAAGTTAAAAGTTAGTAACAAAGATGGAAGCATTGAGAGAGAGATTGTTGACTATAAGGAGCACCAGGGTATATACTCAATATGGGCCTGAAGACCTTCTGAAATTATATGACGATTTACAAATTTGTTTGAAAGCAAATGATTCAAAATTAGATGAAGTTTCTTACTTGTCCTTGATGGAAATGCTGTTCAATGTTGAAGTTTACTTGAGTAAAGATATTGAAGCTGAAGTGGTTTATAATACTTTAAGGGACGAATTTGGTGAGAATTCCCCATTTTTATATGTCATGAAGGCAACATTGCTACAGATAAATGAAAGTGATGAGAAATCTAAGGAATTTATTATTAAATTAATTGCAAGTGAATTAGAATACAATACAGATTCTTTAAGTTATTTATTACTACAAAAAAAATTACTTTCAATGGAATTGACTACATCTAGTCAGGAAATTGTTTTAGATAAGTCTTTGAAATTGGTTGAAAAATTCCCACTGGATGCCGAATTATGGTGGTTTATTGGTAATCTTTATTTTAAACTGGGGCAGTTCGATCAAGCGAAACATTGTTACGAAGAAGTAGTGTTACTTCAACCATTCAATTATGTTGCATTTGTAAGAATTTCAGAAATTCTCTATTATAAAGTAATCCGTTTAAACAAAAAAATTTCAAAATCTGAAAGGACACAGATATTACAAGAAAGTTTAAATAATGCATTAAGAAGTATTGAATTAAATGAAATGTTCTTAAAAGGTTGGTCGCTGATTGCAATTGTAAGTAAAGCTATGGGAACGAAAAAGGATATTTTGGAAGTATCCAAGAACAAGCTTAATGAAATTGCTAAATCTAATGAATTAAGTGTGCAAGATGTTAAAACCGCTGAATTGATCTTAAAGAACTGTTGAATAGTTTTGACTACTTATATATACAAATACATATATATCTGATAAAAGAGATAGTAAAGCGTAATACTGTGTATAATCATCATTAAATTAGAAAGAAAGCATACCTGCATACCAGATGAATAATGTTTATATTCAAAGAGAAGCATATACACGTCTACATACACACACATATATATATATATATATATATATATATAATGATTTATGACATGCTATAAGAATTATAGTTTATTATTGAAACATAAAACGATGCTGATTAATCGAATCTTATAAATTCGCATTCTCTTTTCAATAATGGAGTATGAGCAGCGACCCAATCACTATCCCTTAGAACAGCCTTAGGATCGTGAGAATGTGACAGTTTGTGTTTTGATAAAATGTCATTATAATTGCCCTCAAACACTTTAGTTTCTCTCATCACATAATTGTCATCAAATTCTACATAGATTCTTGTATCTATGACTCTTATTAAAACTTCATCTACCCTTAAGAAAAATCTAGAAAGTAACAGTAGTCTCTCATTCATCACACGTATTTTAGAATTCAAAATCGAAATACCATTGTCAGCTAATTCATCTTCAAATAATATCATATCGTCAAAGAATAAAATTTTATCAGGTTTTGAAAGCTTGTCTATAGGCAGTTGCAAACTGTCATCACTATGGAAATCATAAGGAGCTTGTTCTTCACCATTTAGTGCAAAGACAGTACCTTTATAATGTGTTGTGTAAGTCCAATCATAGTTATGTATTATTTTCAAAGATGAAGCATCAATATCTAAATTATCCATTTTTTTCTGTTTATGTTTTGAGTCTAGCCATTTGTTTGAATAAGATACTCTCACACCTGAATCTTGTAATTTAACCTCTTTCAGGGCATCTAATGCATTAAATCTTAACCCCCAGTTCTTATCCTTATTTTCAATTAAAATTTCATTATTACCAAATATCATTTCTGGTAAAGTCAAACCTTTCAACTTGTTGCTTTCCCAATCATCTAATTCTTTTGAATTTAATATTGGTTTCTTCCTAGTTGAAATTTTCCAATTATTTATTGTAATTTGTGGATTATCTTCCAGTGGCAACGAAGCCTTTGGTGATGGTATTATAGTTGTTCCACAATTTGCGCAAGGTGGATTATTTGGATTATTACAAATATGTCTCATTGGTAAAGGTTTTCTGAACGAAGCAGCTGTAGAAGCACTAGGCAAAACAGTAGAATTTGGTAAACTAGTTGACCCACTATTTGCATTTCCTCTTTGAGGAAACCTAGCACTTATAGTCCTTGAATGCATTTCCCTTGCAGCACTTATCTCTATCGTATTGATACCTTTCTTATCCATGCTGCCCTTATTATTATGCAATTTAAATCCTTCACTTGATAACTATTTGATTCCTGTGATAACTAATCACCAATGAATATGTAAATATATTGTCTTGTTATAGTTATCTTAATATCATCCTCATCTATAATTCATCAACCTTTATCAAATAAGTTAAAATTTGCATTTAATAAATATCTAAATGATTTGATAATTTGATAATTTGATAATTTGAAGGTAAGAAGCGATATCGATATCAAAATAAATTAATAGACAAACAGGGAAAAAATATAAAAAAATATAAATATAAGCTATAAAATGTAATCGAATATTAAGATATATATATATATATATTGTTTTAAAATTGGTATTATGATTATGGGTTTTTGTATATTTCTGATTGGTTTAGTAGAGTGCGGTTGCTTTGTTTGAACACTATGAAACTTAAAATTAGTAGAAGAGTAGCAATACTTTTACGTATAGTGATTATATTACTATTGATTAGTATTTGGATATTTTTCTCATCACCAGAACTTTCATATGTTAAAAATGTTGATCCAGCAGTCGTTGTAACATCTAATGAGAACGAAAAATTAGGTGAAGATGTTGGTAAGCAAGTTGTAGTAACTGAAGAGACAGGACCTGAAGTTATTGGGAATCAAGGTAAGAAAATTAGTGAAGATAAAAAAATTGATGGTATAATAATGCCATCGATGCCTGATCAAGAGAGTAAAGAAGCTCTTGGACGAGCCTCGTGGAAATATTTCCATACATTGCTAGCGAGGTTTCCTGATGAACCAAGTGAGGATGAAAGAAGTAAATTAAGTATGTTTATTAATTTATATGCTGAATTATATCCTTGTGGAGAGTGCTCTAAGCATTTTCAAAAGATGATCAAGAAATATCCGGTTCAAACCTCTAGTAGAACCTCAGCAGCACTATGGGGATGTCATATTCATAATTTAGTTAACAAACATTTAGAAAAACCTGATTATGATTGCAGTACCATCTTAGAAGATTACGACTGTGGATGTGGTGATGATAATATTAAACTTAACAAAGTGTCAATAAATAAAGAAGAAAAACAATTAGGATAATCAATATTAATATAATAAAATTTTTTTTATTAATTTAAAAATTTATATAATTATGTTTATATGTATACAGAATGGTATAGTAATAATAAATGCTAAAAAAGTCCAGAACCTTGTAAAAATGAGAATATGATCTTGAGAGTCGTCATGCAGAGGGAGTTAGATATGATGCCAGTGTAGTGTAGTGTCAGAAATTTGAAAGACTTTTAACAAACTATTTCGAAATTTTCTTGAATTAAGCTGTTAATAACTTATAGTGCTGGCAAAGAACCTTTTCTTGGTCTTGTCACTGCAATATTTGAGTAGTCACTTGCACAAGAGTTCTTTCTTGAGTTTGGTTGAGAGACTGGTGACAATGATGGGATGACAAATGGTTGTTGAACTTCTGAAGTTAATTGTAAGAAAGCCATTTTTGAATTTATTTTAGTGTTAGTTATTTTGTGTTTGATTTGTATTTGTTGGATACTGGTTTATTATTATGTTATAATATAGTATAAATAAATAAATTAATAAAAAGGACAAATGGAAGATTTTAATCTTGAAGCTTTTCAAACAAAGAAAATATTAAGTGCTTATATATGAAATTATATAAAGTTGAAGTTAACTTTAAGTTTTAATTTCTAATCGTATTTGTCATCTAATAGTCATTAGTTTTCAATCTTATTTTGCCTACCTTTAAAACTCATAATGGTATGTATGGTCTGTATTAGTGACTGAGGCAGAACTTACGAGGAAGAGAAGAGGTATAGTTCGAATTCTTGTGAGACCAATCCGCAGAAACAACAATAACCGCCTCACAAATCAGTCACACAAACGGGAAATAGTTCCTCTGCAAATACCTCTGTTCAACATTCTTTACGGTCCTTATTTCAGAGGGTATACAGACAACTCGACGTGGAAAACGGAAATGCTGAATATTCCGCTGCTGCTACTGCCACTTCTTAACTCACCAAGGGAAATGATATCTAATTAATAAGAATCCAAGGTCATTAATTTTGTTCTTGTGAGAGAAAGCGGCAGAGATGGAAAGTAACATCTTACAAATGTTACTTTTCAAAAGAAAAGATGTCGTCAAGATAAGAAGGAAAACCCAAAATATTTTATGTTTTTTATCTTTCTGTTTCTTTTTCCTCCCAGTGGATTATTCCAGAAAGGACCGTCTGTCTATCTGTCTGTCAATCCCCCCTACAGTCGCTAGATTACTCATCAGTGGAAAAAAATGAAAAAACGTTATGACCAATGACGCCTGCGACGTCATCGACTGAGTGCATGACCACAAAGCCTGTTCTGCTCGCATCCTGCTCTGTGCACCCCGCCCCTTTTTTTTGTATTCTTTCTTTTTCTGCAGACCAAACACTCATACGAAATTTGAAATTTGAAATTTGAAATTTGAAATTTGAAATTTGAAATCAGAAGTTTAAATTTCTGTCCATTTCGAATCGATTGATTTCGAAACTACTATCTCTCCCTGCAGAGGATGAAGTATCCGTTGCATTACATTTGTTGACGGAAATTAAATTTCGTCGTCGCTGCGTATGTTACTTGTCTGCATTTGAGCAGTAGCCGAAGGGGAACGGGGCAAAAGAGAGAAAGCGAGAGAGTTTGGAAAATAAATCTAGGAGAACAGCGGGCGGTCATACAGATTTAGTTAGATTGGAACCAAAAAAATGAAAAGTACTATCTATCGTTGAAGAAAATTATGTAGAAGCGCATTTCAAGTTGCGACGTGTGACCAAGACCAAGACCAAGATCATAAAGACACCCCCCCCCTCGCCCTGATAGAGATTAAAGGATAAAACATGACAAAATAAGGATATAAGTGAAGGCGGTCTTGATAATGGCGCCGTTTGTTTTGTCTGTCTGTCTGTCTTTCACTCTTTCTCTTTCTCTTTCTCTTTACTAGATGCGGGTATACTATACATATTTTGTTTTGTTTGTTGGACAAGCGAGAAACAGCCGTAGCGATTATAAGAGATAAGGATGCAATCTTTTTTTGTTACGCCTTCTGCGTTTGAATTGCCCTCTTTGTACTGAAATCATGACCGTTTTTATTTCCTTTTCAACATTGTTGGTTGGTTGGAAAAAAAATTAAATGTGATTAGTCCTGTTTGTGTGACTAAGTTTTGAGGTAATTGTGCCATGAGTCGGAAAACAAAGGCTATTGACGGTAGTATCGTGAAACAGCAACAATCGATCACATATCATTAAATCTAATACCAAGAACAGTAAAACGTGTTCAGCCGTATACGAAACAACACAGGGTAACTACTAGTTATATCTTATCTCAGCCTCCCCCCCCTCTTTCTCGTCTCAATTTAGTGTATTGTGTTTATTTCCAGTGTTTATTAAGATCTGTTGGTTTATCATCAAAGTTTCCAAGAACAAAAGACTGATCGTTTCTTGATTGTCATGTGATCACAAAGGATATGAAATTGTCTTTGATTTCTATCTACGAGCCACTTTGTCAGAAAATAGGGTAAAAATTATTTGTCACATGTCCACTTGCTTTTGAATCTGGTTTTTTAGCGTACGTAGTTCAGTGCCATAATTTGTAATAATCTAATTATTGGTTATCTCAAAATAACTACTTACATTCGTATTTTGATTTTTATGTATCGTACAATAAGTTGGTATATATCTTCTATGCAACTCCTTCTGGTTCTCTACAATTAACTTACAAGCTAACCCATTTCATTAACTTATATATCAATCTATAATTCTTGAACACGACTTTTAAATACTACAATGGTTGTCAAATTTTTACCACAATCCTAAAATATATATACCTGACACATACTCACACGTGAATAACATGTGTTAAATATTACATTCGGTAGTGCAACAACCACGACAAATAAATATTTTAGAATTTCATCCAATCCAAGCATTCTTATGTATTGTTTCAACATAGCTTCATACGAATTAGTAAAGATCTATGACACCAGATAATACGTGTTGTTATGGTTGACACATATAAAGACTAATAGTGACTGCTATTTGATTCAATTGTATATTATTGTATATTATTTACTTACTCTGTGCATTAGAAGAAGAAAATATAGAACTCTTTAATAATAAATATACTTATTAACAGTACTAGTCTCCACAAGATAGACGAATAGAATAAAAGCAATACCAAGCACTTATTCAACGTACGATTACTAGATATCTATAAATTAAGAATTCACAACAAAGAATACACTTACAAGTGAACATGTGATTTTGGATTATATTTTTCAAATCTTAATATGAGGGTAACTAATATACATGCATCTGTCAAATTTTCTGTCAAACCAACTATTTTCAATTTCATTACTCGTATAAAATTACATTTAGAATGATTTTTGACAATCTAATTTGCCCTTTTCTTTTCATTATATTTTGATTTTTCTTCATCTTGACTAACTTAAATAGCCTTATTAAGTAATGTGATACTATTACCCTTTCTGGAAATGATATTACTTTGATATTTTATTGATTCGTTATATATTTATTATTAGTGTACATAAAGGGTTATTATCTATTAAAGAAAGAATGGCAAAAAATATTGAATGCTACTACTGAAAAAGATCAGGTTGATCCAAGAATGTTCTTTCTTGATAGATTGTGCATTTAATGTGTATCCTGTGTTATTAGTATATATTTATAAATATGTTTTGTTTTTTTGTTCCGTGCATTTAAAAGTTGATATGTTTGAAAAATTGATGTAATTGCTAGGTTAGCTAGCTAGCTATTATCGCTATCTGTCTATTGCAATTCTCTTTCATATTCTTTGCTCATGTCAGCGTTTTCAATGGCACCACAAATAGTTTCACATATTATACCAGTAACCAAGTATGGGTCAATGTTAGAAGCTGGTCTACGATCTTCAAAGTAACCGTAACCTTCCTTGGCGACAGATCTTGGAATTCTGATAGATGCACCTCTGTTAGCAACACCAGATGAGAATGTAGTCATAGAGGCAGTTTCATGTCTACCAGTTAATCTTTGTTCGTTATCAGCACCATATAATTTAATGTGTTCATCATGTCTCTTAGATAATCTTTCGATAGCTTCTTCAATGTACTTCATACCACCTTCTAGTCTCATGTTTCTAGTGGAGACGTTGGTGTGACAACCAGCACCATTCCAGTCACCCTTCAATGGCTTTGGATGGAAAGAAATCTTGACGCCGAATTCTTCAGCGACTCTATGCAAAAAGTATCTGGCCATCCATAATTGATCACCCATTTCGATACCAGTACATGGACCAACTTGGAATTCCCATTGAGAAGGCATGACTTCAGCGTTGATACCGGTGATTTCGATACCAGAGTACAAACAGGCTCTGTAATGAGCTTCAATGACATCTCTGGCATGAACTTTACCAGTACCAACACCACAGTAGTATGGACCTTGTGGAGCTGGGAAACCACCCTTTGGCCAGCCGTAGACATTGTCATAACGGTCGAATAGAGTGTATTCTTGTTCTAGACCGAACCAGATATCTTCACCGTCATGAGCTTTGAATAACTTAGCGGCTTCGTGTCTGTGGTTGAACTTGTTTGGAGTACCGTCGTTGTTGTAACATTCGGCCAAGACGACGATGTTGTCACCTCTTCTGAATGGATCAGGGTAGAAAGCAACTGGTTTCAAGTAAACATCTGAATCATGGCCAGGAGCTTGGTTGGTGGAAGAACCGTCAAAGTTCCATTCTGGCAATTGATCTACCGAGGTAATTTTAGTCTTTAAAGTTCTACCTTTAGAACGTAAGTTACCAGTACCATCTACCCAGACGTATTCTGCGATGATTCTTCCCTTTTGGTCTAGATCTAAGTATTTTTGTAAAATTTGAGTCTTTTCGATACCGTCAGTCATAATGAATTGATTGTGAAAGTATAGTTATAAAATTTATGGGGGAGGGGGGGAAATGCAAAAAAATTTGTTATTTTAAAATCGTGGGTGTGTATATATAAATATACTTCTTTTTTTGTTTTTTCTTTGATTAGTGTGATGATAAACTTCAACTACAGAGAAAAAAAAGGATTGGATAGTAATTAATATAAATGTGAATTGAGTGTGGAGGGGAACGAGTAATATGAAAACCAAAAGAATGATCACAAACACGTATAAAACACTTGGTGAGTTAGGATATTATATGAATGATATGTTGTATATCTTGGAGGGAAGGAAGTGGAAAAGAATAGTATAGATTGAATTAATAATTTTACAAAAAAGAATAAAAGTTCAAAACTAACACAAAATAAGTTCATCTTATATATATAAATTATAAGTAATTAAAAATTAAAAATTGCAAAAGGTCTCTCATTTACAATATTATCTAGGTACTCAAGAGAGAAAACCAGTAAAAGTGACGTTGTTTCGTAGTCAACTGTCCTCTCATCGGCATCAGCATCAGCATCAGTATCATCATCGCATCTGTTAACGAATTAATTAATCAAATAATCAATCAATCAATCAATCAATCGCCAATAATTAATTTACTTAAAAAGAAAAAAGATATAAAACTGTACAAAATGTATTTGGAAGAGCACCAGCGAGAGAGAAACTACAGCAGTGACATGGATTTCTGTTCTCTCCTTTCATCATCAATACGGGACGGGTTCTCTCACTAACTAGCAAGAGTCTGGCAGTAGGAAATAGTCCTTTTTTTTAAATTTTGGTACTGGTACTGGTACTGCTATTTTTGAATTTCTTTTGTTTTTGTTTATGTTTATGTTTATTATTAGAGAATGATATGATATTGATATTGATAGTGGATGGGAATGGGCCCAGTGAGCTTCAGTGCAGTGAATGACTGATCATGATTAGGATTTTGGGATTGATAAAAAAAGGTAAACAAAGAAATATAACAAAGAATACTGTGCAATACCATACCGTACCATACTATACTGAACTGAACTGAACTGTATGTGTGCGAACGAGAAGACATATGCAAAAAACATACAAGTACGGATGTTGCTTAGAGAAGGGCATATATATTTAGTTAGTTTCCATTTCGAAACATATGAGAGCTTTACTCTTACTTTACTCTGGAAAGCCAGAACCTAGTCCGTACAAAAAACAAAAAGGCAATTATTTGGTCTTTCCCACTAACCGTGTCTTGACGGCTTCTTGACGTTGTCGGGGCGGTTCTTTTCAATGATGTGTTTTTTTAGTACTTTCCTTTCCCCAGAAGCTAACTGCTAGAAAAATATACACATAACAAATTAGATTGAATTGAATTAAAATCGACTATTTTCGGCTCTTTGACAGGAACTCATCCAGTTAGAAGTCCTTTCCTTCTCTTGTACCAATCAATACCGTAATTACGAACAGAATGAGCGGAGCACTTGTGGCATGGCATGGTATGGGATATCTATTTCGAAGCAGTGCTGAGAAACGTGCGGAATCATATGCAAGGCCATCCCAAAATCGCGCGCGTCCGTGAATAGCCAGTGCTGGTCACAAGAGGTTATATATGGGGGCAGAAGGGAAAGGGCATCGAAAGAAATGGTTATGGGCTATGTGTCACATGAAACGATTTTGCACTGCACTGCACTGCACTGGACCTGGGCACAAGAAAAAATGACCTCTGGGAATAGAAGCCAAATCAAATCAAATCTTATTTTGGTGTAAACATGGGATTGATAAGAATAGTAAAGAAGAGAAGAGAAGAGAAGAGAAGAGTGCGCAGTGCTGAGCGTAGTTTGGGTTGGACAAAAGTTCAAGTTAAAGTGCGACAAAGAAAGAAGTCTTGATTATGCTCTCCTGTAGAGCATTCGTAATTTTGACTTCTGAATTTTGGAGAATGGCCTTGTGCGGTGAGATGGGACGGCTTCCAATTTCTTCTCCTTCTCTTCTAATGACTCTTGTCCCTTCCATTTGCTGTCTGTCTTTATGTTTTTTTTTCGCTCCAGAAATAGAAACATAAGTGCGAATACCCAGACAGGGACGCAGAGGAAACAGCTAGTTGAAAAAGAAAAAAGAAATTGCAAATTTTACTTGCAAAAACACGCAAACGGCACCAAAAAACAACATTTCGTGCTTTTAGAACCTTATCTTGAAATGTAAACAGCACAACAAAAGAAAAAAATCTATCGCCGTGTGGCTGGCTTGCCATTTCATTTTTGCGCTTGTTACCAGTGCCTTGCGGCACTCATTCCGTACACCGTACCGATTCTTAATTTCCTCCACTTTTCGTAACAGAAGAACTTGGACTCACGTGAGTGTCACGTTATTGTTTTCATTGATTTGAATTGAATGAAGAATTACCAGAAGGTGTCAGTATATTGTAGCACAAGAAGCAGGACCACACCCACAATGAAGCATCTTTATTATTAAATGTTATTACCTCATTATAATTCAATTACATACACATAATACCTATATATATATATTTATATATACAAATAAATATACTTATATGTGTTTCTACAGCATCTTATTTGTTCTGTTTTTTTTTACACAAAATAATGAATTAGAACAACTGTTTTCTTATGCGGTGACTTCATTCTTTGATGACTCGTATATCTCACGACAGTACCATTTATTGTTGTTTCCAAGGGCTACTTCTCCCAGCTTACCCATCGTAGTACCACTAGTCCAACTTTGAATCATTCTATCTAAATATACTTGATTGGCAAATGTAGTTATTTTATATTGTGGGAATCTCATAGATATTTCATTTATTATACGTGTTTCAATACCTTCCACTAGTGAGGTACCGCCCTTAATAATAATATTGTTTAATAAATTGCTAATGTTCTCGGTAACATTGGCTGTAGTCGCCAGTTGTGGTGGCAATTGGGCATTTCCAGAATTTGCAGAACCACCATTGGCACCCATTGAAGTACCAAGACTAGTACCACTACCGACTCCCATCGAATCAACGTTACTTGGAGTATGGACATTGCTATCACCACCAGTAGCGCCGGAACTACCACCAATATTGTTACTGGCAGCGACTGCAGCTGGCATGTTACCCATAGCAGCAGAGGTGATCGATCTATATATAAGTTCTCCTAATCCATCGTCTCTGTTATACTGTTCAGATGCTAATTGTGGTTGGAATAAGTATTCTCCAAATTGATATAATTCTCTTGATTCAAAAGTAACTGTTTTTCTACTCCTGTATAAATATTCTTTCTTTACAGATAATGGATTGGTCCCTACGGATGTGATACTACCTTGGTTTTGCAATTCAGCTTGTAATCTCAACTGTTCTTCGTAATACTTTTCGACATCTTGTAGTTTCTTATCAGTTACTTGTAACATTGTCTTTTTAAAGTTTTTAATCCAACTATTGCTGCTAACCCAAATGTTACTTGAATTTGTCATTTCTTCCTCCAGATCTTCGTCAATGGTTGAAAACTTTTTGATAATTTGATAATCTAGGAAATCACCACCGTATTTAGATTTAACTATACCATTTTTAATGATTACCCCGTCTACAATAGGTGTTACAGATGAGCCACTACCACTGATATCAATAACTAATGAAGTTTTTTTACCTAAACCTAGAGAAATAGATAAAGATTCATTAACAATTTGTAAATATGGTATTTTAAATTTTTCAAATGCAATTTTACAATATTGTTCGATGACTTTATTTTCAATATCTTCATTTTTACTTATACTTGATGGGATAGTAATCAATACAGGTAATTCAGTAGGATCACATTTCAATTGCTTTTCAAAAATATATTCCCATTGTTTCTCTAACGCTTCCCAATTATACGGAACACCAAGTTGAGAATCCACAATGGTGAATATATCACTTTCGGCACCTTCATCTTCTAAAGAATCCATCATATCAAAAGTACCAAAGACAAAACTTCCATCTTTTTTCTTTAAATAACTTGATGGTATAATACATTTAGGTATTTCACTATTACTAAATCCAGCAATGGTGGTACTAGTACCGTTATGGATAACAACGCACTTTGAATTACTCAAATCCATTGGAACTATATTTCAATATTATATGATAAACCTCCCCAGCGTTCGTCCCCTCAGTTCAGTTTCAATCGCAATTCTGATATCTGTAGAGTAATATAACACTATCTTAATTGCTTAAAAGCTTAAAATTTTGTTGTGTTTTCTTTTAAAGCCTTTGTTATGTTCGTAATTTTTCAAAATTTCCAAAATATTCAACCAAATAGTATGTCGTTCATGATGACTGGAGTGTTTTGGGTAGATATTCTCACAGAGAGAGAGGAAATACAGAACTGTAACAAGCAAGAATCCAAACCTGACCAACTTCAAATACAGATGAGATGATATCAAGAGTATAATTTGATATAAATATATATCGGTGTGTGTGTGTGTGAATGGTATCGAACATCAACGAAACAAGGTGTGGAATGCTGTGTGTTTACTTATAACTATAACTCTGGCTTTTACACTGGGATTTGTTATTTTTACTATTGTTTAATTAGTGGTTAAAGGCAATTTAATTCACTCAGATCAAAACTAAACAAGACGAGGCAAGGCAAGTTAAGATAGGACAAGACAAGACAAGACAAGATGGAGGAAAAGTTAAAAGAATACGAAAAGTTAAAGCAAGAATTGAAAAAATCTCTACAGGAAAAAACCCAATTAGAAGATGAGTATGACAAATTGTTACAGGAAGTGTACAACAAAGAAACTGAATACCTATCGAATAGTACAGGTTCTAAGGGTACATTCTCTGGAAATATAGTAAAGGGTTTTGATGGGTTTGCTAAACCACACGGCCATGACTCAAATGGCGCATTTCATAATTCTGATAGAATCTTTTCATTGAGTAGTGCAATCTATATTAAACAACAAGAATCACAAAATCATAACCATGGTCAGGACTGATATGCTATTCTCAAAGACTGTTCAAAGCTGTGTTTTCTTTGTCTATTAGTCTATTAGTCTCCTACCCCAGAGTTACATTATATATAGTTTGCTTAACCTCTTGGTAGTATTTCAAATTTTGAAAAATTATTACTGGGTTCGGGAATCTTTTGGTTCGATCCAATGAATAATTTTTCAGATGTTTTAATATTAGCCAAGATGTTGTTATAAGAGAAAACGTAAATATGAAACCAAACGTTTAAAGTATTGGTGGTTTCAATTGATATCCTTCAAATTATATTGATTTCAAGGTTATTTGTTTTTTTTAGGTCTGTTTGGTAGGATATACTGTTCTCTTTTGGTCTGGTCTGGTCTCTTTTTCTGTTGACGAAAAAAGAATTAGAGTAGAAAAGAGTAGTGGTACAAGAATTGGGAACTGGTTCACTAACGTTCTGTTCTCTGCTGCATTATATTTATATTTATATTTAATAGTGTCTCTAATATACTTAGATTACCAATGAATAATAATAAACTCCTATTTGCACCTTTTGCAAATAAAAGATTCATTACGCTTATTCCAAATAGCAAAGTAGTTAAACCAGCAATTGATGATTCTACTGGTACTGAGAATTTATTTAATGTCGAAGATTTGAAAACTACAACCTTTAATGCCATTGGTGAACCTTCTACAATGGCTTCCCTTTCGGTTCCACCTCGTATCCCTTTGTATATCCGTAGAGGTTGCATTGTATCTTTATATAATAACAAGAGTTCAAAAGATTCAAATATTTCGATGACACATGAGTGGAAAAGTATTATTTTCAATTTATTCAGTTATTCATCCATTACCTCTTCGTTATTTATAAAGCTAACATCAGATAAATCATTTGGGTTACTAGTTGCGCCAAATTTTACTTCAAATATAATTCCATTGTTATCTAAAAATAGCTACAGTACCCTATGTACTTTAAACTTAAATGGTTCAGCAGATTGGAATATATGGGGTAAAAACTCCATCGTTGCATATGAAGGGAATACTAGTTTGAATATTGTTTCAAATCCATTATTCAATTGGAGATCTGTCTTTAAGAAGAGACCAATCTATTCTAGAAAATTCCAAACTATTGCAGGTCGTGGTAATGTATTATTAAGTGGATCAGGTTCAATCTATACAATTGAACTGAAAACTAAAGAAGATGAAATCGTTATAAAATCTGAATGTTTGCTAGGTATTAGTGGTTCGACACAATTAGAAATTAAGGATTCAATCTCTGAACAAAAATATATCAGTAACGATATTATTGATCAAAAGCCACAGCCGGTACTAAAAGATGTGAAATTATCAGACTTAAATAAATTGACTAAGGAAGAGTATAAAATTTATTTCAAAGATCTATATCATTTGACCTCCTGGTGGATTAAAAAGACTTATATAAAGTGGATTAGTGGTTCCACAAAATTTTTAAAAGTTAAAGGTCCAAGAAATGTTTTAATACAAACAGGTCACAACGTCTACTTACCAAATATACCTACAAAGAAACAAGAAACTAATTTAAGCGTACCAGAAGAATCCTTACTCACTGAGAGAGATGCACAAGTTAAGTCAGAAATGAAATATACCAATTATGTCACTATTTCTCGTAGTGGTGATGTCAAATTCCAAAGCACGCCAAATTTTAATGAGACCATCAATAAACTAAAGAAAAATTGAGCAGACGAATACTTTTGAAGCCGTTGTAAATAAATAATTATTTCTTGATATAAACATAATAATTTAAATATTCAAATTAACATTTCCATATTAACTCTAATCGTTCGAAGTATTTAAAATATCATATGAATGACTTTGGCATAGAGATAAATGTAAAATATTTTGTAAAAAATAAGATCTTGAGTCTCATCAAGGAAATGATCTTAAATATTCACTTATAGCTTTTAGTTAAATTAAAACATGAAATTAAGGTTTCTCATAATATATTTTTCAGTTCTTTTTTATTTCAATTTTCACTGTTTTAAATAACAGTTTCTCGAGATCCCCAAAATATATATGGATTTATAACCACTAAAGGAATTGGAAATGACCAGGGATCCAGAAGTAGTCAAAACTAAACATAATAATCCTAATAATATTTCATTCTATTTAGCATCATAACTTGTATGATTAAAGTCTATTGATATGCCAAGACCATCTACTTTTAATTACTGTCACTTCTTTAATATTTTCGTTAATAATGAGTTTGAAAAAAAATTGCATCTTAAATTCAAATTTAGATGAGAGTATTTAAATAATGGTATAATTAAAGATTCATTAGACAAGTGATAACCATCGATTTAAAAATTACTTTTATGATTGATGCTCAATAGATTGACCAGAACAGCATCTATTTTCAAGAGATTTTCCTCTAACATGTCTGAACAAGCTGCTGCTGCCACCGCCGCTGGTGCTTCTGCTAAAAATGCTTCAAAGAAGTCAAAACTACAGGTTTCTTTAAAGACTCCAAAAGGTACTAAAGATTGGGCTGATACCGATATGGTTATTAGAGAAGCTATCTTCAATACTTTATCCAATATTTTTAAAAGACATGGTGGTGTTACCATTGACACTCCTGTTTTTGAATTACGTGAAATTTTAGCTGGTAAATATGGTGAAGATTCTAAACTAATTTATGATTTGAAAGATCAAGGTGGGGAATTATGTTCTTTACGTTATGATTTGACTGTTCCATTTGCCAGATATGTCGCTATGAACAATATCCAAAACATTAAAAGATACCATATCGCTAAAGTTTACAGAAGAGATCAACCTGCCATGACTAAAGGTCGTATGAGAGAGTTCTACCAATGTGATTTCGATATTGCTGGTGCTTACGAATCAATGGTTCCTGATGCTGAATGTTTATCTATTCTAGTTGAAGGTTTGACTGGCTTAGGTATTAATGATTTCAAAATCAAATTAAATCACAGAAAAATTTTAGACGGTATTTTCCAAATCGCTGGTGTTTCAGATGAAGATGTCAGAAAAATCTCCTCTGCTGTCGATAAATTAGATAAATCTCCATGGGATGTTGTCAAGAAAGAAATTACCGAAGAAAAGGGCCAATCTGAAGAAACCGCTAATAAGATCGGTGAATACGTTAAATTAAATGGTTCATTACAAGAAGTTTATGATAAATTAAACAGTGATCCAGAAATTGTTGCAAACGAAAAAGCTACTCAAGGTTTAGCAGATATTGCAACTTTGATTAAATATGCTGATGCATTCGGTATTGACAAGTTTATTTCCTTTGATTTGTCTTTGGCTAGAGGTTTAGATTACTACACCGGTTTAATCTATGAAGCTGTTACCTCTGCTTCTGCCCCACCAAAGAATGCTACTGAATTGAAGAAAAAATCTAAAGAAGATGAAGATGCCTCTGCTTATGTCGGTGTTGGTTCCATTGCCGCTGGTGGTCGTTACGACAATTTGGTTAACATGTTCGCTGAAGCTTCTGGTAAGAAGTCTGTTCAAATTCCATGTGTTGGTATTTCATTTGGTGTTGAAAGAATTTTCTCATTAGTAAAACAAAGAGCTGCTGCTGCTGCCGCTATTAAGCCAACTGCCACTCAAGTTTTTGTCATGGCTTTTGGTGGTGGTAAGGATTGGACTGGTTACCTACCAGAAAGAATGAAGGTTACTAAACAGCTATGGAATGCCGGTATTGAAGCTGAATACGTTTACAAAGCTAAGGCTAATCCAAGAAAACAATTTGACGCTGCTGACAAATCTGGTTGTCCATTGGCTGTCATTTTAGGTAAAGAAGAATATTTAGAAAACAAATTACGTGTTAAAAGATTAGGACCTGAATTTGCTGATGATGATGGTGAATTAATCGATGCTAATGAATTAATTCCTATCATTAAGGAAAAACTATCACAAGTCCATCAAGACGGTGTTAATGAAGTCACTCGTTTAATTAGAGGTTTGTAATTATAAAGTACAATTGGATAGAATATATAAATTTTAAAATATGTCCACATGAAATATTTGATAATCCGGTATTATATATAACACAAAATTTTTACCCTTGAAAATCGAACAATCCAATTCTATAGATTTGGTTGTTCATCTTCACTTTCTTTATCTGGAGGCAAAAAAATGAGAGAATGCTTATTTAGTAGGTGTTTCCTTTCTTGAAACGAAATCTGAAATAATGTCTCATTGTAAATTTATATTTCATATATAGATAATCCGATCTATGTTAAAAAAAAATTAATTACTAAATATATAAATTCTAATATGGTATTTCAATTGTTTATAATCCATCAATATATTTAATCATCATTAAACATGTCCTAATTGGTCCAAATTCATTAAATTGTACCTTAATCATTATTACTGGACGTTATTTTTTAGCCCGGTATTAAAATCATCACCAAAATTTGAATCGCCTATGAATCTATTTTGGGAAAGCAGCAGAAGCAGCGAGATTACGTATAGTGAGAAAGGTTAAGATATAATAGAAGTAAAACAATGATATAATCGAAATATCAAATAGTGAAAAGAAGAAGATTGAGTATGTTAATTTCTAACCAACAACAACAATAAAAAATAATGTATCTATCAACTCTTTTATTTTATTTTCACTTGTTAATATTCATTCTATCTCTATTAACTTCAGCCTTTAAGGTTTCATCTCTACATTGCTTTAAAAATGGTAAGAAGTCAGTACTGCCAGTACCCTTTGTTGCTAAACCAAAAGTGCCTTTCTGTTTCTTGGCAGGATTGATAATATAACGAGCAACTAACTTCATATGTTTATCTCTGAATTCCTTCAATCTATCGAGACAAGCATCGTATGCTCTTGTAATTTCTGGATCATCTTCATTGGCTAAGACATAGCTTCTAATGGTACTAGCATTTTTGACATGGTCTAAAAATTGACGATGCTCTCTTGGCATATATGAACGCATTTCATATATAAAAGACTTCTTATTGTCCTTCTGGGTTATTGATTTGGTAGTGGTAGCAGTAGTAGTAGGTTGAGGTTGATTTTTCACACCGACAGGCATATGCTGCACATCTAATAATACATCTAGAAATTGGATTAAAGAACTTTGAGCATTTGAACCACCAGCATATTTATAAAACTTACCATTCTTACCATACTTGACACCATTTGGTAGACCCTCATTTTCCATACCTTTCCAACCAGATAAGAAAGGTCTTAAAACGTTATAGAAAATGTCAGGGTTTGTCTTTTCATCCATTCTTGAGAATAAATCACCTAGAATTTTTACCTTCTCAGCAATTATATTAATTTGTTCTATGAAGACTGCTTTTGAATCATCTCTTGCAGCTCTGATCAAATTCAAACCAGCATTCAAGCAAACACCACCGATTTTTTCATAAAACATGCTAATGATATAAAACCAACTCTCATCTATTAGGCCTGTAAAAGTGTTAATAGTAGTGACAACATCAGGGTTGATTTCATGTGATTGTTGGGTGCTAATAATATCAAAAGCTGCTTCCCCATCATTTAATTTAAAATTCCATAGGATTAAAGAAGCATAAGTGCTTAAAGGGGGTAAACCTAATTTATCAGAGGTAATCAACAAAGGGTTAGCTATATTATCAGGTAAGACTTGAGCAGGTTTATCACCACCCCAAACATAAGCATTGGCTAAAAAGCACAATACACAGTAACTTCTTCTTAATTGACCTATATCATCCAAAAGAGACTGTTTAACTTTCAGCTCTGGTAATTTATCAATCTCTGATCTCAATTCTCTGTTGACCAATAAATCAGGTAACTTTGAAATAACATCTTCCCATGATTCGTAATAGTCATCCTTTAGCCTTTGAACAGGTAGCTCCCTAGGCAAAAATCCATACCTTTCAGAAACACCATAATCTTCTAAACGTGGAATAGAATTCAAACTAGGCATCTCCTATCCGATTCAGAAATTTATTAATTTAGTTATGGCCAATATGCTATGGTAAAAAAAAAATTATCTATATCTATATAAACCAGCCAATTTAGCCCAGTCTACTCAATTTCAATTTCAACTAAAGCCAAAACCAAAACCAAAACCAAAACCAACAGAGTCCTTATCGTGAAAAAAAAATTGTATTCTATCTAAAATATATACAATTCCCTTTAAAATAAAACTCCCAAAAAGTTGTAACAACTACACAATCTAAATATATATAAACCTGTCCAATCCAGTGCTTACCCACCAACTATGCAGCATGCTAAACAGAAATACCGAAACAAGAACAAGAACAAGAATCAACTTTTAATTTTTTAAAATTAATCAGCTTGTAGTTTATATATCAAAATTTTAGATATGATCCTGTCGTTGATGTCGTCGATGTCGTCGTCGTCGTCCTAATACTTGCCCTAAACTACAGCCCAATTCTACAAAACTTAAATAGAAACAAACAAAGAAAGAAAAGAATACAATTTTGGTTGTACCACTCACTCTTGTTCAATAAAAACGACAAAACCTTATATTAACGAATCTTTTGATTCTGGCGACAGCGTCATTGTCAAAAGTTTGTCACTTTTCTTGTCGTTGTCGTCGTCGTTGTCGTCTTTTTTGGCCGTTGAAAAAAGTTGAAAGTTTCGAAAATTCGATCCGGTTCGATTCGATTTGATGCGATTCGAGTCGAAATTTGGGATATTTAATTATAAAGGAACAAGAGACTACAACGTCAACTGTGTTTTAATTTTGGAATTATTCTTTATGAATCAAGATTTAAATCGTTTGGTATGCTATATTTTGCATTTGAGGGAGGGGAGTTGATCAAATAACTTAATAGATATATTGATATTTATGTCAGGCAATTAATTAATTAATTAATTAATTAAAAAAACACACATGTAATGTATTTCTTGTTCGATGTAGAGATGTCAAGAAGAACGACAACTTCCCCTTCCTTTACAGGAAGAGTCAACTTTTTAAAATTGAAATTGGAACAGTAGATGAGATGACAAATTAATAAGCTGACTGGGTTGTTTCATTGTTTTGGGGAGTGTATTTATTGTGTGTGAAGGGTATTTGCATTCTATATACTGTATTTTTAATGATATAAAATAATATAAAAAAAATAAGGGCTAACTGCCACTTAGAGCTCCTTTACATGGGTTGGTGTGTAGTGTCTATTGATCTTAAGGGGAGGACAGGACAGGACAAGGTAAAACAGTAGTGGTGAGATGGATGCCAGGTTTGAGGAACACCTGAATCAAAATGAGGTATTTTGTTAATACTTGATCTTAATTCAAATACGTATTTGGTACCTCTTCTTGCTTTGTTATAACATAAATATCAAATCAAAATACGATATCAAACATTGTAAATTTAAGGCTTTATTTAATATTTACATGTGCTTCTAAGCATTTATATTTCTATTTACTTTGAATATACGTCTCACTCTTGAATATTCCTATAATGTATGGTTGTAATGGATAATACTATATATATAAATATATATAGTATATATAGATGTCATCTTCTATCTGTCATCTGATCAATGCCGATAATTCAATCGCCAACTATTAATTACTCTCTCTCTCTCTGTATTCATTGCCAATCCAGGCAAGTTTCATCTCTTATTATTGTAAAATGTCCAAAATTTTTCAATATAGTTAATATCTTCGTTACAATTTTGTTGTAGTATAGAATTTGTATTGTTTTGAAGTATTGATTCAATATAATTGTTGTTTTCAACCCATTTAATTAAATTATTTAATTCTTTGTATTTAGATTTTTCTTCTTCTTGGAAATCTCTCGCAGCATAGGGATCAATCGTAGCTTCTACAACTTTTTTCGTATTAATGCCAGCACTGCTACCGCTGCCATTTTTTAAATCAATCTCTTCTTTCATCTTTTTAGCTTCATTATCACAAAATTTAATAATATTGTTTCTAATCTTCCAGTTTGGATATAACTCTTTCTCGAGAAATTTATTACAACTTACTTCTCTAATGCTATTACTATTTATTTTTTGACTGTTACTACCGATACCGCTATCTTCATAAAATGTTGCATACGCATACAGCCTTTGCTTAATTATATCATCACTTTTATGCCTTAACATACTTAAAAATGAATTTACCAATGTTGGGTTTATACACCTGCTCCTATTTACAGTAATCCTTTCAACTCTTATATCGTTGGAATCCCTATCCAAGTTAGAATCAACTGGACTCCATTCTGCTGTAAAAGCTAACTCCCCTGCAACCATTTCTGAAATTTCTAACAGAATAGTGAATCCTCTTGTTTCAACCAAGAACCAATCCAAGTAAATCTATAACGATATACTAGACAACTATCTTCTACATTATAATTAAATATTCCAGCTTCTATTTTATATAAACTAAATCAAGTCTTTGAAGTCTTCTCATCTACTTTTTTTTTCAGTATCATTTTGTTTAAACCCTTTTCTCTAATGAAAATTAGCTCTTTTGAAAATGAATGTTTCAGCCAAAGAAAAAGGTTTAATTTGATACACGAATTGTACCATTGTCCAGAATATTTTGACACCAATTAAATTCATATCATCATTACTATCATCACATTTATATATATATATATATATATATTAATACAAGAATAGAAATTAAAAGAAGCCAAATTTGATAATAACGTAAAAACTAATTAATGAGTTATAAAACTATGTTGATATATTAGATTAAAAAGAATAACAAACTTTTTAAATTTTTTTTCCCCTAAATGTAATTGCTTTTTATGTAATGAATGATAATAATCATATATCCTGGAAAATAATATATAATATCAGAATGTCCTACCTTAAGTTTCATTTTTTTTTTTTTAAAATTTTTTTTCTTTCATCAAATTAATTATAATGATGAAAATATCCAATTTTATCAATACATCTCATACTTTCCTGATGAAACGTCTTTTAATTAATGTAATTCGAGAAATTAGAAATATCTTGTTATTTCTCTATAATTCCAAATCTTCTGGCATAAATGAAAAACCACGGAATTCTTCTTGTTGATTTGTTGTTAATACGGATGGTAACGGTGTTAACGTTGGTGGTGCTGACGTGAACTCTTGCTCGAAATATGAGGTATCTTCAGGTGAACTGATTTTTGGAATATATGGTGGTTGTACGCGTAAATTCAATACATCATCAAAATTAATATTACGGAAGAATGGTTCTCCCATAACTTCTAGGGCATCACGAGGACCCGCTCCTAAACGTTTCTCAGGATCTTTTGTTAATAAACCCTGGAAAATTTGAACTATGTCACCTGCCATATCAATAGGGTAAAGTGGCTCATCCGTCAAAATAGCATTAAATACTTCATCTTCATCATCACCTGAAAATGGCGACTGACATAATAACATTTGATATAATAGAACACCAAATGCCCACCAATCTACCGCTTTAGTATATTCTTGCTCTTTCAAAATTTCTGGTGCCATAAATTCAGGAGTACCACAGAACGTCGATGTTCTATTGCCGTACCACATATCGTCTTTACATAAACCATAATCGGCAATTTTAATATGACCTTCAGGAGTTAACAGTATATTTTCTAGCTTTAGATCACGATATATAACACCATTATCATGGAAATATTTCAATGCAAGCAAAACTTCTGCAGAATAGAATTTGGCCCTTCTTACTGATAATCTCTGGTTTTGAACATGCCACATCAAATCACCACCACCAATAAACTCCATAGCAAAGTAGATACGATTTTCAGTTTGGAAGGAACAATATAGGTTTGTCAAGAAAGGATGTTTAGCCTTTGTTGCAAGTAGGAAAACTTTCTTTTCCGCTCTGGCACTTTCAATATCATGATTTTGAATAATATGATCCTTCTTTAGAACCTTAATAGCACAAATTCTTCCTGTATTCTTAGATTTTGACAGTAAAACCTTACCAAAGTTACCTTTACCTAACACTTTCATCAAAATAAAATCATCCAATGACACCTTACGACGTTTTGGAGATTTCTTTCTATGTTTCCCACTAGTGTGTGACTTTTGTGGCGACCCATGGACACTGTTCCTCACTGGTGTATTGGAAATGGATTTTAATTCTTGTGTAATTGATTCCACAGTGACTTCTTGCTCTTTGACAAAAGTGTCTTTATTCATTTCCCTGAATGGATTAACAGATGACTGTTTAGATATTGTTTTCTCAACTAGAACGCTTGGTTCCTCATTTGAAATTTCAATATCAATTTGTGCCTCTGGTATATACTCCTCTGGAATGAAACTCTCTTCAGTTGGTTCGGGAATATTCATAACACTATAACGTTTAGAACTTTCCCTTAACTCTTCTTCTAGGTGACTGCGCTCCTCTTTCCATAATGCATTTTCTTCTTGTAATTTTACGTCAGTGCTATCATCTTCAATCTCTTCATTGAAATAACGTTCTTCAGGAATTTCAACTTGTACATCATTTTCAAATACACGATTAGATTCCTTTCCAGGTGAAATATTGATACCTGCATCTGCAGTGAAGCTATTATAAACATCATTCTTCTCAATTATATTACTCAAATCTTCATGCCTTGAAACACGCTCTTCTGGAAGAGATTTATTAGGATGGGTAACTGTAGGACTGTATATTTCCTCGATTCTTTCTGATTTAGAACGGTAACCTTTCTGTTGAGTTTCAAATGGAAGTTGCTGAATTGGATATGATTGCTGGAAGTCTGTATTGTTTCGACTAATTGGTGTAGGTCTACCAGATAATTCGGCAAAACTGGTACTTGAGGAAGATTTATCAGTCTTCAAAGATGGAGGAATTTTCCTGCGTTTTTCCTGGTTTCGTTTGGTATCTTGAATGGTTTTTAAAATAGTATTAGCCATTTCCATACTCATACCACAAAAATCTGGCACCAAATGAGCACATTGTGAGTGACACATAATTCCACATTCTGTACATCTACGGACTTTTTGTCTACCCCATGGCAAAATATAACCACAATGGCAACACCATTTTGTACCTCTGTTAGGTGCAGGTTCAAACCTGTGTGGAATATGGTGATTTAGTTTAGCTTCATCAGAGTCACTTTCAACAGTCGATTTTGCAATACATTTGGTAACAACATCAGTGTAACATTTCTTATGACATAAAAATTTACAATCTTGACATTGGAAACCAGAATACCTTAGAAAATCACCACAGTATGCACAACACATGATATTGTAGAATGACTTTTGAACGAAATGATGCCCGTGTTGTTCGAACACTTCCTCTTTTCTATTAATAATAGCACCATGACGGTGTAAACCACCAACAAGATTTGTCTTTTGTGGTGCTGTTGATTTATCAAAACCTAGGGTTAACAAAATTTGACCGGTTGGTTCCAAAATAAACCAAGAATTACAAGTGATAGCATTATTGGAAGATAGGGAATCTGGAGAATTGATTACTGGTCCTGGATTCATACCAGCTTCAATACCTCTGGCGGTGGGTGTTGAATTAGACATATATCCAGTATCGTTTAATTGAGTTGCTGGAGAAGTGCTCATAACTCTTGAAGCATTAACCCAACCCTGTTGACCAGAAGTTTGACCAACTTTCTTTTTACGAATTTCTTCTGCAACATCAGCCAACAAAAACCACATTACTGCAACAGGTACTGTTGAATCATTGACCTTGTCATAAACAATGATTTCTACTTCATTACCTTTATCAACAGGAATATGAAATTCTTCTGACCATCTATCATTTCTTGAAGCTTTTGATCTTGCTTTAATTACATCATCAATTTTAATAACAATATAACTTTCAGGTTTTCTTGAGAACATTGGCGATTGTATATGATCAACATCTCTTACCGTAGAGATACCAATAAGCAAAGTACCTGATAACTGCTTCCTTCTAAATTTTGGTTGCGTATTGTTCATTGCATCCGAATCTTGATTTCTAAACTGATCTAAATCAACATTAATAGCTTGATATTTCTTTAAAGCTTTGGTTAACAATTGAATTCTACTTTTAGACTCCATTGCACCACCTTCAGCAGCAGAACTACTTCTCGTATCACCATCTATTTGATACAATTTTGTTAATTTTGCATTTGCTTCTTGATATTGCCTTTCTACCTGTAATTTAAATTCTAGTTGCTGTAGTAAGTACTGAATTCTTTGAGACATCGATGGACAATCATACTTAACCAAGTCCAGTCTTGAAAAAATGTGTTCATCAGGAGATTTTGTTGTCAATTGACCATATTCATTATTTTGTGAACTTTCATTATTTGATTGTGATTTTTGAATTGAGTTAAGCTGTAATTTCCGTAATTGTTCTTCTAAATATTCAATATTTTGTCTTGCCTCTCTAATATTAGTATTACATTTCTGTATAACCATAGGGTTATCAGTTTTTTTCTTCAAATTAGAAGAACCCAAAATGATATTGTTTTCTCTCTCTATTTTCTTCAAAATAGACTGCTGGACTTTGTCATACATATTATATCTTTTATTATTATTCTTTTCTTTTTCTGTTTCTTGAATATTCCTGAAATTGTGGGAATGTAAATTTATATCTATAATAAATGACTGCTAAGTGGTTAAATCCCTAGATTTAAAACGAATTAAAAGATTTTAAAACGACAGACGATTAAAACAGAGTTACTTGGAATTCAATTTGAAAAAAAAAGTAACTGTTGAATTAATAAAGAAAAACTGTAAATAGGAATATCCTTCTCAGTATGAATTCAGATCTCTAACAAAGTTTCCTTTTTCCAACAAAAAATACAAAATGAGGAATGCAAATAAATATAGAATAAAGGGAGTCACTGTGAAACTAAACTAACACCAATAACTAAGATCAAAGCAGAAAAGATATAATTACTTTCTTGAACTAAAAAATACAATAGGAACTTACAATATAAATGTTTCTATTAGTATATGTGTTCAGCGATCAAAAACGGACGTATTGAACTGTCTCCTCGAGTTTCAAATATAATAAGAGTGATAATAGAGAACTAAAAGGAACAAAGTATTTAAATTCAGTTCTTCTTTTATTTTTATTTTTCTAATGAAGAAAAAAAGATGTATAACTGAATCAAACAAAAAATGAATGAATTAAACACACACAGATATTCAACAGGAATACCCCTACACCTCTAGAACCTTTGATTTAACACTAGACCAACTTATAAGTTCCAAATACTTCGATCTATTAAACTATTTCTGTGTTAAGTAAATATATATCTTTCTAAATATTTAAATTTAAATATCTTTAAATTTTGATCCCGAAATTACCTTATATGTGTATATACCCAGATCAAATATAGTTATATACGACAAGACAACCCATATTAAAGAATAGAAGAAATATCAATATTAATACAATGCAATACAATGCCACCAACACTCTGTTTACCATATTATGTCATATATGTGAGTCAGTTAAATCAATATTTAATAGTTCTGTTTACTTCCTTACTTACTTACTTATTTATTTATATGACATTGGCAGTTGCATCCTGGTACGGGACAGACGTTATGCCTTGCGAACCATTCATCTGCGTGACCTGCATGCATACCATGGTTACAACTCAAACAAAAACTAAACCATTCATTCAATCTTAATCTTTTCATATATTTTAATTCTTCTTCAGTCTCAGATATATCATTTAGTCCTTCATTCTTTGGTTCATTAGTATTTTGTGTATCATCAATACCACTTATTGTAAATGGTAAATTAGATGTACCTAATGGTAACAGACAGATTGCGCATCTTGGGAATGGCGCACCACAATGAGGACATGAATGTTTTTGTTTATGCTTTTCTAATGGAGATGATGGTGTTGTGCCAAATACTTTTTTGGCATGCAGGTTTTTGCCTCTAAACGCTAGAGCATCACTACCGATAGCTGTATTAGACGATACAAGATCTTGGTTAGATCCTGCAATCACAGCATTTCGGCCAGAGCTATTTGGTTTGTTGATATTGGCTTTACAATTGACACATTGAATATACAATTGTCTTGGTTTAATTTCTGCAGTGATAACCCCTGTTCTTGTTTTAGACAGTTTAGATCTTAATACATCGAATTTGGCTCTCATCGAAAATAATTCCCACGAATTTAACATATACCTATAAGATTGAACCCAGCAGTCAACTCGTTTATCTTTGAAGTATCTTGGTGACCCAAAGATGGATATCAAAGCGGCACTTTGAACGTCACTCGTCTTGTTTACATATGATTGCAACAAATCAATACCGCTTGGAGTAATACCGGTAAGTATCAAACCTTCAAGTTCACCATTAGCAATGACAGATGATGATGTTCTCTCTAAAAAGGTAGTCAAATCTGCATCATTTAAAAATCTCAATGCAACACCTAACCTTTCCCTTAAAGAAATTGCAGGTTCATACAAAATGTCCCACCAATCATTATCTGCAATAAATGCAAAAATTACTCTTAAATAAGGATCCTCAAATTCTGAGGACATTTTCCTACATTGTTGTCTCCAAGAATTGTTACCAGGTTGGTCCTTATATGCCATATAACCTGAAATAGCAGTAGCAATTAATTGTAATCTTTCCTTCTTGGCAGAACTCAATATTTCAACTGCCTTTGGAATATCACCAAAGAATACAGCCCAAGCAGCAGCTTTTTCATAATTATTACTTTTAATAATTTTATCATACTTCTCTTCATAGTCACCAGGAACAAGATCCCAACCAGACATAATAAGACATAATTTTCTTTGAATATTTTTAGGGGAATCAGAAAATTTATTTAATGGATTCTTTTGTCCTATATTACTTTTATTTTTATTGCGACTTTTAATAATCTTATCCATTTCCTTATTTAATTGTTTGTCTGTCAATATGACATCTTGACTATACCTACGTTGCGTAGAAATACCACTTAAACCATTCCATATACCTAAAATACCTTCATAACCTAAGTCTAAGTTCTTTGAAGCCATTGAACCTTCTTCGACTGCCGCCTTTGCGATTGCTATCCATCTCCAAGTATTCCTTATATACGAATAGTTTTCTAATCCACTAGAATCATCAATCCTTTCAACTGTTGTCATAGGATCCAGTCCATATCCAAGTTTAGCCCTGGTTCGCATAATAACACTAATATCTTGTTGAAGTAGCTTTTTTGGTTTCCATAAAATCTTATAATCAAATGATTTTTCGGTAGAGTGTCCATCATCATGACTATCCTCCTCATCGGAAATTCCTTCTTCATCAGTTTCATTGGTATACTCTACCTGGATGTTTTCCAAGTTTGGTCCATTATCTGCAACGTCTAAATCTTCAAAAGATAAATTTTGTAAAGTTCTTTCGACACGTTGGGAGTTCGATTTTTCTTCATTTTTAGATATTCTCATCTCATCTAAAATTGGAACTTCGCAGTTAGAAAGCATCAATGAGTTATAACTATCAAATACCGTTGTTGAGTAGCTCTGAAGTATTGGCATACGGTATACAGTTCCTGATTGTCTCATACAGAAGAAACTAACCATATTGTTTTCTTTTGGAATATAATCAAATGTGACAACACGATCAAAAGTTGTATTAATATCGTGTACTGTTGATACAAAAAGTTCCTCATATTCCTCATTTTTATCATCATTTTCCAAACATGAGCCTAATCTCCAACGTTTTATTGTATCACCTTGATGTAAGGTAGCAAACTCCCAGTTTCTTACCGTTGACCAACGAAAACAAGAATTCATATACTTTTTTGAAGCTGCACCTGTTCCAACCAATTTGTCAAATGAAATAAGCGGTTGTGCTATGCTTGGATCATTTAATGTATCATGGGAAGTCAATTTTCTTCTATCCCAAATTGCTAATGTACCATCATCACCGTATGTACTGAATTGCCAACTATTAAATGGATTCAGCTTTATATCGTATGATAGTCGTGTAGGAAGTTGGTAAACTGGATTCGAAGATCTAATATCAATCTCTTTAAGGAATTTTGTACTTGCAGCTAAAATACTTGTATCCTGGAGGAACCTTAAGGAAACAATGCTTTCATTAATACAATAGGAAAATGTAGGGTTAATAATATCAGAACTAGTACTCTGATAGTTGGCATCCCAGATTTGCAATGATGCATCATTCCTGTTCCTATCTAAACCGATTGCTACCAGACCGTTAGTATTTATCACTAGTGTATTAATACATCTCATCTGTTTTGCCCTAACTGTGACGTCAAAATTGTTGTATTCATTATCATTGCTCTTAATGATGTTTAGCAATCTCGCATGTCCACTTTTCTCACCAACACCAACCATACCAATCTCTGATTCTGAGAAATCCAGACATGTAATACTACCAAAATCTTTAACAGTTCTTAGTTTAAGTATAGATTCATCGCTCTCATCATGTGGGTCTACCTTAAAATGTGTAACTTCATCTCTTGTTGGATTCACTGAAATATAATCCAAAAGAACATCATAAGACCATGTACTAACCCTCTTTAATAAACCCATTGGAATGGTTTGGCCTCTTTGTTTGCCTTCTTTATACTTATCTGTTTAGAACCATCTTTATACTTTATATCAGATGTATCAATTTTTACCAAAAGCGTATTTAACCATTATTAGATATATTTCCAAGAGTTCGAATATAGCGATAACCATAATTACCAAACAATGATATAAACAAATATTATAAAGGTTTATATACAATCAACGAATAAATGCAAATTATTGTTACATAATATATATATATATATATATGTATATATATACCTGTTCTAAATATATAATTTATAATGCTACCTGTTAAGAAAATGTCTTAGTAATCTTTCTTCTCTTATATTTAATTCCTCAGCATCACTTAGTTCTTCATCTTCCAAAAGAATAGGACCCTTCCATGGCCTTTCTTGTGTTATCATACCATTATTAGGGTCACTAGTGAAATCTTGTCGTATGTGTTTTTTAACATCAAAATCGGATATCTTATTTATCAGTGATTCAAAAAGTTCCTTCGTTTTAGAGGTTTTGGTTAAAAGTAGTCTTGTTGAATCAGGATCTTGTTCAATTTGAGCAAACGACTCTTCCATATATTCTTTAAATTCAGACAGTTTGTTAAATTCAAAGTTTTTGCATCTAACAATCATTACATAATGTTTATTGCTCTCTTGAAATAGTCTCTCAAATGCTCTAAATGTAGGAGATGAAACAAATTTTGATAAAATAGCATTCCTTAAAAATATCTTCTCTGGGGCTCTTGAAATATTGTTAATGTTTTTATCTATTGAATTTAATTTCTCATCCAATTCAATTCGTTTTTTAATCAACTTACTCAACCCTTTTAATTTCAAAAGATCCTCTAAAAGAACGTCGGAAAAATTAATTCTTTCTTTAAGTTGATCCAAGGTCAATGTATTATAAGAGCTACTATCAAAACGGCGAACCAATGGTGCTCCTCTTTTCAACTCTCTTTTCATTGACCAATATTTACAAATAAGATAACAAACTTTATTCGAATGTTCTACCTTGGCTAGAGATAGGACTGATTCCACTATTTGACTAAAAAAATGAGGTGCGATCGGTGTACCTCTATTAGTTTTCCATTTTGATCTGTTAGCAGAAGCAACCTGAGTTTCATTTTTTTGAGGTACTTCAGGAAAAATGTTATTCTCTATTTTGCTTTGATTCAGATCCCTATAATATCTTCTAGTTTTCATGATACCTTCAGTACAGTCATGCCACCCTGTTGGGGAGTGCTTATCACAATAACTTTGTATCATATTATCTGATGACATTTGATTCTGTACAATTGTGCTGACAGGAGTTTTATTAAAATTGATACACAACGAAGCCCTTTTCGCGCAGGTTACATGATATGCAGTAAAGCAATTTTTATTACTACATTGAATACAACTCCCCACTTTTTGATCACATATATAACAGTTTAGTTTCCATCTAGATTTATGAATGTTTTGTATACCTTCAATTGGTTCCATATAATTTAAATTAGCGAAATATAATTCTGGGATCCAAATTGCACATATAACATGCGCCCATGCACCTGCATCAGTCTGTTTAAATGCACCAGTATGACTAGGACAGAGTGCACAATTGACTTTCCTATTTTTTGACACTAAGCATAACCTACATAGCCATTGTCCTTCTGGTATAAAAACTATACCATAACATTCCTGATGAACAGCAACATCGCAACCATCACAAAAGACTATTGCATTCGAATTAGTGCTTTCGGTTTCATTACAAACCGCACAAGCTTGTTCACTAAATGCTGAAGTTCCATCATCTGAACCATATAATTCATAATATATCCTTGCTGTTTGTGTATGATGATCACTTGCTGATGAGTTACTAGAAAGTGAACGAGGTGGTATTTGTTTTTCTAAATGTATCCACTCATTTTCTAAAACAGTCATAACAATTTCAAAAAGATCATTAGTCAACGTTCCTTTACAGTACCTATTATTCAAAAATTGTAAATATAATTCATCTTGTTCATCCATATCATATTCTGATAGAAAATTTCGTTGAGCTTTTGAAATACCAGAAATAGCATTAATAATATTTCTATTCAAATCATTCAAGTTGTACTGATGTATAAATTTGTTAATATATGGTGTAGTCAATTCATTAAAACCCCTGGTCTTATTATTGTAATTTGTAGATTTGTGTATACCCTTCCCTTTAGGTTTTAAAACTTGATTGCTCAATTGATTAACGTTTATTTTTGTTTCTTTAAAATCAGAATTATGTTGATTTAATCGTACCGGTTCAAAAGTAACTTTACCATTAAATATCATTTGCTTAACATGATGCGAATGTACCCTAGACTCAGTATCATTATTGATATTATTTAGCGTAACTATTGGAACCCTTGTATCTTTTCGCAGATCTTCATGAAACTCTTCAAAATTCCTCTCTTCCCTAAGCTTAGGACCATCATCTGTCAATTCACGTCCCATTACTATACAATATCCACTCAACTGATCATTGTACTATTTCAACCAGAAGATTAAAACAGCCCATTCAATCGATACCTCCATTTATGTTCATTTATGCTTGATGTTTGATATATTCAATATTTTCAAGTATATGTTTACGAGGTGATTAAATTCAATCAAATAAGCCCGGGCATCAAAAATTAAGCATCTGCTGTTAAATTTAATATGGTAAATAAAATGGATATCAAAACTGGTTTAAGTGAACAATGTCACATTACTGGTACCTTATTGATTCAAATGCTAAGAATGTAGTTTTATAATATATACATCTATATATTTATTATGTCTATGTAAAGAAAGTTTGAGAAATGCTAAAAAGTTCAGATCACAAATTAGGTTATATGAATTTCCATAAAATCTTGATTAAAGATTGTTTTTAGTTTTTATAAGTCATGAGTTGAAAAGAAAAAGTTATCACGATTACAGGTACTTTTATTGAACCATCTTGTTACCATATCACGATGATATTACTTTTCTTGTTAATGTCTTTCTAACGAACTACATCATCGTACTTTGGAGGTTTTGGGTATCGTTGTCCGCTACTGATGGTAGACTGCACTTCTTCATGTTTAGCTTCGATTCCTTTCGAGATTCCTACATTTTGAGTCAGCGTATAATCTTCTTTGAAGAGAGGATTATTACTTTCAGGGCTCTTCGCACGTCTTGCGGCTTGTAGTTCTTTCAACTTCTCCGAAACTATGTGATAGTGCCGTACTGCCCGTCAAAACATCATCAAGATTGTTGTATCTATTCCCACTTTCAGTCCTATTCATTGTAGTATTTTGAACTGAACTGATATGGCCTCTTGATTCGGAATGTGGCATCGAGCCACTAGGCCCACTGATTGACGATTGTCTCGATAGCGTTAATTGTTGAATATTTAAGTTATCACCGTAAAAATCAGGTCCCATGTTAGGTGATCCTAATGGAGATAATATAGGAGAGGCAACCGGAGAAGCAGGAACTGATATTGCTTCTTCAAATGTGGGTGGTGAAGTTAACACCATTTCTTGAGGTAGCAATGGCTCACTTGTAGCGACAGCATACGTTGGGAGTTCAAGATTACCACTGTTACATAATTCAGAAACCAAAAATATAGGAATGTCAATCAAAACTTCGTAATTTCTAAATCTTTCTGGATCATTTGCATCAGGTCTACATATTCTGAACATAATTTCTAACTTATGCCTGCTATGAATATTTGGAAAATTTAAACTATCCAAATATAATCCTCTTTTTGCTTTGTTCAACTTAGTATGGTATTTGACAGGTATTTCTGATGAAGAAGTGAATTTAGTCTCGTGATATCTTGGGTCCTTAATAGAGGGAGAATCAGGCTGTTTAGCATTAAAAGATGATCTACGGCCAGCCAAAAACCCAACAATACTTCCTTTATGGGACTGGCTATCTTTCCTTGATACTTCTGGTACAGCTTCCATATTAAAAAGATCAATACCGTAAGGTGGGATTGTTTTAGCAGTCTTTTGATCTAAATCAGCATATTTTGGAAACTCCAAATTTGACAGTATTGTAATCGAATCATTGAAACCAACTATTTCTTCATGCTTCTTATCTTTACTCTCCTTTTTGATGGTACTATAAGATAGTAAATTTTCGTTTATACAGTTATCAATGATCTCTTCCCTAATTGCCCGGGAACCTTTTTCTTTAGTTCTGATTTCCAACAGAGCCAAATTACGATCTTTCTTTCGCCTTGATTCAAATTCACTATAGTATGGATTATATGGGTCCTTGGCTAAAATATCAATTTGATCATACTCATATTCTAAATTCTTACTAACGAAGGTAATCTTTTCCACTATGCTTACTCTAATACGTTTCACACTAATATTTTTAATTAGTGGAGCTAATTTAATCTTTATAGGAAATTTACCACTAAGCGGAACAAACTTCTGTCCAAAGGAAATTTCATAGGACAAAGCATTTGACCAAACTCTATTGATATAAATTGATTTATTTGCTGTCGAAAGTGAAATAGGAGGAGGTGCTCTTACAATATTAATAGGATACTCTGTATATATCCCGTTTGAATTATCTGAATCTGACTTTTGAGAATGAGATTGTATATGAAGTTGTTTTTTAACTTTGTTGAAGATAGAGTTTCCTTTAGATGCATGATTACTACCGTGATCTGATTCATTAATTTTTGAATGCGAAGTAGAATTCTTGTCCTGAGATGGCATGTCACTTGCTCCTGTAGATAGCGGATTGTCTAAAGTCTTCATGGCAACACATAATCTATAACCAACTCTTGCTGAAGGAAGATATAATGATTCAGGTATATGATTTGTGAAAATAATTGGCAAGATAAAAACATAGTCACCAGGGGCTAGATATTGGGGAGACTTTGTATTTAAACTTTTTAACATATTCTGCTTCGTCTTTTGTTTATCAATATAATTTTTGTTTTGATCATCCAAATTCTTAAATAAAACTGTTGGTCTTAGTTCTGATTTATTCTCCACTATCTTTTCTGATTTCGAAACGTTTGAAGGAACAAATAAATTAAAGTTATCTGAAGTCAATGACCAACTTGATGAACCTGCATGGTACACTTCTTCTTTGAATGTTTTAGTTGGCGGTACACCGTCATGCCAATATATTCTAATTCTTGAACATAAATTAACCTTGATCTCAGATAGTTTTAATTTTTTCTTTAAAGAAAGAATAACAGCAACTGTATAGTTTGTCATCGAATCGTCTACTTCCAAACTTGGTGTAGTTCTCGATTGATTCATCTGCCTTGCGTTACTACTTCTCGACGATCTAGCACTTGGTGTAGTTAGATTGTTATTGCTGGTACTAAATTGGGAATTATTTGTAATTGAAGATGACTGAGTATTTGCCCGTTGCATGTTATTTGCATTGTCTGTATTAGTTGACTGGCTAATGGAGCCAACTTCTGTTTGGAAATCCAAATCATCGCCAACCAATCCATTTAATCTTGATAAGTATTCGTCATCAGTAGATGACATAGTTGGTAAAAATACACAATTTCCAGAAGTTGCCACTGAAATCTGGACATTTTGTTTATCTATTACAACTTTCTGAGGTAAGAAGCCTCTCTCTAATAAATATTCAGTTAGGAATTCTTTTCCAAAGGAAATTTCAGAGCCTGGTATTGTTGGTGAACTTGAAGCAGAGTCATTAAATGTAATTGCATCAGAACTTGACGATATGACACTGTCTCTTTTATTATTATGAATTGGGTTGGGATGAGAAATTGAATTAGTACTATGTCTACGATTTTTACCACGGTCATCAATAATCGGTTGTAGGAGGTTATGTGATGAATGATTATTACTTCCATGAATACCACGAGGTGAAATGCTATTTGAATGACCTGTAGATGAATGGAAAGTGGTATTTCTTCTTGGCCTATTAAACGGTTGAGGTTCTACCGGTGAACCTGTACCTAAAATCGATGAGATTGCATGTCTTATTACAGAGGGCTTCCTATGAGGAAGATCTGGGTGATTAGCTGACATGTTTAATTAATATATGAGTAACTTTGAATATATGTTAATTCTAGTATTGTATAGTGTTTCTTTATTATTACTATCCCTATTAATAGTATTATTATTATTTTAATGTTAAATATCTCTGAAAAGTTTGCTAAATAGCGTGAAGTCTCTTGAAGACCTTTAAAATGAAAAGTTAACTAAAGGGACGATGTTTTTAATGCTAAGAAGTCAAAAAAAATGTAATATAATATAATGGAGTGAGTCGAGTATTGGGATGAAATGACAGTTTAATCAATACACCTAGGACTTTTCAATATCAAGCTATGATTCTCAATTTTTTGCATTAACGCAGTCTCTTAAATATTACAATCAGCGTATAATTTGAATATATCTTTCCCTAGCTAAAAACCGATAATGCTGCTGCAACAATGGGGAGGTAAAGCAATTAATGTTAAAATATACAGATATACCAGCCTTGAAGCTTTGCTAGAGGGGAGTGGGTGGGGGTGAATATACTATCAGCCAGTGTCTTATTAAGAATGGTTCCTAAGTCTTGTTACTTACCCAAATCTGCGAACTTGATAAATAATAATAATAATAATAATAATAATATATATAGGTATAATACTCTGTTTAATATAATTAGGTTTAAAATAAAACAAAATAAAAACTTAAAGCATATATAGCATATGCATATTGCAAATAAACAAAATAGTATCCCTGTTTAAAGAAGAGGGATATGAGAGGACTGGTAACTAATGTGTGCTTTTAATTCCTTTCTTATGAAGTATTGTAACGAAATAACCCCACTAACAAACAAGAAAGAGGGAAAACGAGATAGTTAGTTGCTAAGATGATCCAAGATATTGAGCAAATGGAAAAAAACTAGCAAACAAGAACGAAAACGAAAACGATAACAAGAACAAGAACAAGAACAACAATGGCAATGCCAATAATGGGATAAGTTATTAATCATTAATTATTAATTATCATGAATTACCATTAACAAACAATCAATACAATGTAAACGATAATATTCCAAGAGAAAGAAGATCGAGGAAAGACAAATGCAAGACTAAATCAAATCAAATGAATATAAAGAACTTTAAACTTCAACAAGTTGACAACTAGCAAATAGCAACCAAAATATAAGAAAATGATAAGTTTTCCCCTATTTGCTTGCCATACCATACCACATTTATGAAAATAAAACAGACAAACAAACATAATAGTAGATGCACGAACACATGAAATGATTGAGACACTTCATTATAAGCAAGACACATATCTACCATATATTCAAACACTCATTACTTAATTATCAATCAATAATCGTGTCAGCTTAAAACAGAACAAGAACAGAATCAATAACGTCAATGGAACGGAACGATTGAATAAGGCAAAGGGAGGTTTAGTTATAACGATTGGATTGATCAATAATTATTGAAATTTATTCAAATGACGAATTATCGAATTAAGCAAACACTCTTGACCTTTCAAATTGAGGTTCTTCAGGTTATCTGAGGTTCTGGTTACGGATATAATTGAAAGCAACACTCAAGAACAGAATGGTAAAGGTTAAGGTAAAGGTAAGGGTAAGGGTAAAAGGTGGGAAAGATTAAAGATTAATTGATGAATTGGTGGTTACAAGATGGTTTATGTTGATTAATTGTAGATGCCCTCTCGAGAGCAGAAGAAGCTTCTCAGTTTCAAGGTTAGGAGGGATTACATTACAATCAAGCGAGCAAGGCTTTGTTTTAATTGAATTGAATTTATCTGTTTGATCCATTTAATGGATTATATCAATTTGCTAAATTTAAGCCTTTAAACACTTGCGGGGAGGAGGGGTTATTGTTGTCGAGCATGTCAGTTGTTAAGGTTAAAGTTAAAACTGACATTTGATTTTTATTCTATTTTAGTTACTTCGTTGAAATCATTGTTTCCTGAAGGGCAGAAAGACTTCATTATCGTTGGTTATGCTGTTCTGTTCTGTTCTGTTCTGTTCTGTTCTGTTCTGTTCTGTTCTGTTCTGTTCTGTTCTGCCTGTGTGGATGGATGAATTAGGACAATTGACTTAGCCTTGCATGGCTTTCAATGCTTGCCTCTTTGTGAATTGCTCAATTAAGTCAGTTCGAAAGGGTAATGTGTTGGTTGTATTCCCTTTTTGATAGAATTACTTTGGTCAGATCCTATCCCTCTATAGTATAAGAAATAATAAAGGATATTTGTATATTGTAAGTGAGTGAGTGAGTGCATATGGCTCTGGTTATTATGGGGAGAGATATCCAAGGGCTAAAAACAAAAGAGAATAATAATCAGTGTGGTGTATGGGTTAGTTTCACTGGAGAATTATTTATACTTCGAATAACATTTTAGCCTTGACGACCAACAACTGATTCATCCAAAAAATAATTCAACATACATACACACTATCGTTCGTCTTTCACTAATGGTATCATGGTCTTTGAGAATTTGACAGATATATAATAATGATAAATTGGTCTAACTTGGTCAATTGTATTGGCTTATCTCTAACGTCCTCCTAATTTTAAACATTGTCGATATCCAAAATACCATTCCAGGAAACCGAATTCCCACCCCCCCAACAACTATAAACAATGTTCAAACGTTCTGTAATCTCACAAACTCGTTTATTCTCTTCCACATCTGCTAGATTTGGTTCAAAGGTTTATTTTGAACCATCAATCAATGGTGAAAAAGTAGGTAGAATTGAATTTAACTTGTACGATGAAGTTGTACCAAAAACTGCCAACAATTTTAGAGCTTTATGCACTGGTGAAAAAGGGTTTGGATACAAGGGTGTTCCCTTCCATAGAATTATTCCACAATTCATGATTCAAGGTGGTGACACTGATTTAGCAGGCGGTTACGGTGGTAAATCTATCTATGGTAGTAAGTTTCCTGATGAAAATTTTGAAAAAGTCCACGATAAATCAGGTTTGTTATCAATGGCAAATGCTGGTCCAAACACAAATGGTTCCCAATTCTTCATTACTACTGTCCCATGTCCTTGGTTGGATGGTAAACATGTCGTCTTTGGTGAAGTCACTAAAGGTATGGATATTGTTAAAAAAATCGAATCCCTAGGTGACATGAGTGGTGCTCCAAAAGCTAAAATTGTAATTGAAGATGCTGGTGAAATTAAAGATTGATTTCTTTGGCTTCTTGCTTCAACATTATCATTTGAACATCTTTCAAAAACATTTTAAGCCAGTACTAATCCTATGCCTTCTTTGACCATCAAAGTGTGGATTTTTTTTGTAAATATCTTTTTATATAATTCTGTATAACAAATTACTCATAATAGTAAACTTATATTCCAGTAAATATGACATTCTCGATCTATTCATTTATAATAAAGCTCTTTTCATCCACTTCTTAATTTATCTTGGCATTTTCATACTTCATCAATTTGAAATAATTCGAAAAATTCAACCTTATATATTAAAACAAACAATCATAAATCAATGAAATGGATAAAGCCAAGGAAAGGTTGGCATTCAAAGGATACGTCTTAACCAACCAGCTTACCAACTAGTTAGACGAAATACAATCATGGCTATATACTCTTTTTGGATCTTCGATAAACATTGTAACTGTATTTTTAATAGAGAATGGACCTTAGCTGCTGATACAAATAGCGGTACTATGAACTCTAAACAAAATGAAGAAACAGCCAAACTTCTGTATGGTATGATCTATTCTTTACGTTCAATTACTCAAAAATTATCAAAAGGTTCTAATACTAATGATGTAAGAAGTATATCCACTGGGAAATATAGAGTTCATACCTACTGTACTGCCTCAGGTCTTTGGCTTGTCTTACTTACAGATTTCAAACAACAATCATATTCACAAGTACTTCAATATATTTATTCACATATATATGTTAAATACGTTTCTCACAATTTATTATCACCTCAAGACTTTGCTGACAATGAATCTGAGATGAGAGGTCAAGGTATAAGGAAAATTACAAACAAAAAGTTCTTACAATCATTAGAAGCCTTTTTAGTACCAATGATAAATAATTAATGCCACTTCAAATAGAAACTATCATTCATCGATACATAATTAATAAATAGTTATATGTATATATAAGAACTTAGGATTATAATGTCATTTACAATGTAGATTAATTTAAGTTTTTGTACTGGGAAAATAATAATAATATATATTATCAAGTTAATTACCTTTTTTATTTCCATCTGTATTTGAAATTAGGCTTCAATTTTTACACATGTATTATTAAGATCATTTTTCCATAATATATATACATATATTAAGTCTTATCTCCATTGGTTAATGTTTAAGTCCCTACGTTATATAAAAGTTTAACAGCATCGCTTGATAAATCCTACTTCCTCCCATTTGAATCTTAAGATCTGATCTCACTAATAATAAAATAGCTAAATAATTATACTTCTTGTGAAATAGTAAAATGCTAAGGGATTCTGAGTGATGCTGAGTTCTCAAATAATCTCGAACCTTAAAGTAGTTAACTTGTATCACTAGTTTGTATTACTATATAGTGCAATTATGTAAGGCATACTATAAGACCTATGAAGTATTTAATACTTTATGCTAAGCAAAGACAGATCACGATTTAATGCATGATGTGATGCCATTAGAATTATTTGTACCATTCTGCGAATTATCTGATTTATTGGCGCGATTATGAACCATATGACTCTGAACTAAATGACCAGCAGCAAGGGCAGCACATAATGATAACTCACCAGCTAACACAGTACTAGCAACTATCTTGGCAAGCTGTCTTGCATTTGTTCCTGGCTCGGTAGAGTGTGGTCCACGAACACCTAATAAATCTAACATTGCAGATTGTGGTCCTAACACTGTACCTCCACCAATTGTACCCACTTCGATGGAAGGCATCGATACTGAAATTCTAAGATCACCATTTATTGCTTTCATCAATGTTATACAGTTAGAACTTTCAACATTTTGAGCGGGATCTTGTCCTAATGCTAAATAGACAGCTGTTACCAGATTTGCCGCATGCGCATTAAATCCACCAACAGAACCAGCCATGGCAGATCCAATTAAGTTCTTTGCGATATTTAATTCAACAAGAGCATTCACATCACTTTTTAGAACTTTATTTACAACATCACCAGGAATTGTAGCCTCTGCAACAACACTTTTACCACGACCTTCAATCCAGTTAATTGCCGCTGGCTTTTTATCTGTACAGTAGTTACCAGAAACTGAAACAATTTCCATATCGCCCCATCCATATTCATTGGTCATTTGATGTAAAGAAAATTCAACACCTTTTGATATCATGTTCATACCCATCGCGTCACCAGTAGTTGTTCTGAAACGAATAAATAACAAATCACCAGCCAAGGCAGTTTGAATATGTTGTAATCTTGCAAATCTAGATGTAGAATTGAACGCTTTCTTGATTTTGTTTTGACCTTCCTCTGAGTCTAACCAAATCTTACAAGAGCCAGCTCTTTGTAAAGTTGGGAAACGTACACAAGGCCCTCTTGTCATACCATCTTTAGTTATAACTGTAGATACACCACCTCCTGCATTTATTGCTTTACAACCGCGCATTGCTGATGCAACTAAACATCCTTCGGTTGTGGCCATTGGTATGTGATAAGAGACACCATCAATTATAAGCGGACCGATTATACCAACTGGTAAAGGCATGTAACCAATAACATTCTCACAACATGCTCCAAAAACTCTATCATAATCATAAAATTTGTAAGGTAGTCGATTTGTAGCCAATACTGGTGCGTCAGCTAAAACGGAGAGAGCCTTACGACGTACAAGAACTGCGCGAGTATTATCTTTTAGTTGCTTTTCCAATGAATATAAAGGTAATTTATTGTTGACCACCAGTGTCACAACTTCTCTATTTTTCAAACTTTGAACATTACCTTCTTTCAATATTGTTTCTAACTCTTCTAAAGGTCTTGATGACAGTATATTTGTGTCACTATCGACATCATCTGTACTATAATCTTCCTCGGTAGATAGTGGGGAGTCAGTAGCAACTGTTTCTGCGCTTGAAAGGGGAGAATAGCTTGCAGTTCTTTGCTCTATTAGGCGACTAGATATAGATGGACCACTCTTTGGTGATGATTCGATTTTTTGTCTTGCCTTTCTCTTTTTTAACTGAACTGCGGTATAATCAGAATGAATTCTTGCAGCATTCAATAAATATACATTAATTGACATACTTATGACAAATGCGATTAGTATCATTTTGCTCACAAATCTATCTCTGATTGCAAAACTTAAATGTTTGAGAAATTTAAATATAACATCTTCTACTTGATGATATGGTTTCATAGGTTGGTAATATTGCGTTGGGGCAATAGAAATAAGTACATAATTATTTTCATCAAAAACTCCACTTGAAACAAGGAAATCTGGAAGAATTGGTTTTTTCTTATCATTGGAAAAAGGCTTTTGTAAATTGCCATTCTTCCATCTGTCACCAAAATTATAGACATTTAATGAGATGATTAAACCTACAATAGAAAATTTTGCTAATTTGATTGCAAAATCAGAGTTAAGGAAAAAAGTATTCTGATTACTTTCGGAAGCACAAATAATACTTGCGGTTGTCGCTGAAACACCTTCTTCTTCTAAATTTTGTTTTATAATAGTAGACTTATGGATGGTGTTGATCTCTAATTTTAAGGAAAGGATTGCAGAGTAGAAAGTGGTAGTCAAAACCAATCCATAAACTAAGATCAATGCTGTTAGCATACAAAAGTTTGTCAACACTTCCAAATGTCTGGCATAGATTCCGCATGCCATGAAGCCCACAATACAGAATAAATAATCTTGTACTAAGTGACCTCCTTCTTCCATCATTGCATCAAATATGATTTTATCAGTAGTTTCTTTGTCTGATATTCCTAGTTTGTCAAACATTACTAAAATATATTCTGTTAATTTAATCTTATGTTTGAAGCCAATAGCTACTAGAATAAATGGTAAACCCTCAAAGAAATTTGAAGCAGCAATTGGTTTATCGACAATATAAGGAATTGTATACAGCGCTAAAATGATTGCACAGCTAGAACTGACAATTGCTGATAAGCTTAACCAGATCTTTGAGCCAATTTTGTTCATTTCTTGGTATAAGTTTAATAATGTGTAAAAGACCATCAAATAAGAGGTGACGATTATCCATAAATCAAATGTTTCAAAATTATAGATCATTTCTAAGATATTTTCATAAACTGAGACCAATATATTTTGAACTTTAAAAGTATATTTTCTATCATTGACCAATCTCCATTGTGTGTTATCATTGGATAAATATTCGGATTTTATTTCTGTATTTTGTTGTAAAATATATTTGCTATTGTTATTTTCGAAAACAGTATTGCCAATTAACGGGAACAAAGAAGTTGAATTGCCGCCATCAAAGGTTAAATTGAACAAATAATAATGGGAGTGTACATTATTCAAATTTTTTGCTTCATAACTGGATAATAAAATCCAAGAATCTTCTAGTTGATTTTTGTAGTAGTGAGTACATTCTTTAAAAATTTCATCAGAATTTAGAAATGTGTTTGCTATTAATCCTTTTGAATTTAATGACCATACTTCGAAATAATATTGAATAACTGACAAATAGGCAGCGGCGGAGATCAACAACGTGATTAATATCACATGAATAGGGTGTCTTGCCGATAATCTCGAGACATGAGCTAAAGGCACAGCGGCTTTTTTCAATTGAGGAAATAGTAGAACCATGGTTATGAGATTTTTGGGTTTAAACTAAAGCCCAAAAGTGTGAAGTAAAATGAGGACTACAGTTGTAGTGGGAGATGAAAAAGAATTATAAAAGTCACTGTTAGGAAACTTTTCGATGGAGGGAAGAAAAAAGAAAAGATCAATAAAAAAAGGGTTTGATCTTTAATTCTTATTGTCGTGAGAATAGTTTCTTGTTGGAATTATAATAGATGATGACTTTAAGTATTTTACTTCTGGACCTTGATGAATTCGATTGAAATTTAATAAGAAAACAATCAAATAATTGAAACTTTTGTAATTTTTCAATGGTTCAAGTTAAGAGCAAATTGAAAGGTCGAACCAAAAAAAAAAATAGGATGGGAGTGGAGAGGGAAAAATAATTTCAATCTGAAGAATTGATCGATCGATAAAACAATCAATGGATAAATCGATAAAAAAAAAAGTGTTGTTCCTCTTGAAAAATGTCAATAGGATGCCAGTTGACTAAATTTCAAGAATTAAAAAAAAAAGAACTTTTTTAGAACCGATCCAACAAAAAAAAATGTAAATGGCACACACTCACGCACGGTACACACTCACAACAGAAACCAAGATATCAGTTCTGGTGAGAATACAACCAAAAGTATAACAACAGTTAAGAAGAAATTAACTAATTTCTTTCCTTCCTTTTAAAAAAAATCAATTAAAAAAAAAAAAGTAAAAAGAGAGAACTCTAATAGTAACAATCTAGAGGTCGGAATAAAAGATGGGGAAATTCCCTTTATTAATGGTTGTTGACGTCTTCTTTTTAAAAACAATTATTTTTTGGTTTTAAAGAAAAAAATAAAAATAAAAAGTAAAAAAGGTTGAGATTTCCAACAATGGCAATTGATTACGTCTCTAGGACACCGGAGAACCAAAATTCTTTGAATGAATAAATGTATATGTACGGAAAAAGAACACTTAATCCAAAAGAAATTGCTACCAAACCAGTGGAAGTGAAATTTCCGACGGAGGAAATATTGTTTTTGGTACGACGAGAAGCGATGAGACAGTCTCCGATACGGTACGGTACGATGCGATGCGATGCGATGCGATACGATGCGATACGATACGATAAAGTGTCTGTAAAAATTTTATATTTCCAGGAAAGTGAAGTGACAACGACAAAAAAGTAAGTTATCTCTCTTTCTTTCTAGTTTGCTTCCTATATATCAACGTCTCAAAATAAAGATTCTTCTCAGTAAGTTTCCTTTGTCAGTGGGAAAAAAAGAAAAAAAAAAAAAAAAAAAAGAAATCAAATAGATTTGCAATGATAGTTATTGAAATTTTTGTGTTAAGATGATCCTCTTCAACTATTAACAATCGATTGATGGAAAAAGAAGATAGTAGAGGGACTGGAAATGCTTTAGGGAAAGAACTTGACCAGACAGGGGAAGGAAAGAAAGAAGGCAAACTAAAAATGTCAGAATTTCTTGTTGTTTAAATAACTTACCGAAAAGAGGACCACACTAGTACCAAATCGGGAATAGTAAATGGATTGAATGACTTGAGATAAGGGTGCGAGTGCGAGTGCGAGTGCGAGAGTGAATCTATATCTAAATCAAACGTGCTATTCTTATCGCTCTTGTTCTTGTTCTTGTTCTTGTTTTTGGTGTCACTGTTTAACCTAAAAGGGGAAACGAGATGACAGAAAGTAATGACTGATATCAACAAAAGAAAACAAACAAAGATGAAAGAGTTGATGGATCTGACAGAAAAAAAAAGTATGTTTTTTCTTTCTTGCGATGATGGAGGACCCTGTGCTATGAACAGTTGGGGTTGGGATGGTGTGGTTGGCAATATATAAATTAATAAATTAATAAACAACAAAAAAAATAAGGGGAGGGGACGAGATGAGATGAGTTTCAGGAAAGGAAACTGATAATCTCGCGGGATACGAACTCTTGGCTGTTGGATGGCAATTGATTCAAACAGCGGCTAAGTTCTGGATGGCAGGGAATAATAAAGAATCGGCTAACTGTGTAGTATTAGAGGTAGACGATTTCTGGAATGAAGGGGTGATGATTCTTGGGTTTCTTGAATGTAACCTATCTATCAAACTATATAAAGGGATGGGAACAAAAGTAAAATGTGAAGTGAAAGAGGGTAGCACTAATATAAGTTTTTGTTTTGTTTTGTTTTGTTTTGAAAAACCTATTAGTCTAGTCTCCTCACTATGGTATAATATGGTGGGCAAAAATTGATTAATAGTAAAAATTAAACTTTCAATGACTTTTAGTGAAAGAAAGAGTAATTTGTAGAAAGTTTATTATTTCAGTTTGCTTGTTGTTCTCGCAGTAAATCTTGAACAACTCTAGAACTTGATTGACGATCAAAATAAAGTAAAGTAAAGTAATAAAATAAAATAAAATAACTTTCTGAGTTGTAGATAATAATAATCAACTCCTTGTGCGTTGTGTGGTTTTTACAGAATAATTATAGAAAATAAAGTAAAATAAAACAGGATAATTGATATCTGAATAGAAGCCAGCTTCTAAACAATAAGGATAACCTGTTGGTGTAACTTTTTTTTTATTAATACTATAATATTAAAAAAAAAATTTAGAAAATATAGAACGTTAAAGTAGAATAAAATAAAGGGAAGAAAAAAAATGTACAGTATATATTATTAATTTTCCTTATGAGATGTTCTTAATACAATTCCCAAGAAAATAATAAATAAATAGATAAATAAATAAAAGTTAAATTCTATAATCTCTTGACCTTTATGCTATTATTGACTTTTTCTTTCCAACACTATCAACTGTGTCTTTAAAATAATAATATTATAATAGTACTAGTACCAGTAGTAGTAAAAGTAAAAGTAAAAGTAATAGTAATAATAATTGAAAAGAACAAGAACCAAATATCACAAATACTTTTGTCAACAACAACACAACAACAACAACAATAATAATAAGAACAATATATGTGTCTTACAAAAATTAAAAGTAAACAATTAGAACGACAAATCTAACTCAGGTTTCTTAATTCAAATTACTCTTTATATACAATTGGTCATTCAAATACTTGACTAATCAGTCGATCATTGTGACGAATCTATAAAGGAATGATCTTCAATCATGCTGAACTGGACAAGTTGAACAAAACAATGACAATGACAATGACAAATGTGTCTGTTCCCTAATTGACTACTCTGAAAAGAAATAGACACACGCCTTAGGCAACAGATCGTATACTATACAGTAAACTTTATTAGCAATCTACCTGACACCGGTCGGAATGGTGGGGAAATAAAATACAGAGATGATCAAAGCTCAGCTTAGCTTACTAACATAACTATAAAGCAATAACATAACAATAAAGCAATAATACAAGATTCTTCTACTATTGTTGATATCTTTTATTGGAAGCTCTAGTCATTGTTTTTTCAAGTTTTAAAGGTTTGTATCTTGGTTTTCTATTTGTAATCTCTCCAATTTAGGTATTCTAAATAGTCATATACAGATGTACTGTAAGATGCAATACTGTGAGATCTGACACCTGTTTGGTTTTTGCATCTTTACTTCCAGTTAAGCAACCGCCAATTCATTCGATTATATTGTAGTGTAATTGCAATCACTTGTTGTAATGATTCTTTATCCGTTGAATGTATTTAGTCATATCAATCTCTACTGATACATTGCTGTGTCGATAATGTACTGAATAGATGGCTCAATTGTTTTACTTTTAAACGTTGTTTCTATTGTGTCTTATTATAATATATATATATATATATATATGTATGTATATATAAATGTGTGATAGAATTGAATGTTTGTGTTATTTTTTGTTTTAAAAAATCTAGTTTTTCATCTATTTCATAGAGACTAATTTGACATCGAAAGTTAATTCAGAGTTGGCTGGAATACCTGGCAATGCTTGTTTACCATAAGCATATGGTGCTGGGATGACAATTCTACGTTCACCACCGACTGACATACCAGCAACACCGACATCCCAACCTTTGATGACTTCACCATGACCTAATTTGAAGGCAAATGGTTTACCGCTAGTGTTCTTGTCAAATACTTTACCGTTCTTCAATTTACCAATATATCTCATACCAATTCTGGAGGATTTCTTAGCTAATGGACCCTTACCAACAACTCTGTCTTCGACAATAATACCACCTTCTAAAACTTTAGTCTTTGGTTTCTTGGCTTCTTCCTTCTTTTCTTGTTTCTTCTTGGTTGGACCTTCTTCCAAATCTTTCTTGAATTTACCTTCTTTGCCTTCTTGGCTTCTTTGGCAGGTTCTTCAGTTTGCTTTCTCTTTTTGTCTTGTTTTTTCTTTTGAGTCTTGCTTTCTTCTTCAATCAATTCTTCGATACGGCCTTCGACGTCGCTGGCGTCTTCTAAATCATCTAATTCATCATCAATGATTTCGTCTTCATCTGGAGTTAAATCATATTCACCTTCATCAGAATATTCATCGTCATAGTCGTCTTCACCTTCTTCATCGCTTTCTTCAAATGGAGTGTCAAATGGATGTTTAACAAAGTTACCGGTTAAAGAAATGGCATAAGAACCAGTGACAACAAATTGAACTTCTTCTTCTGGAGCAATAGTCAAATCAATAGCTTGTTGGTATTGGGATTCTGGAGACAAGGTTAATAAAACATATTCTTCAAATTCGTCATCTTCTTCTTCAGAATCTTCTTCTTCAGAATCTTCTTCTTTTTCTTCCTTCTTAGAGTCCTTCTTAGAGGCCTTCTTGGATTCCTTCTTGGATTCCTTCTTCTTTGAAGATTTAGCTTCTTCATTTTCTTCTTCTTCTTCATTGTCCATTTCTTCTTCATCGTAATCACCTAAGATGTCACCTTCATCATCAAAATCTGGGTTTCTCTTAATCATTCTTAAAGTAGATGGCTTCTTTTCATCATCGTAACTTTCTGGGTTCAAAGCAGCCATAGTAATACGGACAGTGACTGGCATGGTAACATCGATGGCCGGAGTTGGAGCGTATGGCTCGATATTGACACTGTAAGTGGCTAATGGCAACATGTCACTCATCATGGAAATTTATTTTTTGGTTAATTGATGAAATTTATTGTAACAAAAACGAGTTCCTTTTAACTTTACAGTTAATTACAAATTAATTTTGCTTGAATCGTTTGATTGCTTGTTCTTATGAACTATTTAATCAAAATATAAAATCAACTCTGGAATGAAACTAACAATTATTTTATATGTAGAATATAATTTTTAAATGAGATGACTTTAAAATTTTCATCGCAAAAAAATTAACGAAGAAGGAAATGGAACCAGCTAGAAAATTTCTACGCGTAAAGTTTTAACGGTGAACCGAAAATATAAAATTATTCAGATTTGAATTATAAGTTAAGGAACTAAATACCAAGAACATCATGATGTGTTTAAGATGGCATAGCACATTGTCAAAGTGTTAATAATGTCAATTGTATAGCTGATAACTCGGTTTTGTCTTAGAATTATATTTTTATTTTATTTTTTTTTAATATACGTAGAAAAATATTGATTGGTTTAAGTTGAAACTATAAAAAATGTAATCTAGATAATATGAACAGAATAACTATGCATTGATCAAATGTAATACATTACGGATTTAATGTTATCGTTAACTTGTGGTAATAGAACATTCTTGGAAACAGTAGGTTGATCCTTAGAACCCTTCTCCTTTGGTGCTTGAGCCATATTAAGTTCAAAACCTGCCTTGAAAAAGCATGTAGCACGGGTACACAACAAATCGGCATAATATACTGGGGCTGGGACTTTTACACTGGTAGTAGATCTACCGAAAATGTAACATAAGTTGTTACATATTTCTTGTAAGTAGTCAGAAGTAGATTGGTTTTCGTCATATAGACACCAATAGTGGCATGGGACACCAGTACCCTTCAAAGCTTGATGAGATTGGATAAAGAAATCAAAGTGTGCCACAGATGTGATACCACGGTCTACAACAGTACCTGGCATAACATTACCCATGGATTGAACAGCAACTTCTTCACCCTTTTCATTCTTCGCATTTTCTTGGATAGGAATAAATCTGACTTGATTTCTTTTGACAGTGGCAATACATGTAACTGGTGGATCGTATTTGTTACCACCATTTAATTGAGGACCAAATTTACGGACTGATTCCTTAATAGACTTAACTTCAATCTTAACAACTTGAGAGAATTGGTCAACTGAAACACCATCTCTGAAGTACATGATCTTCGTTGGTAATTTACCATTATTATGTTTTTGATATATCTTTAATCTGTTCAACATTAATGAACCGACATTAGTAATTATTTCTTCACCTGGACCATCTTGAAGCATGTAATCACCAGGGAATTGGGTAAATTTGTCATCGTATGAACCTACTAACGAGGCAATAGAGTTTTGATCCTTTTCAGGATAATGTGTCACATCAGAACCCAACACTAATATTGGCAAGTTAGATTCCTTATCAATTAATAGTTTGTTGTTTTCAATAGATAGAGAGTGGTTACTACCTAATAACTTCAAGTTCATCTTCATAACAACATTGGAATTATATTGAATAGAATTCTTTTTGAAGTTGTCCCAAACAACACAGGAATTCAATGCACCAAATTTCAAATCAGTGATATATTTCAATCTATCATAAACAGCAGAATCGTTACCACGGCGCAATACATACAAAATATAGGTATTGCTTGGAATATTTTCTAATAAGTTTAACAAAGATATCTCACCTGGAGAGGTTTCGAAAGTTGGAGGACCAGATGGAGCACCACGGCCACCACGGCCACCACGGCTACCACGACCACCACGGCCACCACGGCCACCACCTTGGAATTTCTTAATTGGGGGACCAAATTGATTAATTAGAATTGGTTTACCTGATACGTTGAAGTCCACACCTAATTGTTTAACATCAGATGCGAATTTATCCATAGAGATGTCAAGTTCACTTTCCATAGATGCTGGTGGAGCTGTGTTAGCATTATTAATAAATATTGCTCTTAAGTTGACCTGTTTGGCTGGAGTGGAAATAAATTGGTGACCTTTCATGTTCCAGTTACCTTTAGATTCTTCATGCTTAGTTCCATAACTCTTGTCCTTATATTCAAAGGTAGATTCTTTGAACTGAACAACTGGGGCATCTAGAATACGAGATGGTACTCTCATAAATTGATAAGCACTATTGTGAGGAGCTGATGATTCTTCCTTTTCAGAATCAGTTAACCCTCTTTTTATAGCTGGCATAGATAACCTGGAGATTAAATCAAACTTTTCAGTTGGTCTAATTGCACTGAAGTCGATATAAGTTTTTGTATCAAAAATTTGACCCTTCAATTTTTGACCCGGCACAATAGTCAAACATTCAGGAGGAACGACATCATTTTTACCGCCCAAGTTTACTAACTTCATATCAGGATATTTCAAAGTAATGTCATATTTCCTCTTGAAATAATCAATAGTATTGATATTGATAGGTTTTTCATTAGGTTTTGGAGCACTGTTCTTCTTCAAACTACTTTCAAGAACATTAAACCTCATGGATACCGCAGATTCACGGGTAAATCCAACAATACCCTTAGAAGATCTCTTTCTTGGTGGTTTTGGGGTACCATCTTTATTGATACTATAATTGATGTACGGTCTGTAAACCTTTAAACCCTTTAACAAAGCTGAAATATCAGTGTTCTTTTCGACAAAATAGTTCAAATCTTTAACTGATGGTGGAGGAGCTGTTTTTGGATTATATCTGATATCTCTTATAGCCTTAGATTGGTGGTAACATTCAATGATCCAGTCCATTAATGTAAATTGTTCCTTTTCATTGTTTTTAAATCTTGGATCACCTGGCAAGTACTTGGTATGTTTAATAAATGGAGCAGGAACACTGACAGTGTTTAAAGCGACACCACCATAAACATGAGTTAATGAAACAGTAAAACCCTGCAACAAATAACCACCGATTTGGAATGGGATAGCTTTAGCAAAATTATTGAAAATAAAGAACTTGTTACCTTGAACTTGGAAAATCAAATCATCTGTACTCATGAACTTAGCACCTAATAAAGATAGCAAACATGTCTTATCGATTGCAGACATTCTACTTTCCTGTACTTCGGTGTCTTGAGTAGTGGTGTCGTTATAAATATCTTTCAAGCCTACTTTACCACTGAATTTCAAAGTGATTTGAGAAACCATTTCTTCTAATTCTGGATCTATTTTTTTTTGTAGAGAAGCTTTGTTGGATGGAGCACCCATACCTGGAACAACCTTCTTCTTTTGCTTGTTACTGACTTCCCAACAACCATCAAACAAAGTGAATTCTTCTAGTGGCACATGAGAATAAATAGTATCTTCACCATTGAAAGCGATACGATCCCTATACTTGTACAAGATTTCATCTTCATCCAGTAAAGCTTCAATTAATTCATATTTCTTTGGCTTTGATAATTCCTGTGGTGGAACTGGTTTGCCTCTACGTGGAGGGCCTTTTTGTTGGGGTTTGAAATCGATATGATAAGTAAAGATGAAGGCAGTTTTCCACCAACCATCTAATTTAGGAACCAATTCTTTGTCGATTTTTTCAGTAGGAACATCGTTACCTACCGCAAGCAAAATATGGTTTGTCAAAATGTCAACTTTAGTACCTTTAGTACCATAATCATGTCTATTTTCAACTTTATAGATTGCATGAGTATCTTCCTTAGGTTGATCTACAGTTTTCTCGGTTAAGTCAAACACTTTATCAGAATATTTGAAACCGAAAGATTGAGATTTAGCTTCAGAAGATTGTTCTGTAGATGTTGAAGAATTTGGTTCAGGGGTAGATTCTTTTGAAGATTTCTTTGGTTTCTTTGATTTCTTCTTCTTTTCAGATTTTGTTTCTACATTTTCAGACTCTGTTTCAGGAGTAGATTCTTTTGAAGATTTCTTTGATTTCTTCTTCTTTTCAGGTTTTTCTTTAACATTTTCAGAATTTGCTTCTACATTTTCATTACCTTCAGATGATTTCTTTTTGGATTTTTTGGATTTTTTAGGTTTTTCTGAACTTTCTTCAGATGGACTTTCACTTGTGGATGTCTCATCTAATTTCTCAGTTGAAGAAGATTCTGTTTTATCCTTGGATTTTTTTGTGTTTTTAGATTTTTTTGTCTTTTTAGCAGTACTGGTTTCATCCTTTCCATCGGAATTTTCCTTTTTGGATTTCTTCTTGTCCTTCTTTGGTTTACTTTCAACTTCACCATCTCCAGCATCAGGTTTTGAAGAACTTGATTTCTTCACAATAGGTTTTTCGGTCTCAGCTGCATTTCCAGCAATTATTTGGGTATCAGGCTTTAAAGTAGCCATGATATCATATGCATAGGTTTACTTCAGTCTATTTGGTTGTATTTTATTATATATTTAACACCTCTTGTTCCCTGAAAAATTAATTACAACTCTTATAAATGAACACAGTGGCAATATCTGTTGAGTATCTACTTTCAATATGAACCAGATGGAATATAAGCAAGGAAACGAACTTATATATATTTAAATCGTATTATAAATTGACCTCGATTTTCCAACTGATGTTTGCTTATGCATTGAAACTGGATTTTTTATATCTACTGTTCTCCGGGCTTAACTTAGACAAGACAATACATGAGATTCCAACATTCTCCAAAAGATGCGTAACACGATGATACTCGTAAGCTATGATAACTAATTGGTATCCCCAATTTATGATCACGTGGCTCATATTTAGATGTTAGATAGAGAAACATTCATATGCAACAAACCCCATATTAAAGAGCAAAAAGGAGTGACAGTGAAAGTGCATAATTAAAATGCATACATTGTAATAATTGTTACTGTTAATGGTATTCAGAGTCTATCATATTGATTTGATTTGCATGGAATTGCAGATCCTAATCATCAAAATGTGTGAAATTGCCTACTTTTATTGAAACTGTTGGAATACATGATCGAGCAAGCTTATATGGTCTGATATTTGGTTAAAAATATGTATATAAGTGAGGTGACTCTTGGGAATAACAATTGGTAATGTCCGATTTAGTTTACCTAAAACGGCACACATTGCCTAGTTTGTTCACCCTCAAAGAATAAGCTAATACCTTTGCTATTATCTGTACAGAAGCAAAGAAAAAACGCTTCATTCATTCATTCATATATATAAACTATTGCTGTCGTTCGGCGTATGTATAACTTAATTGATATACTGTCCGACTCCCTACAACGTTAGAGTAATCGCTGTGTAAATGTTTTAGTCTTATTTTCTTGATATATTATAGAATGAAGTTATTATTGTATACAATTTTATCTAGATTTTATGAAGAACTACTAAAGCAAAGAAATTTTGCAATTTGTAAAATAACAAGATTTAATATCCTTCTCTCGAATACATTTTTTTTTTCTTAAAAATAAAATACGTTAATGGAGGGGGGGGTGATACCTGTATGGGTATAAATATGACAATCATTGAATATGGAAGCTACTGCTATCTGAAATTTATCATTTCTTGATTCCCAAATAAAAAAGCAATGAGCTTGATTCATTGATCGGTGGATTGATTGTTCTTAATATGAAAACTTTAAATTAATTGTTAGAAAAAAAAGAATTCATCATATACAAATGAAATTACCATATAATATATTATTTGTATATTCTTATTTTTTTTTAAAAAAAATAACCTTTGAATGAATTCTTTTTCGTTTTATACCTTTAAATCAAATTTAAAATTTCAACATGTGTGGTTTTTCACCGTTTTTCAAAGAGAATGAAGCAGCCAAGTATTGTTTCAACAAAGGAGTCTTCTTGATTTCAGCTAATAAAGCCTTGTCGACATTCTTTTGGTCTTCAACACGTTCAGTTTTCAATTCTTTAACTTGTTGTTCTGGGAACATGTTAGCTTCCTTCTTTTGTTTCTTGGTTAACTTTTCCTTGGCGAAGTATTCAGCGTTGAATTTATCAACGTTGACACCAGCGACGGAAACCTTGGTGGAAGTAGCAATAACGTAACTAGCATTGACTCTTCTGATTGGGACACCGTTAACTTTGAATGGACCAGTGACTAATAAAGTGTTATCTTCCATATGTTTCAAGTAGACAACTCTCTTACCTCTGAAACGACCAGCTAACAAGATCAATACAGTACCTGGAATTAAAGAAGCACGTAACTTTTGTGGACGAGCAGTCTTTCTAGTCTTCTTTGGAGCTTGGACATCTTCTGATGGGTACCACTTTGGAGCCTATAATAATGAAATATACTTGTTAGTAAAATAAAGATTCTTGATATCGATGATGAATGAAATACATAGAATATAGAAAAATAAAACTAATATCCATGATTAGGTTGATTGATGCAATATAATAAAAGGTTGGTTTGTCCGTTGAAGGTCGAGGGTGTGTAACTGTCAGCTTTTTTTTCCCTTCAATCTTAAATCGTTGTGAGCTTACAGAATCAAAACTGTACAAGCCAGTCTTTTGGAATATTTTTATCAATTGTGTAATTTTATAACGTTTATTTACATACTTGTTGAGCACTCATTGTTGTAGATAGTTTTATAGTTTTTGTCAACCTCTTTTGAAAGGGATCAAACAAGTCAAGGTCCAAATATACAGCGAGATATATAGAACTTTTCAATCAAGTGGAAACTCGATATTAATAAATCGATTAGTCTGCAGCAACGAATGTATATTGAACGTTTACGCTAAAGCTACCTTAAGCATGAAACCAGTATTGTAGGTTCATTCGAACTCTAGTTCCATCGATTACATACAATCCAACTATCTCTAGAGCCACTGCGGACAATATCGCGGAAAGGGAGATAGAGAGAGACTGGAGTTAGTCAAGACAGAAATTGACAATAATATTGAATTGAATTGAACTGTATGTTATGGTCAAATGTCGTTGTCGTTAGCCAGTTCACTGATATTTGATAATTAATGGCGTCTGTCTGTCAGTAATTATTGTTGTTGTTGTTATTGAGAGGAATTGACAAGAATAGTAGATAGATACCAGACCATAGTGTAGGTATGATGTGGGTCCCTAAGGTTTTGGGTTTGAATGTCCTTCACAGTACAGATTAGTTAGAGAGCGACGACTATAAGATTAAACAAAAACTCATATTGTTTGAGAGCCTGAGTATGAGAGAGTGGACAGGAAGGACAAGAAGCATCCGTCTGGTTCTGGCTTGTTAGAACGGTGTGGTTGAGATGGGATTTAACAGTATTGTTCAGTGTAAATTTGAAACTGGCAAGACAAAGAGCTGCAGTAGGAACCATGAAATTGTTATTGTTAAACCCACTGGCACTACACTAATGGGAATTGTGGCCATTCCCAACGTTAAGAGAGAGAGGTTAGGGTAGAGATGATAAGATAAGATAAGATAAGATGATGAAGGTATATAGATATGTTTAGCAATGACAAACAGTTATGGAGTGATGAAGATGTTTGTTTGTCTGTTTCTAGAATTTGTAAGTTTAGTTTTCCCATTTTCGCTGAGATATGGCAGTACCAGCGGAAGATGAAAAGGGACGAAGTCTATTCTTCTTAATTTATTCATTTATTTATTTTTTTTTATGGAAGGGCGAGGGGGGCGGGGAGATTTATTGTTGTAGAAAATTGGTGGTTTGCACCCATACATAGTTTGGGTGTCTAGGTTTAAAAGTCACTTGGTTGGTGGTAGTTCTGTTTGGTGTGGTTTCATCACGTGTATATCTTATCAATGGTTCAAAAGGGGACTCGCTTGTTGCATTAAAGAAAAGGCCCTCAGATCAAGTGAAATCTCGGTGTGTTTCACGTGTTTGTTTGTTTTTTGTGTTGGTGGCCGCATATCAATGAGATGTAACTCTATGTATGTTGCTGGTGACAGCAAACAAGAAATATTGTTATTAAATGCAAACTTGATTCAGTGTTCATACTAACGATTATTTTGCTAACAATGATCTCGTATAAACTGTCGCTCGATAATTGAATTACTTTCTACCTTGGGTATTGCTGCAACAGCAAGCAATTGCGAGAAAGGACAGTATCTCCCATAAAATTTGCTTACATAAAACTAAACTAAACTAAACTAAACTAAACTAAAACAATGGTAATCGTTGCACTCAGTTGGACATAGTCTGTTCTATTAGTTACCAATGGGTTCTTTGTATGTATGTATGTATGTATGTATGCCTTTAAACCACTCATCATGATTAAGATAGCATACATTTTATTTATTGCTCGTTTGTAATGATATTTCAAGTAACCCTTTTTTTTATTTCTTGACTTTAACAGAGTTGCAACATTAACAAAAATTGAAATATTTTGAAATTTAATTATGGTTATACATATATTAAACTAGATATGAAAGAACAACACATTCGAAATTAATTGTTTGAATTGACCTTCTTAAGGGAAAGATATTGTGTTCTTCAACTGTACAATTATAGACTGAGTTGGTTGTTAGGGATAACTAGTGATATAAACAAAAGATATACCTTTCTCTCTGGATTCATCCTTTGCAATAATAATAGATCTGCTGAATATTTACTAATTTGGAAAATATCACTATAATTATTTTTGATTAAATAACTGTATTACACTTGGATTGATTGATTATTTCGAAAATGGAAGGTGTCTACTTTAACGTGGATAATGGGTTTATTGAAGGCCTAGTTAGAGGTTATAGAAATGGTCTTTTGACAAGCAACCAATATATTAATTTAACCCAGTGTGATACTTTAGAAGATTTGAAATTACAATTGTCTTCTACCGATTATGGTAATATGTTATCTTCAATCTCAACTGATGGATTGACCACTTCTGTCATTCAAGAACGTGCTTCTGAAAAATTATACCAGCAATTTAATTATATTAGAGATCAGACTAGTGGGAATACTAGAAAATTTTTGGATTATATAACATATGGCTACATGATAGATAATGTAGCTTTAATGATCACTGGTACTATTCATGAACGTGATAAATCAGAAATTTTAAACCGTTGCCATCCGTTGGGTTGGTTCGACACATTACCAACCTTATCTGTTGCTACTGATCTGGATTCATTGTATAATACAGTCTTGGTCGACACTCCTTTAGCCCCATATTTCCTTGACTGTTTTGATGCAGCCGATGAACTAGATGACTTAAATATTGAAATTATCAGAAATAAACTATACAAAGCCTATCTAGAGGATTTCTTTAAGTTTGTTTCAGAAAAAATAGACGAACCTGCTCGTGAAGCAATGCGAGATTTATTAGGCTTTGAAGCAGACAGAAGGACTATCAACATTTCTTTGAATTCTTTACAAAGTACTGAAATAGATCCAGTATTAAAGCGTGATCTGTTACCAGACTTGGGTAAATTATTCCCAATTGCCACTCATCGTTTGGCAGAAGCACAAGATTTCGAATCAGTTAGAGCAGTAGTCGGTGATGTCTATGAATATCGTACAATTCTAGAGTCCGGTAATCTAGAAGATCATTTCTATCAATTGGAAATGGAATTATGTAGAGACGCATTCACACAACAATTCACAGTAAGTACAATTTGGGCTTGGATGAAATCTATGGAACAAGAAGTGAGAAATATTACATGGATAGCAGAATGTATAGCCCAGAACCAAAGAGAAAGAATAAATAATTACATTTCTGTTTATTAATCACTTCACATAGGTTCATAATTTCTAAATCTTTAACACACTAATTACAATGAAAAGATAAAAAATATTTAAGGATCAAGATCAATCAGGCATGGAATGTAAATAATTAAATTGTTATTTTTCATAAAATTAAGTATTTCGATTTTACATAACTTTCTTTTAAGAACAATTTTTATTTCATATAGAAACCAATAATAAGAATTATTAATTTATCTAAGTTCATATTGAAAAATATGTCAACTATATATGTAGTGGCTGAAATTTAGCATTGCTTCTTTATTTCCGAAATTTTATTTTAACTAATGGAATAAAGGTAATGAAGTAAGTACTGGGTGTATGATATTAAACTATAGTTTATGTTTGATCATTAATCAAAAAAAATTAATAAAATACATGATACTGATAACTTAACACTTACTATGGCAGATTCTAATGTTAATCTTAGAAACAGAAATAAGAATGGGAATGAAACCTCCCAGGTACGAAGCACATTTGAAAAGGGTTCAGATCATTATGAAAGCAGCGAAGATAATGACATAGAAATTAAGTTTGGAATTCTAGATATTATTAGAATATTACTGGGAATCCTTTTTCTAGGTTCAATCTTATCAAAGTTGATACTGGGCTCTTGGCTGCCGATAAGTTTGTATAAACTCAGTTCTAAATCAATATCGCTGGAGATTCCAGGATATTGGAAAGAAAAATACGATAAATTTCCTATTACATTTAATTTAGATGATCTAAAGGCATATCGAGGATCAACTGAACCAGAAAGAATTCTTTTGAGTATAAAAGGTCACGTCTTTGACGTTACAAAGGGTTCCTCCTTCTATGGAAAATGGGGCGCTTATCAAAGATTTACTGGAACAGATTGTACAAATTTGTTCAGCTATTCTCAATGGGATTTGACAGCATTTAATGATGAATGTAATCCATTTTACAAGGAATTTACCAATTCACAATTACAAAGAATCGATGGCTGGTTGGAGTTCTTTCGAAAGAAATATCCAGAAATTGGAACAGTAGTTGAACTCATACCTGAAACTATTGATAAAAAAATAATGAATAATGCTTGATTGATTAAATTTAATAAAAGATAAAGATCAGGGTATATTAATAATAATTTTCTTCTTTTTTTTTGGCTTTTTAATAATTATGTATTTAAGTATAAATTTAAAATATCTTGAAATTCTTTTTGATTACAAGTGAATATTCTCATACTCAATCTTCGCTATGTTCAAAATCCAGCTTTGAACATGTGGATAGCACCGGTCCATATAAATTACTGTTTTCTAATAAATGTAAGGTGATTTCACCATTCGAAATCTTGGAAATTCTTTCTTGATAATAAGAATTATGAGCCAAGAAAGATCCAACAAAACCGACATTTATCTTACATGAATTATTCTCATTTTCGGATACAAATCTGTCGATAGCTTTAATCATTGCAACCAAATATATTGAGGCTCTTTCAATGTATAGTTTAGCTATTTGGCTAACAATAGCTGAGTATTCATTTGGAATAACTTGATCCGCCTTGCCATTCAATAGCATACAAAATATTTCTCCATCAAATACTTGTTGTTGAGAAAGAATTGGCACTTCTAGATAGCCTAAAACTTTTTGTAATGACAATGGCATGTATTTACCGCTTGTGATAAATTCCATTGGCATAAACAAGTTTGAAGAAGAATTTCCCATATCGAATTCATTCAAATTGATGAACCCTTTACCCAAAAATCCAATTTCACCATTGATCAAAATATCTTGAGAGGAATTTTCATCAGTAATCTGGTGAATAAACTTCTTCTTTGCTTTAGGAATTCTTGAATATGGCAATTCGAAGCATGAGTTCAAACCTGTACCTAGGATTAAGGATAATCCATCTTCCCTTGAAATAAGTTTGCTAGTTAAATGTACGGCAACTGAATCATTAATAACATCACATACTTTGATCTTAATATTTTTAAATTTAACATCATTTTCAGTAATACAATCAAAAGAGTTTTGTAAGATTAAATTGACTGGAATTTGTCTTGCTTCTTCAAACAAGATATAGTCTTTTCCCATCGTGATAATTTTATTTTCTGAATCAATTGGGAAACTAAAAGTAACTGAAACCAGTATATTAATATTTTCCTTACATTGAATTGTAGCATTAGACATTCACAAATCCAATTTACAATATCATAAAAGAATGTAAAATCGACATTCTTTCTGACAACTTCAAAATCATTTTGAAAATTGATGTCAAAGTTATTTCCCTTAACCTTAGATAACAAACCAATTTTTAATTTAGTCCCACCAAAATCTATTGCCAAATGATAAGAATCTTGGGATTTTGAAGAGAGATCCTTATTGCCGACAATACCACTTGGGATCATGGCGTTTTCACTATGATGTAGCATCTGTTCTAACTCATCCATGAATTGCAATACTAACTGATCTATAGATCTCTTCGGCAACAACAGTTGCTTGATTATTTCAATCTTTGGATAAACAATAGTCATAATAGTTTTGATATTGGTCCTATATTATATTCTGTTCTTTTGCTTCTTTGTAATATTCACATGAAGAAATTGAAAGCTTAATATGAAAAATCCTAAAATAAACTAAATTGATTCAAAACTGAATTCTCACAATTGGCATAACTGATACCCTATTTATATCTGAGAGAATGGAATATGATATCATTTAAATTGCGTTAGCAAAAAAAAAAGAGAGTAACACATGCGTTGATCAATTATAACTTAAACAACAAGTCCCTTTAATCTTAGTAGTTCTGTTTTATCATAGTCGTTATTTCATCATTTTTTTGCTATTGGAACTAACTTGATCAAGAACTGCATATATAGATGCCATATATAAATATATATCTTAATAGCGCTACCATTTATAGATGACAGCAAATAAGTCAAAAGATATAACGATGACAGAAAACAAATGACAATCACAATGACCACCGATGTTACAACAATGGTTGATTAGCAAAAGATCTAGATATGTGTATGTTCAGATATGGTTTATTATTGGGATTCATTGCTGATAGCAAATAAATATTGGAATGCAATGGAAAGAAAAGAAAAGAAAAGAAAAGAAGAGACATTAAAACAAACTAAACTAAACTAACTGTGTCATAACTAGTTTTAGAAGATTTTTATCGTAAACATTTATCATTGATGATAGCAAATAAATTATAAGTTTGGTTTAAGATTGGTTGAGTGATTGGCTCTTGGGTATGAGTCTATGGATGGTTCTTGGAAGGTAATTCAATCTTTGAGATAAGATTTAGGATGTTGGATACAGGTTAGACAGGTGGCTTTTGGGGATTCAACCTCAAATATTAGTTTGAATATTTTGGGTTTATGTTATCACACTATCAATGAGACACAAACAAAGTGTATTAATTCATTGACTTGCTTTTATTTAACCTTTAAAAGAAGGTTGGATGGCATTACATTGGTCACTAGTTGATCTTGTTGTGAAGGTGAATTGGATATATTTTGAAGAATATTTAACACAGGACAGCCCAGTATAACAGAGAGAAAAGAGTAAGAGAGACAGTGAGGGTGTGTGTGTATGTGTGTCTGACAATTATTTTTGTTTGTTGACAGAATTATAAGAAATCAGGTGGTTAAAATACATATAGCTTCAATCAATGGTAGAGAGTAATTACAAAAATAATGGGCTTTTACAACATGATTTATATTTGATGAAGAACAAAATTTTACAAGCTCCTCAAATATTGAAACAACAATTTAATGTTGGAGTGCAAGTAGTAGATTTACAATTCAATGAATTGGCAACTAAATTTAATAGCACACGGATGCACATAAGATCATTACATGAAGCATGTAAACGATATAAATTAACGTTGCATTCCTTTTTCTACAGCTCTGTTAGTGTTCTAGAAGTATTTCATAAATTATTAGACGGTGTGCCAATGGAATGTCATATGAACCCTGATGGCACTGCTCAGATGGTTACAAATAATATTTCAGCCAAACAAAGGGCATCAGAATTTTTACAGGAATTTTATAGTATTGCAGGAATAGAACATATTGGTCAAAAAAAAATTGATATTAGTAGATTGAATAAGCAGTTGCAAGTTGTATCAAAGAAAGTTGAACAGGATTTAGAATTCTTTGATCTACATGTTTTACAGCCATTGGTCGAAGTGGATTTATTATGCTCAAAGACTTCAAGATACATTGACTATAGAGATCTTAAAAATTTAGAAGTAAGTTCATTAAATGACAAATGCGACTCTTTGAAGAAATTAACAAATAATAATACAAAAACTTTAACAAGTAAACAAGAAGTTGAAAGAATGAGATCAGAAAAAAAATTGAAAACAATATCAGAGGATTTTGAATTGATTAATAACAAATTAAAAAATGAATTACCAATCTTTTTTGATTCAATTAATACTTTTTTACAAAACTGGTTTTCAACATATTATTTTACAACATTAAGAATATCTTATGCATTGTACACATATACATCAAATAGTCCTGAGCTCAAGAGAATAATTGGAACTGAAGAAAATGAACCAAATAAAATAATGAATATTTCAACACCAGATATATTGTCTCAATTCCATCAAACTTTTGACTATGTTCTAAATGAAGTAGAAAACTTAAAAATTACAGATTTTAACAATCTGTACAGATCAATTTTATCAGACTGTGAATCTAACAATAGAATGTTTATGTGATGATTCGTCCTCTACACAACTAGATCAATTTCATCATGTTTGAATTATATTACGTTATATAAAGTACGTCATTACATATATTATATTGAGTTTTAAAAATCATACAAGGAAAGAAACAACTCTTGAGTTCTAATAAACAATATTTTGATCCTTATTATGCATGTATTAATGTGAATTGATTGGTCTAAGTCAAATAACGTTTAAATTAACCTTAATTCTAAAAGGGTTTACTTATTTAACTAGTCTTATACACATTTGAGGTACTGTACTACTAGTCTTTCTTAAAATATATCAACCCTTTTCGATATTAACGAATTGAAAAATTTCATTAATATGGGGAGGGGGAGATAATAAGGGATTTCGAATATCGAATATAAGAATAGGTTTAGATTTAATTATATTTTAAATTGAGTTTGAATAATTGTGTATTTCTTTTGTGAATATACTCAGTGTGTAGTTTAAATAATATATATCTCTATTAAAACTATTTAAAAGGAACCTTCATTTTATTATTCAATTATCATACAATGGCTGTTAAATCATTTGAAGTATCCGACCCATTGGGTTCAACATTAAAAGGCTTTGCTTTAGCTCATCCTTCGATTACTTTGGTACCAGAAGAGAAAATATTATTCAGAAAGACTGATAAAACTAAGATTGCTCTAATATCTGGTGGTGGTAGCGGTCATGAACCTACACATGGTGGTTTTGTTGGTAATGGTATGCTAAGTGCTGCTGTCTGTGGTGATATATTTGCTTCTCCATCCACTAAACAAATTTTAAATGCAATCACTTTGGTTAGTGAAAATGCTTCTGGTGTGTTACTTATTGTTAAGAATTATACAGGTGATGTCTTACACTTTGGTTTAGCTGCTGAAAGAGCTAGAGCTCTGGGTATCAATTGTAAAGTTGCAGTTATTGGTGACGATACAGCTGTTGGCCGTGCTAAAGGTGGAATGGTTGGCAGAAGAGCTTTAGCAGGTACTGTTCTGGTTCACAAGATTGTTGGTTCTTTTACTGAAACTTATTCTGAAAGATACGGGTTAGAAGGAGCAAGTAAAGTTGCACAGATCATTAACGATAATTTGGTTACAATCGGTGCTTCTCTTGATCATTGCAAAGTTCCTGGAAGAAAGTTTGAAACTGAAATCAATGACAACCAAATGGAATTGGGTATGGGTATTCACAATGAACCTGGTGTCAAAGTTCTAGAACCAATTCCTTCCACCGAGGATTTGATCTCTAAACATATGTTACCTTGTCTTTTAGATTCCTCTGATAGAGACAGATATTTTGTTGACTTTGATAAAGATGATGAAGTAGTTTTATTGATCAACAATCTAGGTGGTGTCTCCAATTTGATTTTATCATCAATTGTTTCAATTACTACTGACTTTTTAAAGAGTAATTATGGCATCACACCAGTTCAATCGATTGCTGGTACATTAATGACCGCTTTCAATGGTAATGGTTTCAGTATTACTTTACTAAATGCTACAAAGGCCACTGCTAGTCTGCAAAAAGAATTTCCTGAAATAAAATCTGTCTTCGATTTACTGAACTCCAAAACAGACGCTCCATTCTGGCCAGCTCAATCTAAGGATGTTAAACCTGCTATTAATGAAGAGCTTCTAAAGACTGAAGTAAAGGTTAAAGATTGTGGTTCCTATAATTTCAATGACTTTTCGAGATGGATGCAAGGTGGTGCAAAGGCAGTTATTAAAGCTGAGCCACATATTACATCTTTGGATACTCTTGTTGGTGATGGTGATTGTGGGTATACCTTAGTTGCAGGTGTTAATGGTATTACTAAGAACCTTGACGACATTTCTAAAGTTTCTCTATCAGAAGCTACCGCTCAACTTTCGGATATCATCGAAAGCACAATGGGTGGTACTTCAGGTGGTCTTTATTCAATTTTGATTTCAGGTTTCTCACATGCCTTAATTCAAATCTGCGCGGACGAAAATGTTCCTGTCAGTAAAGAAGTTTTGGCAAGAGCATTTGAAATGGCTTTAGAAACCCTATATAAATACACCAATGCCAGACCTGGTTCTTCAACAATGGTTGATGCTCTAGAACCATTTGTCAAGGAATTTTCTTCTAGTAAAGACTTCAAGAAAGCAGTAGCCGCTGCTGATGCAGGAGCAAAGAGCACTGGTAGTATCGAAGCCAAGTTCGGTAGGGCCTCATATGTTGGGGAATCTGCTGGTATCGAGGATCCAGGTGCTGTCGGACTTGTTGCATTCTTACAAGGTATCGAGTCCGTTTTATGAACTTTAAATGTATTTAGCGCCCAGAAGGACAGGTTTAACTAACGAACATTGTTTCATGTATATTTTTAAATTTTTTTATTAGAAAGTATTGCTTATTTTTTGTAATTGAAAAAAAGATTCATTATTTGATGATTCAATAGCTTATATATGATGACTGGTGGTAGATAGAGATATGACATTCAATTAATCACTGTTTGAACTCTTATCCATCCAATTAATAATAGGTACAATAGTTGCTTTTCACGTGATACTCGTTATATACGAAGGTATAAGAACCTCTTCTTTCTGAAACGCGTAAAGAATTTTTAAACTAAGAGAGATAAATTAAGAGATAAAGAAGTATAATAATTAATATCTTATAGATACCAATACCTAAGTTTAGACGAGAAATTCGTACTGCAACAAGGGATATCAATTCAAGGATAAAATATGAGTACTGATTTTGATAGAATCTACTTGAATCAATCGAAATTTAATGGTAGATTTCGTATTGCCGATTCTGGTTTAGGTTGGAAAGCTGCTGCCAGTGGTGGTTCTGCTACAAACCAAAATAAAGCACCATTTCTTTTACCTGCTAGCGAACTATCTACTGTCCAATGGAGTAGAGGTTGTAGAGGTTTTGAACTGAAGATTAATACTAAAAATCAAGGTGCATTACAATTAGATGGTTTTTCAGAAGATGATTTTAATATTATCAAAGGTGACTTCCATCGTAGATTCAGCATTCAAGTTGAACATAAGGAACATTCTTTACGTGGTTGGAATTGGGGTAAAGCTGATTTAGCCAGAAACGAAATGGTATTCTCTCTAAATGGTAAGCCAACATTTGAAATTCCATATTCCAGAATTAATAACACTAATTTGACTAATAAAAATGAAGTGGCGATTGAATTTGACATCCAAGATGAAAACTATCAACCAGCGGGTGATGAATTAGTTGAAATGAGATTCTACATCCCAGATGCAGTAAAGGAAGAATCTGATGAAGAAAAACCAAAGACTGAAGAGGGTGATGTCGAAATGGAGGGTGAAGAAAAGGAAGAAAAGGAAGAAAAATCATTAGCAGAAACATTCTATGATGAATTAAAGGAAAAGGCTGATATTGGAGAAACAGCAGGTGATGTTATCGTATCTTTCCCAGATGTGTTCTTTACCACGCCTAGAGGTCGTTATGATATCGATATTTACAAGAATTCTATTAGATTAAGAGGTAAAACTTATGAATATAAACTACAACATCGTCAAATTCAAAGAATTGTATCTCTACCAAAAGCTGATGATATAAATCATTTGATTGTATTGGCAATTGAACCTCCACTTCGTCAAGGTCAAACATCATATCCATTCTTGGTTCTGCAATTCCAAAAGGAGGAAGAAACAGAAGTTCAATTGAATCTGGATGATGAAGATTACGAAACTAACTATAAAGATAAATTAAAGAAACAATATGATGCTAAGACACATATTGTCATTAGTCATATTTTGAAGGGTATCACAGGTCGTAGAGTCATAGTACCTGCTGAATATAAATCAAAATACGAGCAATGTGCGGTTTCATGTTCTTACAAGGCTAATGAAGGTTACTTATACCCATTGGACAATGCTTTCTTCTTCTTGACAAAGCCTACATTATACATCCCATTTTCTGATATAAGTTCTATTAATATTTCCAGAGCAGGTCAAACAACTACATCGAGAACATTCGATTTGGAAGTAATACTACGTTTCAATAGAGGTTCTACCACATTTGCCAATATTAGTAGAGAAGAACAACAAATATTAGAACAATATTTGAAATCAAAGAACTTGAGAGTAAGAAATGAAGAAAAGGAAGCACAACAAAGATTACAAAGTGCTCTTGGATCAGATAGTGAAGATGAAGATATTAACATGGGCTCTGCAGGTGAAGAAGATGAATCTGTTGATGAAGAATTTCATGATAGTTCTGACGATGATGACGTTGCTGAAGAATTCGATTCCGATGTTCCTTCAAGTGGCGGCGAAGATGAAGAAGGAAGCGATTCCGAAAGACCTGCTAAAAAGCCAAAGGTTGAATAAATGTAAAATATTATATCCTAGTGTATAACTTTAATAAAATTTGAATGTGTCAACTCTTTTGTGTATTCCATTATATAACTTCAATCTGGATTTTAGATGTACGGATCTGTGATATTCGTAATAGTTAAATTCAAAGCAGGTTCATATATCTACAATAAATCTTCCTTCTTATGATACGCTTAGGCTCGGCTCGGTTCGGTTCAAGTCGACTTGTGGGACTTCAACTCGGCTCGGTATAAGAAATTTTGTATTCCTTCTAGTTAAAAATATTTACTGCCTATAAGAATTCTATTTTGTATTGATTAACAAGGTTGATACCTAAAGATAATCTAATGTGCAGACTAGTTGACATAAATTGGCTAGATATTGAGATCATCTGATTATGTTAATTATGTACTGATGATATATTATATTTTATAGAAATATTTTTGAGAAAACTTTAAGTAAATGGAGGATAAAGCCAACTTACGTGATGATTTAACGATTCTAACGGACATGTATCCTGAATTAGACGTTTCTATTGATTTGTTAGATTCAGCTAAGGAATTGACAGAAATAGTTACTGGGTGTCTGCCCTTCAAAATTTCACTTCCCACAGACGTAACGGTTGAGTATGAAAATAAGTCATTAATTTTGGATAAACTTCAGACTGATTTATTGCGTTTTAGTATTGATCCTAAAGAATATCCTAGTTTGAATAAAGGTTTAAAGCTAGAAATATTTTCTCAATGGATGGGAGACAAGTTTAAAAATAAAATCATACAATCCATAAATTCAGAATTTGGTGAATTGACAGATCCTAATTCAGACAGGTATGATCCGTTCACTCCTATACTGATGCTTGTATTCAGTTATGTAACTGATGATGTCGCCAGCCTTATCTTTCCAGATAATAAATATATCTGTAGATCTGAAGAAGAATTTAAACTATACGAAAACAGTACAGTTATTGTGAAGGAAGAAGAAATTACAAAGAGCAATTATTCATGTTGTATATGTATGGATATTAAGAAAGGGGACAGGATGATAAAACTGCCGTGTATTGGAGAAGAGAAACATCTTTTATGTGTAGATTGTACTAAAAACTACTTCACAAATATGATAGAACAGGGAAATATAAACGGTATCAGATGTCCAGAATGTAAGTATAACGAAATAGATCTGACAAAACTCAAGGACTTTAATCAAATCAAGAGCAGTCTATTTACTCCTATGATCAATTTTTTATTTTTTGAAGGAATCCTGGAACCAGAAATGTGTGAACGATATAAGGAACTACATTATAATCAAGCGGCAACAAAACTTTCAAAACATTGCACATATGCATGTGTAACCTGTCGAAGATGTGATCAATGGTGTGTGAAAGAAGATTTGGATGATTCGATGGTTCGATGTAACAAATGTGAATTCGTTTTTTGTTTCGACTGCTTACACTCTTGGCATGGTTATAACAATAAATGTGGGAAAAAGGTTAAAATTTCCAGAGAAGTAGTAGAAGAATACATTGATGAAGATAACGAAACTTCTGATGAAAGAAAGAAAGAGCTTGAAGCACAATATGGTAAGAAGATGTTGGAACAAGAGGTTAGTGAATATCTATCAGATAAAATGTTGGATCTAGCTATTGCCGAAGAGGGCTCTGACTTACAAAGGTGTCCAAATTGCAGATTAGTAGTCCAGAGAAGTGAAGGCTGTAATAAAATGAAATGCAGTGTATGTAATCATATGTTTTGCTATCTCTGTGGTGAACTTTTGTATGTAGAAGATCCATATGAACATTTTAGAGAACCTTGGTCGCCCTGTTATGGTCGGTTATTTGAAGGAATGCAAGGTGTGGAATAAATGTCAAGAGAAGTTATTATTTGAAATTTACTTTTATTTGGAAAATTTTGAGAATATTAAATGTGTCAAGCTCATTGGGGATATTATAGGCCAGGAATGTATTTTTGAAATATGTTTACAAAAGTTCAATTTTAATATCAATTTAAGTCAATAATATTTAATAGTGTCTGATTTTAATGTCTATGAAATCACACTTGTTTCACCGTTGATTCATCGTCTGATTTCAACTCATCAATTTTGGTCTGCTGTTTTTTGGGCTGTATATAATGATTGGATGTTATAAATGCTACCGGTAAGAAAATCCATTGAATCCCGACTCTGATGCATGTTATTATAAATCCGCTACCAGCTTTTACTTCTAACATTTCCCATCCTGTGGTAGTTATTCCTGTTGGATCAGGCTCTAACATTTTTAATAGTAGTAAATATAGGAGGTTGCCTGAAAATGATATTGATGCAAATACTAATAATAAAGAACTAGTTATTTTTAGTAGTGTTGGTAAAAGTATCTGTTTTTTACCCCAAACCAAAGCAAACCCAAATAAAATGACATTTAGAAAACAATGAACACTGATAGTAATTTCAAAAATATGGATGAAGTACATTATCTCATTAAATAGCATCAAACCATAGGCAAGGGAAACACCTTTGTCATATGCTTTTGATGAACTATACTCCAAATCAGTTTGTTCGTTTCCTTGGTTAGTGACGATTTTTGGCAAGATATTTCCCCTTTGTCTATCACCCTTAATAAATGTGTGTAGAGAAGATAATGATAGTTCATATGTGAAGACCAACGATTCACCTAAAATTTCGGTATTATTCTCATATGCGGAAGATAATTTTCCCAATTGAATACCAACATCTCTCACTAATAATGCCAGGATATCCATTCCTGAAGAATGATTTGATGTACAATATTCTTTTTGTTTCCCATTTTTTTTGCAATATCCAAAATAATTAACCTTATAGATGTTATTCAAATGGAATGTATCAACTAAATTTTCATCATTATATGCATCTGGAGCTGGTAACCCACTAGACCATCCCATATCAATAGTTAAGTATGACAATAGTCTTAAAAGTTCACGAATACTTGTAATAAAATCATGTGTAATATGTGAACTATCTACAATCGCGAAATTGAATTGGGAAGTACAAATTGGTAAACCTCCATTTTTCGATATACATGAGAAGTCAGGTAAGTATAACAGAAGCTGTATTAAAGTGACAATAAACAAAAATGTCCAAACGATAAATCTTTTCAAAAAAATCATATATTGATGTACTGTAACTGACTTAGTTGGTATAATTCATGGGCGTATGTGATATTTAATAGGACATTTTTTTTTATCAGTTTATAATTGAATATATTTATAATCCTTGTTAGTAACGACACAAATGGATAATGCTGGTTTGATGTTGTGTCCTTCTTCTTTGACACCTCAAAAAGATATATTTTAAAGCCTTCAGTTATATAACTTTTAATTACTACTGCTTGTTTTTAAATAATTGAATCAATACCCACTACTCGCGTTTCAGAAATAAAAAGATGACTTCATGTTTAGACTTTAATTCATTATTTTAAAACAAAAATTAAAATCTATATTAATCCGATAATTGAATTTTATCATATTTACATTTCCCTAGTAATATCTTCTATAAAGCATTATCAAAAGTGAATCCAAGATCTCTTAACTTGTTAGTGTTTGTATATTTTACTTCATCATATTCAGTTATACTGTATTACTGACAATATTAAAAAGCTTTACTTTTTATCCTTGCAACCACTAGTTGGCTTACATTTCCATAATTTCTTCTGTCCAATCACAAGCAAAATAACCTAAACAGTATATAAATATTTTATGTTAAAATTATCAATTATCTACATTTATTGCCATTGACCTTCGAAGGTGTCACGATCATTATTAGTTCTCTCTCTTGTTTTCATACAATCTATTTCGCATTGGTTCATTCAATGTATTTACAACATCCATTAAGGTTTTTATCCTTAGATAGACATTAATCTCAAGACGTTACTCCAACAGCATTGTCGCAACTTATACAACTTCAAGTCCTCAACCACCAATAATGACACTTCTATATATCCATTCGTTGTTGTTATTTTGACATAGTAGTCCAAAACGCCAAAGTTCACGAAACGAAGCCTTTAATTTTTTTTGAAGAAATATCGATATGACGACTATGAAATTAGTATACTGAAAAATTAAAAACAATACACGGCATACAAAATAATAATAAAGTTTACGATAGTAAGAATTGTTATGGAAGGGTTTTTGATTATATAATTACGGTTTGTATCTTTTAAGTTTTAAGTTATATGGTGATTATATTAAAAAAAAAATAGAGCTTTGACAACAACAACAACAACAGCACTTTTTGTATATTTGGTTACTTTCACGTTTGTTTCAATTTATTATATACAAATAAAAAAAATATTGGTAAAACTGTTAACGAAAGTAGAGTAAAGCTAAGTGATAAATGGAGAAATGGCTAGAAAGGCAAGTGAATTAGAAGGTTGGCAAGTTATAATTACGGATGAAAATGGGAGCATAGTCACAGAAAAGAGGAGAAGACCAAGAAGAGGTGGTAATGTAGAAAGGGTATTTCTTCAAAGGACATCTGATGCTATAAGTTTTACTAGAGGTGATAGTATTATTTTGAAAGATGAAGTTACTCAGACATATTCTGTTTATTTAGTTAATGAAATTCGACTGAATACTTTGAATCATCCTGTTGAAATCCTTGCATTTTCTTATTTAAGGTGGTTTGAACTTAAGCCGACTATATATTACGAACAATTAGATTCAAAAAATTATGATCCAGAAAAACCAATGGAATTTTATAAGACAAAATTCTTGGAGGAAGTTGATCAAAATGAAATATATTTGACTGCTGAAGTAAAAGAAGTTTGGCTTCAAGATTTTATTGGTGTTGCAAATGTAACTAGTGATCTAAATTGGAAAAAAAATTCACGTAAGGAAGAAAATGTGGATTTCTATGCTCGTTTTATCTGTGATCCTGCAGCAGAACATTACTATAGAATCAATTTCCAAGACGAGCGTAGGAAACTTGTCAAATTCGATCCAAAAACTTCTGATGATTATTTGAAAAAGATTTCAGTTTCTAAAACTTTAAGGTCAAAAATTCCTTCTCAACACCAAATTACAAGAGGTAAGAATGATGTTTCATCTGAAATTCTAATGACAGACTTGAGCAATGAACCAGTCAGCGAAGATGAAGGAGATTTATCTCACGACAATACTGAGATAAATACAAAAAATATCACAACAGGAAATAAACCGAGGTCAGAAATCAATTCAAAATCCGAAAACTATTCTAATGCAGAAGCAAAAAATGATAAGAATGATAGCCATCCAAATAAAACCGCCAAGACCAAGCCTACTCTTCCTTTAATCTTTAATACATCAAAAATTGGCATTTCTCCAAGATCCTCACCTAAAAGAATCAATGAAAAAATTGAACAAGAAATTGTTGATCTAACTTTGTCAAGAAATAAAAACGAAGCTCAAGAAGACACAGAAGGTATTCCAACCTCGGTAAAGGAAATTACTGCTAAATTAGGTACGAAAACAATTGAAGTTGACCGTTTACAAAGAGATGAAGATACAGCGCCAATATATTCAACCAAAGATCATTTTGTTGACGCAAGTGAGAAGCAAAACAAAAATAATATTGCGGATGAGAAGAAGGAAATAGAAGAGCTGTCCCCTACTTCTAGGAGAAAACGTATATCAGATGAATTAGAAGCTAGTAAACATAAAATTATGAAACCTGAGCCCAAGACAACGAACCTAAAAAGTCAGATTACAGGAGATTTAGAGGAAGAAAGTAGTAGAAAAGAATCTAATCTAAACAAATACCTACATCTTTCAAATAAAGTGAATTTTTTTGATGAGTCAAATGGCAACATTGAGAAATTTTCTGAAGTTGCCGCCTCTGGGACAACATCAAGTGACCTTGACGTATCAGCATTGGAATTGGCTTTAAAAAATACCAAAAAGGAATCCATTGATCAAAATACCGAATCCGCGATTATCACCAATGGACAATTAAGTGAAGTGTACATGCAAAAGCTACGAAAATCAGAAAATACAGTGGCATGTAGATTCAAAGAGTTTTCTAAAATTTTTTCTACCTTATTTAATACGTTAAAGACACAAGGGAGTTCAGTAATTAAAATTCTAGGGAAAGCTAACACAGGAAAATCTCATACTGTTGCTTCAGTTCTAAAGGAATTGAAATCTCCTGCTATAAGGCAAGAACTTCCAACATTTAGAGTTTTAGAAGCTAGTTGTTCTCCAAAGACAGGTAAAGCAGAATTTTATTCATATCTTTGGGCTCAATTATCAGGATACGAAGAACCTGACAATGATATTGCAAAGTCATCCTTAGAAATATTCTTCAGAGAAGTGCCTCAAGGGAGAAAACAAAACACTATAATAATCGTTGAGGACATAAATTTTAGAAATCACTCAGATATATTAATATTTAAAGAATTACTAAAATGGTGCATGTTTAAGTCATCAAAGCTTATTGTTATTTTCCTCTCAAACGAAGAGAATCCACATAAAATAAATTGGAATAAACCTCTGCCTAATGATGTAAGAATCCATGAAATTGTATTTGATGAATTTCTTAGAAGCGACCTATTCAAAATTGCGAAACTTCGACTTGAAGGTGTCAGAAATTCAAAGTTCTATTTTGACAAGGACAAAAATGAATTAATTGAAGTAACCAATATGTCTTCAGAAGAAAAATTAAAACAATTAGGGAGTCCTACATTTATCGTAAATTTTGATTCTGATGCAATAGAATTAGGTGCTACTTTAATATCCGAAGTTAGTATCGATATATGTATGGCATTATTGATATGCAAAGAGTCGATTTTGATTGCCCATAGAAAAAAAGCTTATAGCAGGGATAATATAATCCATGTAAATTTCAAACATATTCAAGATGCAGTTACAAATTTCAATTTAGGTGAAAAACTATTACAGATTGTGCAGTTACCAAGCATATATAAGTTAGTTTTATTGGCGATACAAAATTTATCCAGAGAGGAAGATTCCAATGCCAATGGTTTAGTAGAATTTGAAAAAATACAAGAAGAAATGTGTGATTTGTTGAACAAAATGAGAAATGAGAAATATATTTTTAATTTATATCAACCGTTATTCATGTATTCGAATTCGAAAAATGAGCGCTTAACTGTGGACAGTTTAGCCATTATTTCATGGCCATACATTTTCAGAAAATTACAGGATATTGGGATTATTGAAACTAAAAACACTTTCTTATTAAATCAGTCAATGTTCAGACTTCTATGCCACGATGCGGTAGATCAAGGAATCGAACTATGGAAAAAGGGCAATGAACATTAATTCCCAAGGTATTCATTATTAACATCAAAAGTTATTTGTATCAATATAAAAGTATAGAAGTCTAATTAATCTAGGAGGTAAGCTAGTTGCCATATTTAATATATTAATAAAAATTAATATTCAAATGTTTAAAAATCACTAATTTTTTTTAACTTACATAATTAAGTATGAATAATAGTTTTATTATATGTAATATCATATCAAGGTTACAGATAATCATGTAGATGCAGATGGGGAAGATGCAGATGAAGATGCAGATGCATTCGCAATAGGAGTTGATCTATTGCCGAGGGTTTTATATATCAATAGAGGATCACCTATTTCATTAATTTCAGATATCGTTAAAGTTAAATTAAATATCTTGGATAAGGCAATTTTAAATATTTTTTGTACATTAATAGATTTTGCAGTTGATGTAAAGATCAATGGAGCATTCATAACTTGTGCATATTGCATTGCAATTCTTGAAATTTTTTCTTGTGTTGATTGATCTAGATCAATAAATAAATCATATTTAGTACCAACAAGAATCGGAATAGCTTGATCATTTAAACCGTTAGCTTGTCTATACCATTCTTTGATTGAATTTAAAGTTTCAGGTCTAGTCAAATCAAACAAGAATATTATAGCTGACGATCCTATCGAGGCAATCGGTAACATATTTATAAATTCTTTTTGACCACCAAGATCTAGAATCGAAAACACGATATCTGTTGATCTAACTGAAACTTTTCTTTTTAAGAAATTTACTCCCAAAGTTTGAGTATATTCATCATTAAATATATTTTGCACATATTTCACCATTAACGAAGTCTTTCCCACTTGTGCATCACCCACCAACCCAATCTGTACTTCAATCTGGTTTCTTGTCTTTGGAATTGACGATGATTGCATTGAATTATAATGAAGAAGCCAATTTATCACAGAACTTTACTTTCAAAGAAACAAATAAAAACAGAAGTAGATCCTAGTCAATAACAACAAAATAGAACCGTATCACCAACTTCCCAAGGTATCCAATTACAACTCACAGTACAGAAAGGAACCTTTATTACTATTTAGTAGTACGAATTATTATGCGTGTACCTAAATATTTCAGCTTCCACCTTTTTGGAACTCTTCTTTCCTCAAATAAACAGAAATTCTTGATACCTTTCAAGATAATTTGGAAACTACTCTTATTCTTAATGTTACAGGCTCCAATTTAAACTAGATCAACTGGAGATCATTGTCTTTAATGCTTCTGAACTGTTACTAAACATCGAATCGAATTAAATTTCAGTTACTTGTTGAATCGAACTTTTTCGAATTTGTCCCTGATCTCGAAACGGGATGACAAAAAATACAAATGAAATAAAAATTATGACAAATAACATAAATGGGACAAACAGGACAAATGAGACAAATGAGACAATTATTGTAAGAATGACGTTATAAATACATTTAAATGTTGTATGTAATTAAGATTATACATCTTTTGATATATCTAATGACTCTTAGTAGTTTAAATTGTTCATTTACTTTTAGGTTTATTTAATGCAGATATATATATATATATATACATATCAATACATACTATAGGATATACAACAAATGGCAATCCATTCATGATATATCTAGATCTGGAAGATTTCTTGCCAGTTCTTTATATGCATAATCTTGTTGGTGAAATTTGGGGAAAAATTAGGTGACAATGACGATACCTTGAAACCAATAGTATTCATGACATTTCAACATCCGAACCATAGTCCTTTTCTTCATTTATATCAACTGGAATATCGTTGGACCCATCTTTCAACTCTTCTGGAGAGCCCGATCCCTCTGGAGTTGGTTCATCCATGGGTTCTTCAGAAACATGCTCATCATCGAGATGTTCCTCGGATAGAGCCTCATCATCCTGTTCTTCTGATGTAATATTTCCGTCATGTTCTTCATGTTCTTCATCTTCATCATCCATATCACCTTCAGGGTCTTCATTTATGTCATTATCTAATTCCATATCTGCCATTTCGTCTTCAATTTCATTGTTCATCTCATTATCCATTTCTCCCTCTATTTCCTTATTTAATAAGTATCTCCTACGGTCTTCATCCTCTTCTTCATCTTCTTCCTCTTCCTCTTCCTCATTTGTATCCAATTTGATATTTCTATTTTCCAATTCTTGCATTAACAATGATGATACCTTTGAAAATACGTCAGCATCTTTCAGCCATTTATCTTTATATTCTGTTAAGTCTACTGTTAATTTTTCTATATCGACTTTCATGGCTTCATTACTTTTCTTCAATTCCTCAGGAGTTCTATTAAAGTTATCAAACACTTTATACTTGCCTTCAACTTCTCTATTAAAAGGCTTTAAATATTGTCTTGCAATCAGTTTATCTGTAAATTCTTTCCCCAACTTATCTACCCATTCTTGATACGTTACCATCAAGGTCGTCTTGGACACGACCAACGCTTCAACTTCTCTATTGATCTTTTTCACAGCATTGTACATTTCTCGTATTCTGAACATCCTTTGTTGTAATTCTGATTTATATTTTTCCAACATTGGTTTATTTTTGTTCAATGCATCACTAGACAACCTTTTCACTATCGACTCATTAGATTGTTCCCAATTCTCATAAATAGTTTTCTTAGTTTCCAATGAGGTTTGCAATTCTAGATACCTTAGTTCTGCCAACTGTTTAAGTTCTTTTATAGAATCTTTATCAAAATTTACTTTTTGACTATTTTCTGAGCTTCCATCACCATCTTCAGGTAATTCACCTCTCAAAATCGTGTTAGATAGCTTCATGACCTTATTCACCACATCTAAATATGAGTTAAAAGACGAATCATTCTCACTATAGTCAACTTTCATATTAACAAGCCTGACTTGTTGAGCTGTCAAAGATACCGTCGAAACCATTTCTTAATCTACTAAAGCCAATTTTAAAAGAAAGGTAACCAAACCAAATAATATAAAATGTCAATAATCTTCTGATCCACCACAAATCACTACCAATATAATCTGGTTTACTTGCTTTACTGTATATCGAACTTAAAACTGTTTCTCATTACTGTTATTGCATATATATTTTTTCATCTCTTGTTAAATATCAAAAATATTTAATAAAAATTTGAATATTTAAAACAAGACGTTCTAATGAAGAGATCAATCAATAAGGTCAAAAAACGAAAAGTGGTTAGGTTGATGGCATTTGAATAAAGGTTGAAAGGGCTATCATCGAATTATAGAGTTGGTATTCAATGGACGATAAACTGTATTTACTATGTACAATTTTTGCTGCTCGTGCAGATATTACAAATTCAAGTTTATTGTATGATCAAGCTAATGGTAATTTTACACAAGAATGTTTCGATGCTTTATGTATTCTTTGGCCTGAACTAATGGATCCAAATGGATTGTCCTTTGTTTTCCAACAGGGCCCAAGTGATGATCAAGTCCAGTTATCAGACCCTAATGATCTGATGATGAATTTGCTGGAGGTTGATAATAAACTAATTCCAATTATCGAATTAGAACATGACATTGTTCATGAAAGAAGTGAGAAAGTAAAGGATTTCGTTTCAAAAAGAATTTTGCAATTAGAGCAAGATTCTCTAATCACCTTCGATAATATACTTTCGAATTGGTTGAGAAGGAGAATATTGGTCTGTGATGAATTCAATCCTAATAATGTATTATTTAACGAGCCATTATGGGAAACTCATTCTAAAGATGATATAAAGTTTGCACAATGGATATCTGGTATAATTAAACCATTGTCATATTTGAATTTAAGATCAGGTTCTAAAACCCTTAAGATTAAGGATTTTGAAAATTTTAAACCAGTAGACATAATTAACTTAATTCTGGGTAATATTAATGATGACGAATACAACCTATCGATAGATGCCTCAATTATCATTCAGGAATTAATTCCATATTTGAAATATTCAAAGGCGTATGATATATTTTTGGATATTGTATTTAACCCCTCAGTGTTCAGATTTGATACAGCTGTTAATTACTATAATTTTAGACAACTATATTCATTACTATCAAATGAAATACCAATAGAATTTAAAGAAAAATTAGAAGAACTATCATTAAAGATTATATATGACAATAGTGCCAATATGTTGAATGTCACCTCATCATCCGAGTTAGAACAGTTATTAACACAGTTTTCGCCAGGCACCAAGGTTAAATCAACTTCACTTACTGCAAATAATCTCAAATGGTTTGCACATTATATGAATTTGTGCTTTCAAGGATATTCATTAAGTGATATTAATGCCATTTGCCAAAGTTCTGAACAAGAACAGTTGGCTCATTTTGCATCAATGGTTAAAGGTAAAATCTGCAACAGCCAATCCCAACAAACTATAGACGTTATATCAAACTTGATAAGCGAATCCAAAATTAAGGAAAAACAAATTTTCACAAACTTGACTATTGATAAACAAATTTCGATCTTTGTTGAGATTTTACTAGAATTAGGTGAATTTGATTTACTTCAAAATTTCGTTACATTAAATAATTCAAAATTAGAGGAAAATGTATTGGAAAAGTACTTTTGGAATTTCTTTAACAATGCTACAAATGGGTTGAAGTCAAGACCTGAGATCAAAAAAGCGGAAAAAACTTTGCAATTAATGGATGTTCAAAATAGTACTGTTTACAAACATTTGCATACCTTATTAAAAGTTGCAGATACATTATCTCGCTATTCCATAAATTTAGGTAAAGGGATACCATTTAAACCATGTAATATTTTTGAATTTAAATATAACCCATCAAAACTGATATCTATTTTATTAGAACTAAACAGGGACCTATACAAAGATGTTGCCAATTCAATGAATTTGATAGATCAATTAGTTGAAGCAATGCAAATTTCTAGAGAACATCTAGATAGGGAATCAGAATATAATAAAATTCTAGTCATTCATATTGACCATGCATTGGTGAATATGGATTTCACCTTTGCTTTCCAGAAGTCAAAAGAATTATTACGAAGAGATAGTGTATCAACCTATTGGGCAACTGTGTTCCAAGTTTGTAAATTTATTAATCCTAATTGGATTGACAGTGAGGTTCCAACTGAATATTTGATATTACAGTTAGAGTTATTAGGTGACCTTTTGTCTGTTTGTCCTGCAGATGGACTAGATATTGTTGTATCTCAGTGGAGTGGAGCCGAATTAGAATTATCAACTAGAAATTTAATAGATGACAAGTATTCGATTGAAAACATGGGATCAGGAAATGAGTTTTCACAAGCAATTAATTTGTTAAATGACGTTTCAAATAGTTTTACCAATTTCTTGTCAGCTGTTAATAATAATTAATGCATTATGATATATTTACTTTATAATCCTAATATTACATATTTGAATAAATAAAAAGTGCCGGCGGATATAATATGCTGTATTCTAATTACTGGAAGTATTTGGCGAGTATCTTCTATTATCGACTTCTATTTCTTTAATTTTTGGGAGGTTAAATTTCTTTTCTGCAACATAGCAATTATACCACCACTTGACTTATTTCTAGTGGAGTTATTCTTTTCAACTCTATTTGAATAAGAATAAGAATTATATGTTGAACTCGTCTTAGATTTTACCCCAAATGCTGTAATTTTTGGCTTCATTTTCTCTTTTGGATTACAGCATTTCCGTAGAGCGTCTTCTGAGGTGGACAGTGTTGAATAAAATGTCACAACCTTATCATGACTTTTAATTTTCGAAACATTAAAATTTAAAACTTGTAATCCATCTCTTGAAACAGCTCTTGATAAGGCAACATAAGCATGCCCCTTCTCAAATACTCTTTTAAGATCAACCTTTAGTTTGGGTAGAGTCTGGCCTTGTGATTTATGAATTGACAGTGACCAAGCCAATATTAGAGGCAATTGAACTCTAGATACCAAGGCTTTCTCCTTATCATCTTCTATAGCCCAATCTTCTGGTTCCACAAGAACTAATCTATCAGTTAGATTAGCGGTTTTAAAATTAACTAAGGGAAGTTTTCTTTGACCATTTGAATTCTCCAAAAGTAAACCCAATATTTCCCTCTTCAAATCGAGATATTGGTTATTATTATGGTCATGTTTAGTACAAAGCTCAGTGAAAGTTTTGAAAAGTTCATCTAATTCATTAACACGAAGATCATCTGTCGAAGTTTCATCTTCTGTTTTACAGAATTGTTCTTTTGAAAATTTTTGCCTTACCATTTCATTATTATCGTCAATTTTCTTACGACTTTGTTGAATTAATAAATTTATATTATCCCTATAGGCCTCTAATTCAACCAAGGAAGAATAATCTGAGTTGTTCATGATTGTTTCATAAAATGCATAAGTATCATGATCAATGAATGCTATAACTTTACCTAATGAACCATTTACCAAAGTTTCATCTACATTTTTAATCATCATGACTTGTGCACCTACTTTTAATCTTAGATCCAATGGAGCTAAAAAGTTTTGTAATAGCTTTTCTCTTAACATTTCATCCTTTAAATGACCTCCATCAATTGCCTTATAACTGAATGAATTTCCTGGTAACGACAGCAGTCTTGAATAATTTGCACCTTCAACTTCGTTTCTTGTAGAATATAATTCTGCAGGAATAATGTCATCTACTGGTAGGTCTCTTGATAATTTTTTAAACTCCAGTTCAGTTTCTTTATCTACTTTACCAGTACGTAGTTTATTTAACATTTCAATAAATTTTAAATCACCTTTTTGTCTAAATACAGTTTTCAAATTAATTGAAGCATCAAATGTCGATTTCCAAAATTCCGCTTCAAAAGCATACTTCGTAATACCATTTGTAGATACAGGAGGTAGTTGAAAGAAATCACCACAGAAGATCAATTGAATACCACCAAATATTGATCTATTTTTCCTTATATTCTGTGCAATTAGATTCAAGTTATCTAATAATTTTGAATCAATCATTGAAATTTCATCAATAATTAAAACTGAAATAGTTTGCCAACGATCTCTATGCTTTTTAGAACGCTTAACCCTATTAATCAACGAACTAACATCTCCTACACCTAAACCAATACCTGCAAAGGAGTGAAGTGTATACCCACCAATATTGCAGGCGGCTAATCCAGTTGAAGCAGTAACTGCAATTCTGTCGGGCCCATGAATTGATTTCATCACATCGATCAAAGTTCTCAACAGAACCGATTTACCAGTACCTGCACTACCTGTATAGAATATATTATGACCATTTTTAGCTAATTCTATGATATTCTCTTGCTCTTCTGATAATTGGATCTGTGGTGAAGAGGATGATGATTTCGGAGGAGTCGATGATGATTTAGGAGTAAACCGTGAGTCCTTTTCACTTAATTGAGACATCCAAATCTTTTTTAAAATGACAATACCAACTGTGAAACTCGCACTTATCCTTGTAGTCTATCGACACATTGCTATTAAATATATATATATGATGAGATGAACATTGTTTTAAATTTATATGACTGTTTAATATAGTTGATTATTTACACTATCAAAAGTTGGAAAAAAATAAAATACGCGTAAACCCATAATTAACGCGTAAAGTGCAATTACAACAACAAATGTGTATAGTTTATATAAGAAATAGAAACAAGTTAATGAATAATAATTTGTATTAAACTATCTTAATGGTTTGAAATTGGGGCTGATGGCAATTCTTTTAAACATTTTTGTATGATATCAACACCTCTTAGAAGATCTGATTCTGCGATTACTAAAGGAGGAGCTAGTCTAATGATATGATCATGAGTTGGTTTTGCCAACAAACCGTTGTCTTTCATCAATAGACATAAGTCCCAAGCTGTTCTTCCGTTTGCCATTTTTGGGTCAATGACAATGGCAGTTAATAAACCTTTACCCCTTACCTCTGAGATCATACCACCTGAAGAAGTTTTCAAATCGTTCAATTTCTGTAGTAACAAATCACCTAATTGAGCGGCTCTTTCCACTAAATTTTCATTTTTGATTACTTCTAGAGCAGCAATTGCCACTCTAGAAGACAATGGGTTCCCACCATAAGTTGAACCATGAGAACCAGGAGGTAAGCATAACATGATATCCCGCGAGGATAAGACACAAGAGACGGGCAATACACCGCCGGATAAAGCTTTACCTAACAGTACGATGTCAGGCTTGACATCTTTATAATGCTCAAAACACAACATTTTACCGGTTCTACCTATACCAGTTTGGATTTCGTCACAGATCAATAGAATATTGAATTTCTTACATAGGGATTGGACTTTTGTAAAATAATCAGGAGGAGGAACCACGATACCAGCTTCACCTTGGATTGGTTCCAAGATAATAGCAGCAATTTTGGAATGGAATTTTTCGAAAACGTTTTCTAAATCTTCGATTACACCATATCTAATTTTATGGTTTGGCTTAGTTAAATTCTTTGAAGTGATGTTTTCCATGAATGGGCCAAAGTTTTTTCTCGAGTCTAATTCATCAGTTGATAAAGAGATTGCGCCGAATGTTCTACCATGGAAGTTTCCCTCTGCACCTAAAATGATTACTTCATTCTCTGGGATGTTTTTAACTTCATAACCCCAACGTCTAGCCAATTTCAATGCAGTTTCTACAGCTTCAGCACCGGTGTTCATTGGCAAGACCATGTCATAGTTGAAGAATTTTGTTACGAATTCTGCGAAAGCAGCGTATACGTCGTTTGAGAAAGCTCTTGAAGATAGGGTTAAAACGGAAGCTTGTTTGACCAAAGCTTCTACGATATGTGGATGACAGTGGCCTTGGTTGACTGCGGAGTAGGCAGATAAGAAATCTAGGTATTCTTTACCTTCAGGATCCCAAACTTTTGCACCTTTTGCCTTGTGGAAGACTACTGGCAGAGGATGGTAGTTGTGGGCAGAGTATTTATCTTCTAGGTCGAAAGTTTCCTTTGAAGATAGATTAATCGAAGAAGACATGACTGGGGGAGGAGGTGTTAGCTTGGTATATGTGGACTTTGGGTGATGCAGGTGAATACCGATGAGTTGGTATAGTTTTTGAGAGTAAAGGGATGTTATGTTTGGAATATAAGTATATGAATGGGTGACAAGAAAATTGGAGGATACTACTCACACACACATATATATATATGTGAGTGTGTGTTGTATAAGTATTTACAAAATGTTGGCGAGGGGGTGGAAGAGGTTGTTGAATAATAGCAAAAATTATACAATTCAGATGAGGTCAAGAGAGAATCCAGTTAAAGGCAAGCGACAGAGAAAGTGGTAGATTAGATGGAATAGATCAAAGGCGATGATGAAGAAGATGACTACATGATAATTGATGAGATTACGAGCAGAGCAGGGTAGAGAATAAATACAGTTGTGGATTGCAAGTTTTACTTTAAGTGTAAGTGTTAGCGTAACTTTGGGTTGGTTGTAAGTAGCGTAACGTAACGTAACGTACGTAACCGTTTGGTGGTGGGGGGAGTTTGGTTAGCCATCGGTGTGCTAATTGCTTGTATTACTGTGTTTGGTAATTGAGAGAAGAGTCTGACCGAAACGAACTTGCTGCTGCTGTTTTGCGGTTTTTGTCGTTTCGAAATGAGGTTTCTGTGCTTGTTGCGCTTCTTGTCTGCTGTTGTGTTGTCTTTTGTGCTTTGTATAGTATAGTGATACCGACAGCGAGCGAGCGAGCGAGAAAGAGAGCAAGGGACAGAGGGTAACGCAGCACGTGAAACGCACGTGAACACCAGAGATACACGTGATGTGCGAATGCACGGATGTTGTTTGTTGTGTAAACAATGGGTGCACGGGTGTTGGGCACTCTACACCTCTACACCACGCGCACACATACTCCCTCACCCAGCCAGCCCCCCGTGACCACGCTGCGTTTTCCACCAATCTCAACAGGAAGGTCAAAGTGGAAGTGATACCGATACTGATACTGATATACCCGATGACACCTAAGACTTCTAGACTTGGACACATGATGATGTTATACTCACTCAGTTAATGTCCCTTTGGATTAAAAACATATAAAAGGAACAATCAAAACAGTCTCATCTAAAAACTCTTTTCATCCTGTCTTTGCATCTCTTTTTCTTGCTGTGATACTGCCCCCCCTCCCTCTCGCACGTTGCTCTCAAACATTCTTATCTTCATTTGTTCGAGAACAGTACTTTAGAAAGGGATATATATATATATATACACTCAATCTTTTATTTATTGTTGTTGTTGAAACAGACTATATCTCGCTGTCTATTCTATAACTAGCAACATATACCATACCATTTTTGTCTCTACAGACCACCCCCCTCTCAGCCAAAGTTGGGAAACTATACACAAAACAAGAGCTTACAAACCCAAAGCTGCAAATTGCAAACTGCATACTGCAATTACAAATACAAGTAAACTGTAACTATGGAATCAACTCCTCCTAAAAAAGTCCAGCTAAGTCCACAATCAGCTTCAACCCCTCAGTTCTCTTCTTATCACGATCAGTTGAGTAACTTGGGTATGAGAATCAGAGCCAGTGTCGACTTGAATTACCAACCTGGTGCTTACAACAGATCAAAAATTCCAGAAAACTTACAGAATCCACAAGCAATGCTAGTAAACCAAAGAACTACTTCTTCAAATTTGGATTCCATGTTTAACTCTTCCTCTTCTTCCTCCCAACAAAAGAGATCGAGAAGAGATGACGACGATGAAGATTTTTAACTTTTAATCAAAGAACAAATTTTCATCGAACAGATCAATCATGAGACATTGCTGGCTGAAGCATCTATTGGTCCCAGTCGTGCCCTCCTCCCCCCCTTTCTCTATTCTCATCCATGCTATTTTGTTTTATTTCATTTTATTTTAATTTATTTTAATATTATCATTAGATTTAGTATATGTATTTATAGTATGATTTGTAATTTGTAATATATATAACTTTTATTTGTGGCATTCATCAACAAAGAAGTACCAAATTAGAACAGTTACTGGCTGAACTTTTGATGGAAAGATCGATAATGCATTCATTCAAACTTTTTACAAAATAACGAAAAAAAGCATCTATACATGTATTATTCATATATTAAACACACTACAAACATACATCAAAATTAAAATATCCAAAGAAGCCGATTGTATAAAAGGACTAAAGCATTTCGATAAACTCAATATTTTTTTCCCACCTTCCCCTTTAACCTTTTAACCTTTGAAGACATACTAGACTCAAAGTATCTACAAGAACCAACCTCATTTCAGTCTAAGCAAACAGGATAGAACAGGAAAGAAGATAAGACAGATCAAAGGTTCTTACTACTTTTATTTAATGAAAAATCAAATTAATAAATTAGATGATATTCTTCTACAACAACAGCATACAAATGATTATCTGTTAGAACTAGTTAAATTCCATAATAATCTGCTTCATGATAATTTAACTTCAATCGAAAATTTGAACCTAACAAGAAAGAAAATTTTAGATTGTTTTAATGATCTGTTTAATTTAAATTCTATCATTATTAATTATCATGGTGATATTAAACTAGAGATTAAAAATCTAAAAGAAATTATTATTAAATTTAATAAACTAAACAAGCTAGAGATTTTTTATCAGAATAAGTTAAATCAATGGAAATCGTCAAAAGTTAAACAAATACAGTCTGCATCCTCGACAAACAACAAAATAACAATCAATTGTAACTATCAGCCTCTATTAAAGACCTACCTAAATCAAATAGACCCTGATGAATCGACACTTTCAAATCAATTCAATAGTAATTTATCAATAAATGATGAAAAATTAATCTACACTAATGAAAGCTTCACTGAAGATGAGGATGATACCGGTGATGAGGATAATGATATTGATCACAGTAATAATCATACTAATAATGATGAGGACCCATTTTTGATTTTATCAAATATTAAATTGTTAGAGAATTGTCAATCAACGATTAAAGCTGATATTAATCAATTGGAATTTTTATTATCAAATTATAAAAAAGATTTAAAATTTATTGAAAATGAATTAAATTCACAAAATTTAAAGACAAAATATAATATTACTTTAATGCAAGAAAAGTTAGATAAAATCAATATCAAAAGGAAAAAATTATTAATTAAAATTGGCTTATCCAAAAATAAAAATTTAACTTCAGTTTTAGATAAAGATGAAAAAATAATTATTGAAAACATTAATGACTTCATAAATTCAAAAATAAATTCTTTAAATGATCAACTATCCAATAAAAAGGAAAATTCGATTGTATTAAATCAAAAAATTAATTTATGGGAACAAGTAATAAATCAATTAAATGATTTAGAAAATAGTTTGAAAATTTATTTATCAAAAAATAAGAAAAAGAAATCAATTGATTACAATATAATGATCGAATGGATAAATGATACAATCAATAATTTAAATGATATCATAGATTCAACAGATATTCAACTATTAAGAAATTTAATTGAAAATGAAAAAAAAGTTTTAGTTCAAGCTACTAATGAATTAAAATTAAATCTTACTCCGGTCAACTCCAAGATAAACGATTCAATTTCAAAAAGCATTAATAATAATAACAATACAAACATCACCACCAACACTAGCATAAACAACAATAACAATACAAATGAAAACTCTCTATTGGATTCATCACAATTTCAATCATCAAAAAATCCTTTCCCAAATATTGGAACGTCACCACCAAAAATTAGTATATCTGAACATATAGCAAGTAATAATTCATTCACGACCTTCCAGTTAAATAATACATCTAATGACAAATTAATGAAAAATGAATAAAAATAGACAATTTTAGATACATTTCTATATGCATATTAGATATATATGAATGTATATATATATATATATAATTCATGTGCTCAATGATATTTATTGTTAATTTTTTAAAATTTAAATAATACAATGGAATCATCACCGTTATTGCCAGTATTGATTCACTTGATTAATGCTTACGATACCGTTTACGTGGGATAAATGGTGTAGACGAACCTCCCCTTCTATTACCTCCTTTTGGATCAATATATCCACTTCTTGATGCAGGATATGGCGCTCTTTGGTTATACCCATTATTATCATAATAATAACCTTGTGCCTCATTATAAGGTTTTTGATAATGCTGATCATTTGGAGAATTTTGATATCCATACCTATCCTGGTTATGATAGCCTTGAGGTACGTTATTATCATGATTAAAATTAGAAGCCATATAATGTGGCGTATTCATATTATTACCGGGATTATTATACGGCATATTTTGCTGGTGTGACATATTTGGTGAAGGTACACTATTGGTATTATAATGAGAGGAATTAGCAATTTCATTCGTTCTAAATGGCATCGGTTGGGGACTAATAATGTTTCTTTGAATATGCGATGAATTTCCTTTATTCACTTCTGAAGTTCCCATAGGTAATCTAGTTTTCTGGTTGTTATTTGATTCATCAACCGCGGAATTATATCTAGAATTATTTGTATTGCTACTACTGTTATACCTAGATACTCTATTTTTGTCAACTTCTGTAGGTGTTACAGAAGTTGGTAATTTGTAATCATCTTCATCTTCATCACCTCCATCTTTGGCTTTTTCAATACTCGGAGGAGGTGATTTTAATCTATCTGGTATTTTATTTTCATGATTTGTTTCGTTGGTATCGACAATTTTTAGATTCTCTTGTTCATTAATGTTAGGGATGATTTCAATTTTTTCAGAAATTCGAACATGTCTATCCTTATTCTTCAATGAATTTTTAACTTCAGTGTTGTTTGAGGTATCCTTAATATATGGCATGGTTTTCGAGATTTCCTTGGCCAAAGAAGGCCCACCAAAGATAGAGGACTTCTTCTTGGTCGAACTTGCTAATTTGGATTTCTTTGAGGATGATACATCATCAGGCTTTCCATTTTCAGACAGATTTGGAGCTCCAAATATTGATGACTTCTTTTTAGTACCTGTGGAACTGCTGCCAGAAGAGGTAGATTTTCTTGAATTATCTTCACTTTCTTGATGTTTTTCCGATGTGCTTTTTTTATGACTCTTTACAGATTTATATTCGTCGTACTTTCTTTTATTCTTTGAAAGCTTTGTTGGTTGCTCAGTTTGAGGATTGTAATCATCTGTAGATTTTAAGTATTCATGAGAATTTTTGTATTTTTCAATAATTTTCATCGCTCTTGAATTGCTTGGATCAAGGAAGCCCGAGCATGCAATTTCTAACATATTCCTCTCTTTTGCATCTGAAATTAAATGGTTCCATAGTTTATTATTTTGCAATGATTTATGATGACCTAAAATCCACATACTTGACTTTGCTCTAGTTAAAGCAACATTCATACGTCTAAAATCTTTTAAGAATCCCACACTAGTACCAGAATCACTGGCACGGACACAGGAAATAATAATAATTTCTTTTTCTTGACCTTGGAAACCATCTATAGTATTAAAATCAACATATTTAGAAATAGGTGAACCAAAGAAGTTTCTAAATTCTCTCCTCATCTTTATTACTTGTTCTTTGTATGGTGAGATAATACCAATTTTCCCACTGAAATCATATTTATTTTCAAATTTTTTTAATAAATAGTCGATCAACTCAATCGCTACTCTTATTTCTTCCATGTTTACATAAGACATTGTTTTGATATTTTGTTCTTGCCTACCGCTTACAATATCAAAAAATCTATAAGTCGACAATGGTGCAACATCATGCCAAGGTCTTTTCGTAATTGCTTCCATATTTGGTCCATCTTTTAGACGACCACAATAGAATTCTAATGATGGAAAGACACTAATCGCCGGATTCATACGATATTGAACATCTAGTAAATATGGTGTACTGTTCTTTTCTATTCTAACAAACAAAGATTGATTGTAATTTAATTTACTCGCTGCTCCTGATAGGACAGTTGGGGGCAATTGATTAGGATCACCCACCATAATACAACGTTTACCACCATATCTTAGAGGAATGATTGCAGATAATTCTGTACACTGACATGCTTCATCAATAATGACAGTATCAAATTTTACACCTAATGAGGCAAGAACATCATGTGCAGACCCTGATAAAGTAGAACAAATGATACTACTGGATGCTAATATTCTAGCCTGAGCATTTCTTCTATCCAAATCTCTATTTCTATACGTAATGGAATTTTGTTCTCTAATTTCATCTCTTTCCTTTCCCAATTCGTTGATTTCTTTACTCAATTCACGGATTTCCAATTGCAATTTTGATATATCTTCTGTCGACATTGTACTTGTAACTGAACCATTTTCAGAATCCAATTTTGCTCTCAATTCTCTTCTTTTCATTACACAAGAATTAAATTTACGCTCCAAGTCTGGGTTACTGGATATATTATAATTTTTTTCTGCAACCCTCTTATCAACAAGTTCTTCTAAGGTCACATCTTTGATTGCAGAATTAACTGCATCTGATCTACCTATACGAACCAGTTTGGGTTTAAATAAGTTCCCTTCTGTGTCAATGACGCCGCCTTTTAATCTTAAAACAATCTCATCCACAGCTGCATTACTGGGAGCACAAATTAAAACTTTTTGTTTCTTCAGTAAACTCTCTGTAGATGGAGATACGCTATAAGCTTCTCCTGGCTTCTTGATCACATTAGAAGGTAAGGAACTAACTTTTGATAAAAAGTAACCAATAATACCTAAAATTGTTTTTGTCTTACCCGTACCAGGTGGGCCCTGAATTAATGAGAACCCTTCCTGCACAACTGTATTAACAATTGCCGCTGCTTGAGAAGTGTTCAACTTGTAATTTTCCTTAACCATTTCAATTTCATCACTTAGATTAGCTTGGTTTTCAGATGCTTCCGCTTTCAATATCTCAGGAACTAAATCATAAAATTCTAAACCTTCAAGTGACGTATATTCTCTCTCTACTGTTGTCATTTGCATGACCTTCATAGCATGAATTTCTGATCGCAATGTAAGAAATTTTGAAAATTTATGACTTCTGTGAATACGTAAAGTGATGTCAACATTTTCACCCTTTGTATTTTTTAAAGACTTTACTTTAGCCAGGCAAGTTTGAGAGCATCTTTTAAATGTTTCACTGGTAATATTTTGCCCTGGTAGTACATCTGGTAATAAAGCCAAAACAATTAAGTCAGATTCTGAGATATCACTTTCTGCTAATTTAGATTTCCTAACGGAAGCATATACTTCATAAAAATCTGAAACAGCAGTTCTATTACCAACAATAATTGAAAAAGATTTGTGCTCTTCTCTGTCACGAGCAGCACGCAAACCTTGCCAACATTCCAACAATAATAAAGGCCTCATTACATTTTGATATTCTGTTACAGACCTATAGGAATCTTTTACATCAGTGTAGGTTCCATTTGTATAATCTGTGGGGTATTCGTCGGTTCTTGTATAATCCCATTGTAAAATCGTTTCATAAAATGGATTTAAATCTACATTAAGTCTCTTTCTCATGTATTCTTCTTCAAGTTTTGCTCGGTCCACAGCAGATATTCTGTGAACTGATTTGCCGTTGATATCTACAACTTGAATACCTTTGTCTTTGGCCTTCGCGACAGCAAACAATTCCCTAGCTGATTCGATATCACCTTCGCTCTCATCACTACTTGAATTTTCATTCTTCATTGTACGGTTTGATGATTTAGTATGGAACATAGCGCTACTAGGAGGGTGAACAACTCTGTTGCTCATTAATTGTCTTCTGGCCAACTCCATTTTTGATAAGGGTGGAGGGGTGGACTTCATACCCTGTAATGTTGGTGATACTCCTTGTTGGAATGTACCAAATGATGTGATTTTTGATTGAGTTGCTTTAGGCCTACCCATAATCGAAGAAGACATGGCCTTTCTTTGAAGATATTCAGCCCTCGATTCAAGTGCTTTAGAGGGAGTAGCTTTATCATTGTTTGTAAGAGATATTTGTTGAGATGCTTTCTCTTTTAACATTTGCTTTTCTTTCAAGTATTCCTCTACTGATTCCTTAACCTTTTCAACTAATGATTGATTAAACATCTGTGCTTTACTTAGAATCTCATTTGATTGTTGATCAGTTAGTTTATTCGAAAACTTTCTGGCTTTCAATGCATACCTTACCATCATTTCAACTAGCGTGTCATTGAATTTAATGTTTTCTTGATGAGCTAAGTCGGAAGTTGTAACGATGAGCCTTACACAAGATTCTAATAATGCCTCATCACTTAATCTTAACCAATATAACATATTACGTATAGCCTTTAACACACTATCAAACATAGAGGTTTCTCCAGATTTACTGATTGCAATGATATCATTATTATTTGACGTTTGATCTTTTTCGGCTTCTGAATTTGTATTTATTATATCTGAAAATTCTCTGTAAGAATCAATTAATGAACGACTCAAATCTAGTGTATCTTTTGTAAAATTTTCAAGTTCTGAATAATCATACTTTGATGCCCACTTTAATGTACATAAATAAATCATATCCAAAAATTTCCATGTCAATTCCCAAAACGAAGTAAACTCTTTAACAGTGTCGTCCTGTTTCAGTTTATTGAAATTAGAAAAAACGCCTGATAATGGATCTGTACAAGCAGAAATTATATCCATTAAAACTCTTATAGCTCTGGGACAAGGCTCATAAAATTCACATTTGATCAAATTTTTCAAGACCATATTAATAGCCCTGATATGATTTGTTATATTCGTTTTTAAGATCTCCTGAATACCTTCTAATCTACCTTCTACGTCAAATGTATCATATAAAATATTGGTGGCTGCTTGGTAAAGCTCATTGTTGGAAGTAAAAACACAAGACCAATAACCTAATGCGGCTTCTTGGTCACTTAATACCTCTGACATTTGTGCAGGCAAAATATCTGTAAATTTTTCTACAAGTTTTGCTGATAACTTTAAAAATTGATTTATCTTTGCATTGTGAGCCGCGACCATCGGAGTCTTAATTGGAACCACTAATAGGCCGTTTATATCCCTTAATGAAACTAATAGTTGTTTGGCTAATAAAGGTCCGTTTTGGAGAGATCTGAAGTCCAATTTTAAGGTAAAATTCTCCAATAACATTAAAGGTGATGATGTATCAGTTACTGACTTGCCTAGGTATAACTTATAGGTGTAATGACATAATAACAATATATCTAATGCAATACATTTTGTTAATACCTGCATCGCAGAAATCGATAAAGTAGAAACATAGCTGTCTAAATTTCTGTATAATTCATTCGGGTTTGTAACTGTTCTTATAAAGACATCTTGGATCAAAGGATTATTAATAAAAATTCTAAAATCGATTTTTGTATATAAAATTGTCTCAAAATCGTCTTTTTCATATAACATAGATCTTTCTTCTTCTTTAACCACCAATGCATATCTTAATAATGCAGTAGAGGAATTTAAGAAACATGCATTGGTTAACCCATTAGACGATGTACGATTGGCAATATGCCTTAAAAAAATCATTGAAACTTTTTTGATCATTTGGATTTTTTTAGAATCAGAGACTGAATGATAAAACGGAATAGTCCATGTTACCATATCAGAAAGTGTACCATGCTCTATAAAAATTTCCTCAGATTCTTCATCGGGGTTATTTTCTACCTTTTTTAATGAGTTAACATAATTGTCCTTCGTAAATATTGTATCCAAAACACTATGAAAAGTATAAGGTTCGATTTTTATCCAAAATTCGTTTTTGAAAACTTCCAAAAAAATGTTTAATGCTCTTAATAAAATGTCCAATGGTTTATCTTTATAATTTGATGCTAAATGGTTGTACCACAGTTTGAAAATAGATTCTACTGGGAAATTGAATGATTGTTTTAAAGAATCTAAATTTCTTGGTAATGAAAAATAATTCTCTATGACTTCTTTATCTAATAATGCAAATATTGGTGTTAATCTTAACCAAAAATTAGTAATCATTTGTGAGTTCCAATTGCTAGGATTTTGTAAAGTTATAATATAATAATAAACTTCCTCGATGAAATCTGGAGTTAAATTTTTAGTGCAAATTTTTAGTTTCTCTTTATGGAAATGAATTAAAATATCTTTTGACCATTTTCTTTGATCTGGCATACCTTCGTACCAACAATATATAATACCTGTGATGAAATTTTCAGGGTTTAATAATATGGATTTTTCAATTTTTGTCTCTAATAATTCGAACTTGATTGATAAAAGGTAAGTAAAAATGGCGTCGAAAGCACCCTTTAGATTTGGATCCAATCTTAGCATTCTTGGGTTACATAAACATTCATAAAATGCAATTTCTATTTCATTTGATATTACGATTTCATCATTGTTAGCTGAAATTTTTTGGAAAACTGGTAAGATTGTATTAATTCTCCATCTATCGACCATATCACCAAATTCTTGTACATGATTATATGCCACTAATCTATGAACTGCAAAATGTTGTAAAATTTTATCTTTACCTTTGGCAAATTTTAAGACACAATTTTGACATTTACATAAGATTGGGTCTAAAATGTCAGTAACATATTTTACAGTTTCAGAGACTCTAAAAGAGAATATAACTAATGAAAAAATTGAAATTTCTGCAAAATCATCATCACAGAATAAATGTAAACCACTTGGTAATTTTTGTAAAAAACTTATAACTTGTTTTAATATGACGGTTTCTTCAGTATTTTCTGCTGTACCTGAATAAATTAATTCAATTTTTGGTTTTAATTCTCTAGCAATTTTTCTCAATTCTTCTATTCGAATACTTTCATTCATTTTTGTTTTAATTTATGAATATATTATGAATTAGTGGTGTAAAAAAAATTAGTTTTTAATTGGCAATTTTATGGTACCAATTTTATAGTTGAATAGTATTTTAGTGTGCTTACTAAAATGAATGAATGCCTAAGAAATAATAATCTCGTATTTCTTTTATAAAATATATTATGTGCTTTGGAAGTAATTGATTTTGTCTATTTCTCTATACCTTCTCTTTGCAGTCTATAATTTGGTTTTTTGATGTTATCTTTCCGCAGTATAAGAACAGAACTATGTAGAATATATTTTATATATAAGAAAGTTTCTAAATGAGGAAAAATAGATATGAAATAATGCAAATGGGTGTTAATTTTTTTAAAAAGAATAGAACACTAGAAGAGTTGAAAAATAAAATGAAAAGATAGTTTAAATCTTTCGAAAGATTGAGGACAATTGAATTAAAATTTGATATCTTCCGTCTATATTAATATTTTTATTGTTGTTATTCTAATTCTTGTTTTCTATAATTAAAGGAATTAATAATTGCAACGAAAACTTGCTACAGTAATATTATCATATATATCTATATATATATACCTTTTTTTATAACAAAAAAAAGAAAATTGAATGAAAATAAAAATAAATCTTCCAATGAGATGACTATAGATTTATTCAATGGTTTAGTTTGCCTCTGGGAATCAGAATAAGTCTCTGTTATGAAGAGAAGTAGCAAATAATTCAACAGATCAAAAATAATTAGATGCCCCTTTGTATATGTACTTTTATAAGTATTAAATTTTAATGCATATATAATTTATATTTATATGTATGTATAATATGAATAGTGATAATAATTAATAAGTAATAACTAATAGATAATAAATAAAGGTTTTTGTGGCTTCATCGATAACTAATAATTTCATGAAATTTTCATTTTTGTGATTTTTCCAAGAGAAAGAAAAAGAAAAAGAAAAAAAAAATAAATACAGTCTAAAAACACAAAAACAGTTTTGCCTGTACTTCGCGTTTTGTTCGTGTTTAGGCGTCACTTTTTGTTCAAATCCGAATTTGACTGTGTTACCATGAATGCAAGTAATGTTGAACGAATGACGAAAAAGGAAAGAATTCAGAAGACGTTTTTAAAACACGACTGGAAAACTAGGGTTTCCGTACTTTAATTAATTAATATTCCCTTTTCAACAATGGATTAATTTTGAAATTCATCGTGAGCTGTGATCACCAGTTGTACTTTTTCACGATACCTTAGTTTTTTGCTTCTTTCCATTTTCTTTCTTGAGAGAAATGAAGCGCAAGGAAGAATTGACGAGCGAAGAGAGGCCAGAGGCCAACAGATTAATACTTGTTTCTTCCGTATTCTTCTCTCGTTCGAGTTGAGACGAGACGAGACATTGCATGGCATATCTTGTGGTAGTCTACGATTTTTGTTAACTGTAAGAATCGGTGCGTACAGGTCAGGTCAATTTGACTCTTGATCTAAGACAAGAGAGGGGAGGAACAGAGGGGAGAAGGGTATTAGGAGGAGGGGGAAGAAATAATAATGCCGATATCAGGGTAACACATGTCGTTTGCTGACTTAACCCGTTATTATTATTAATTTACTGTTTTATATGCATTTCTAATAGATAGTGGTTAAATATGTCAAACTAATTATACATGGTCGTATAATGTGGGTTGATAATTTGTGTTCTCTGAAATTGAGCCGCACTACCCTCATCTCCTCTATTTCTGATGATGATAAATATGTTTTGTTACCCTCAGAAATTGTTTAGTACTTTAGCTCAATCTGTTAAAGTATATGTGTGTATATGCACTAGGAAATAGGTCTCTGTATGCATAGTTTATATATAACATTTATGTGTTCTTCTTCTTCTGTCTCCCTTTTATCTTCTGGACGTTTACACCTACAGACAGCATTCCCCTGCAGAATCGATCAGTAATAAACTTGTCTTGGAAGGCAACTGCAAATAATAATACCCTTAAAAAATTGGTAGTTGGTCACGTTATACGTACATAATATAAGCTTTTCTCTTCGAAGAGTTCCTTTTTCGATTGGTTTGGACTCATCAAGAATGTATTATATTATATCAGTAATTGCTTCAATTTAATATATATATATATGAATATTTTAATATTTTAATATTCGTACCAAACGAAACTTGAAATGCTGCGTTTTTGCCTGCCCAAAAGACAGAGTTATGTTTCTAAATGTGACACACGATCGCCAAGAGAAAAAGAACGACATGAACCAATTACAGCGTATACTTTAAAAACATCTCATTAGTCTCATTCGAACTTGTGAAATCTCTGTAACTCAATAAAATCTGATTCTAAACCATCACACAAAAATAAAATAATTATATCCTTGAAAGTATTAAACCCGATCACAATTTTGTATGTGAAAGGAGTTAATAATTACGTTACACAATGACAATAACACACAGTTATCAATCCCATAATAGTAATGAAAATTCCCATCAACGAACAACCAACAAGATATTTTGGGTGGATCAAAACCTTCTTTGACTCGNACGGCACATTTCATCTCTGTTTTTATCCACAACAACAATCCAACAATTTACCAGGACCTATTCTTTGGATTCCCCCGCCCTCCCAACAAAAAGGGAACCCCATTCTCCGGCTTTTTGAAAACCGTTTTAAAGCTAATCCTCAAAGGGTAAGGGATAAAAGAAACGGATTCCTCGTTCTAAAATTCCTTTCTCCCCCAAACAGTTAAATTGTACACCCACCTCAAATTGGTGCACTTCATTATAAAAC